GTCTGCTTGTCCCTCTCCCACTGCCTCTCCCCCTGTTCCTGCTTGCTCTCTCTCTCTGTCAAATAAATAAATAAATCTTAAAAAAAAATAAGTGTACATTTCAGTGGCACTGACACTGATTACCAACATTCACATTGTTGGGCAACCATCACTATCGTCTAGATCCAGAACTTTTTCATCATTCCAAACTGAAACTCTACTCATTAAACACTAACTCCTTATTCTCCCTCACCTGCCACTTGGTAACCACCCCTATTTTCAGACTCTAAGAATTTGACTATTCTAGGTACCACCTCATATAAGAGGAATCATACAGTACTTGCCTTTTTTTGACTGGCTGGTTGCCCCTAGCATAATGTTCTCAAGATTCATTCATATTGTAGCATGTGTCAGAATTTCCTTCCTTTGACTGAAAAATATTCCTTGTATGTATATATCACATTTTGTTTATCCATTTATCTACTGATGGACACTTGGGCTGCTTCCACCTTTTGGCTGTTGTAACAAGGTTGCTATAAAGAACATTATTGCATATATGGGTGTAGAAATATTTTAATTCCTGCCTTCACTAAGTATTTTCTGAGTTAAGTGGCTTTAAGAATATTAAAGAATGCAAGATCCCACCAAGTTTCAAGATCTTTAAAATGATATTTCTGGGAAGCCTGGGTGGCTTAGTTGGTTAAATGTCTGCCTTCACCTCAGGTCATGATCCCAGGGTCCCAGGATCCAGCCTTGCATTGCATCGGGTTCCCTGCTCAGTGGAGACCCTGCTTCTCCCTCTCCCTATGCCCCTCCCCTGGCTTGCACTGTCTCTCTCTGTCAAATAAATGAATAAAATATTTTAAAAAATAAAATGATATTTCTTAGGCTTCCAACAAATTCAACATCCTGAGTTAGGAAAAAGACATTTACATGTAATAAAAACTTATTCACCAGGGTGGCACTTGCAGGTTTCTATTAATAGAAAAATTAGGAAATGTGTATTACTTAAATCTGGAAAACAGACTGAAGTTATCACTTCTTGAAGTTTCAAAATCATTCTCCAAAGAATCATTTAAATAGGGTTCAGGATGTCCAGCCAGGGTCTTAAATAAGAATAAAGGTGGCCTCCCGGCTTTAAACTACTGGTACATAATGTCAATTACAATCAAGAGATTGCATATGTCCAATGGCCCTTCTGGCTATCGTGATGAACAGTTCAAAAGGCTCTGGGGCTGAGTTCAGAACAGTTTCAAGTCTTTGCCAGGCAGTTTCCTCCAATACCTGGAGCTCAAATTACTGTCTTTGTCCAAGATGGCACTTCTAGTCCAAGCCTCTCCTCTGTCTATGCAGTCTGTCTAGCCAACCCCGGACTCCACACTAACACATCCATTCCAGCGGGGAGACTAGGTCTCTGTAAATGAAATCAGGAGAAAGAATTGTCTTGGATCTAGGAGGATTGTGTGCTGGGAAATACTTGATCATGCTGGTATGGGCAGGCCCTGCATCTCCACAGCCCCACACTGAAGCACAGCCATATGAAAATCATCATCAAAATGTAGTGAGCCTGATTCTGCAAATTACATCTACTTTGTAAAAACCCTGAAAACCTAGAAAGGGTCTGTGTTTGTTTATTTTTAAGATTTATTTATTTGAGAGACAGAGTGAGCGAGATAGAGCATGAGCGGGGGAAGGGAGAGGGAGAAACAGATCCCCCTGTTGAGCAGGGAGCCCTTTGCAGGGCTCGATCCCAGGGTCCTGGGATCATGACCTGAGCCGAAGGCAGATGCTTAACCGACTAACCACCCAGGCGCCCCTTACAATTCTCTTAAGTGATGGTGAACAATGATGTAATTGCAGACTAACAAACATATAGACTTACAAGTGCACATTTTTACATCCACAGAGCGAGGAGTGATGAGGTAAACCAGGCTCTTCATAGTGAAAAGAAGTTAATCTCATGTATTCTAAAAACTTAAAACTCTGGAAGACTGTGACTCCCTTTCTTTTCAAAGGTATGTTTATATTGAGGTGTCTGGGTGGCTCAGTTGGTTAAACATCCAACTCTTGACTTCGACTCAGGTCATGATCTCAGGGTTGTGAGATCAAGCCCCACATTGGGCTTTACCTGGGCATGGAGCTTGCTTAAGATTCTCTCTCTCCCTCTCCCTCTGCCATTCCCCTCACCCCTCAATTAAAAAAAAAAAAACTATTTAAAAAAAAAAAAGGTATGTTGGGGCACCTAGGTGGCTCAGTCAGTTAAGTGGCTGCCTTAGGCTCAGATCATGATCCCAGGGTCCTGGGATCGAGCCCCAGGTCAGGCTCCCTGCTCAGCAGGGATCTTGCTTCTCCCTCTCCCTCTGCCTGCCACTCTGCTTTCTTGTGCTCTCTCTCTGTCAAATAAATAAATAAAATCTTTTTTAAAAATTAATTAATTTTGGGGTGCCTGGGTGGCTCAGTGGTTAAAGCTTCTGCCTTCGGCTTAGGTCATGATCCCAGAGTCCTGGGATCGAGCCCTACATCGAGCTCTCTGCTCAGCAGGGAGCCTGCCTCCTCCTCTCTCTCTCTCTCTCTGCCTGCCTCTCTGCCTACTTGTGATATGTCTGTCAAATAAATAAATAAAAATCTTTAAAAAATTAATTAATTTTAAAAAGGTATGTTTATGTTTACTGATAATTTTTCTGTTAAAAAAATATAAACTTGGGTCACTTTTGAAATTTATATACAGTAAGTTTGTTTACCTGAGAGTTCACAGACCTGTGATCCTGCTGTGGATTCCAAAACAATTTTTGGAAACATAGAGGGGATCTGAAGGTTGTATGCATTTAGCAAAGAAAGCCATCTTCCTCATTTCTATCTCACACAAATTTCTTTTAATAAATGGTAAAATTCATATTTCAAAAAAGCCTGAGTTTGGGCTGTTATAGAATAATGAATGCCACATTTTGAAAGTACTGTATGGACAACTTAAGGGGAACCATGTAGAGATGCATAATGATTGGGAGCCCTTATTTTAAGCTCTGCAAGAACCAATATGCTTGATTCATTTAGTGTAATTTTATTAAATTAACAAAAAAGAACTTGTATAGGATTGAAACACATGGACAGGATGGCAAATAAAGATGACTGACCCTGGGAATCTCTGCCAAGGTTTTATTTGTGTGTGTTGGTGGAGAAGTGTGGGCTTGAGGCCAGCTCCACCAAAGAACAGACCCAGCTCCCATCCCTAGGCCCAGGGAAATGGGATACCTCTCAGTTCTGAAATGTTGATGAGCTGTGGAGGGGAGAAGGACAGGAGAGCAGATGGAATTCCTGGACAATTGTTCCAGCTGTCACCAGAGAGGACAGGCAGGGGGGAGCACTGGATAATTTACAGAGGAACATATGCTAAGGCTTCTCCAGAACCATCTGGCCAAGAGAGGCCTGGGCTTGGGGTGGATGTTGTCTTTAGATCTGAGTAAACTTCAGCCTCCAGCCCAGCCCATTCCCTCTACCTGAACTGTGGCTTTCCCAGGAAGGCTCTGCTCCCTGAGTACCCACCTCCAGAGTTCCACCTGGCTCTCATTCCACTCCCTTCTTTGCTGAGCCTGGTTTTTGTCTTTACTACCTTTCCTGAGAGGGCTAACTCTGGCCTTTGGGGCCTGTACCTTCCACCAATGCATTTCCCTATTCTGTAGTATTTTCAACCCCTCCTCCCCACCACTATATTCCAAAATCCCTCTATCATTCATCTCCATGACATTAATTCACTCAATAAATGTTTATTAAGCACCTACTATGCCTGGCATTGTTTTAGACACTGGGGATACAGAGATGAATGAGAAAAAGTCCTAGATCTCTGGAGTTTGCACTATAGTGGGAGATGCTGAATAAACATATATCAGATAATGATGAGTCCTGTAAAAGGAAACATTAAAGCAGGGTAAGGTTGAATGACTAGGGATGCTGTTTTAGACAGAGTGGCCGGGAAAGGCTTCTCTCTAACATAGTGACATTTGAGCAGAGACTCTAATGGGAGTGAATATCTGAAGGAAGAACTTTCCAGGCACAGGGAACAGCAAACCTAAAAGCCCTGAGTATTCTCCGTGCATTGGAAGGATGCCATGATATTTATCCATTAAGCATTTACTATGTTCCAGGCACCTGCTAGGGAATATGAACATGCAGTTGGACACAGTTTTTGCCCTGAAGGAGCAGCAGCTTAGTGAGGGGTGCACTATTTAAGTAAATAATTATAGCATAGGATAACTGCAGTGAAGTTATGTGCGAGTGGCTAGAGATGCCCAGTAAAAGGAACACCAAGTCCAGTCTTGGGGCCTGGGGAAGGCTTTCTGGAGGAGGTGACATTTCGAGCTGAGGGCTGAAGGACACACAGGAATTGACTATAAAAGGGGAGGAGAAGGCTTGGACATTTTGAGGGCCGATGGCCTGAAAATACAGAACGATTGGGAACCTGAAATCTCTCGGAGAGGTGGAAAATTAGTCTGATGAAGGTGGAAGGGGGTGGGTCACAAGGACCGCCACGTGGCAAACTGAGAAGCTGCTTTTATCCTTTCGATGACAGGGAACCAGTGCTGGCACTATTCCACTATATTATTTTGTTTTCTTTCTTCCTTTCTTCTTCCCTCTTCCCTTCCCTTCCCTTTCTTCCTTCCTCTTTCTTTCTTTCATTCTTTCTCTCTCTCTCTCTCTCACTTCCTTTTTTTTTTTTTTTTTTTTTTTTTTTAGTACCAGAATCTTTCCTCACTGTTCCAGCTCTTGCCCTACCCCTGACACCTCCTTCCTTCCCTAGCTGTCAGGCCTCCAAACCCTACTCTTAGGACATCCCCACCTTTCCCCAATCACCCGGTGCCCTAATTCCCCAACCCGAAACCACGCCCTTAGCTACGCCCCCGATGACGCGCAGCGCCCGGTGCGTGGGGATTCCCGCGGCCGCGGCCACTACCCGGCCTGCCCCGCGGCAAGATGGCGGCGTGAAGGCAGCGGGCAGCGGCGGAAAGTTTGTTGTGGGATTGTAGTCGGCCGGGAGGCTAGAGTTGGGGAGGATCGTGGGGACAGTATCGCGGAGTAGGGGCGGAGGAGGGACTAGCTCCGGGGTTAAGAAGAGGAAATGGGATGTTGGAAGGAGAAGAAAAAAAAAAGAGGGAGATGGGGCGGAGAGGAGGGGGCCTAGGATCCCGCGACGGCCCTGGGGGAGGGGCCCGGGGCGGGGGAAGCACAAGTAGGTGTGCAGGTCCTAGGGAAGCAGTTGCGAATTGGAGGAGAATTTCTAAACCGAAGAGTCAAGAACCATGGAGTTTGTGGCCGAGGCCCGACTGTACTGGGCCAGTAGGAAAGAGGTCTCTCACGTGTTGGAGGATAGTGGGGAAGAGGGGAAGAGAGACGAGACCTGGAGGATGCTGGGCAGGTTTGGTATGGAGAAAACTAAAGCGTCAGATGACCCTTCTGCAGACTTAGATCATCCTTTCCAGAGTTCCTATAGCATCTGCCCCAATTTCAGCTGAAGACTCAGGGGCCCCAGGGCCTGGAAGAAATCACAATACCTGCTTGGAAAGAAGAAGAGGTAGCGACTTGCCCGAGCTCAACCCCAGAGCGGGTAAGGTGGCCTCCAATGACAGGCTGGCATGCTCCCTGCAGCAGGATGCATGGGCTCAGAGTGATACTGAGAAACATTTAATCTGAAAAGGGTTTTCATCTATAGAGGTTGCCCTTTGCCTGTGGTCTCTAAGTTAGTGTTCTGTTTAGATTACACACTGATTTTTGAGAATTGGGTGTAGCATTGAGCCTTGTGTGCCTTTACCTGTACAAGTGAACACGGTCAGGGGCCTAGAGATGAGGCCGAAAGTGCTTTAACATCCCTGCCACAAGCAGTTTCCTACATGTTCACTGTATCTTTTTCGGTCTCCCCATCACATCTTCAGTTTGGCATCCTACCTGAAGTAGAGATTTGTGAGTGAGGGATGGGGCAGGGGGAGTCAGAAGAAGTCTGATCATGCTGTCACCAACTCCTGAATTCACTCTTGCAGCAGGTGTGCTTCTTTTGAGCTTTCTTTTGGTAAGAAGGGCTCGTTAGTTTTTCTTTGGGGTTGTGCATTTGGTGGACAGGTGGTCAGTAGAGGAGGAAAAGCAGGTTGAGGTTAGGGGGAAGAAACCCAGAGCAGTTTACAGTAAGGTGTCGGTTGCGTTGACTGGTGTAAGGCTCTGGGAATATTTATTGTATCACCCTCTTTCCCTGAGATCCCTGATATTTGGGAACTGCTTTACGGTCTGGATCAGTGTGGTGATGGAAGGAAAGGATTGTAGAATTTTTCTAATAGCTTTTTCTCTTCCTTTGTATTCTCCCCTTTGAACCATATTTATAAACAGTTTCACTAGCCAAACTAAACATGGCTTAAGAGATAGTGGATTTATGGGGTGCCTGGGTGGCTCAGTGGGTTAAGCCTCTGCCTTCGGCTCAGGTCATGATTTCAGGGTCCTGGGATCAAGACCCGCATCGGGCTCTCTGCTCAGCAGGGAGCCTGCTTCCCCCCCTCTCTCTGACTACTTGGCTCTCTGCCTACTTGTGATCTCTCTCTCTCTGTCAAATAAATAAATAAAATCTTAAAAAAAAAAAAAAGATACAGTGGATTTAGGGTTAGAGAAAAGAGAAGGGGTCTGGAGCCACAAAGTGTGGTGAATATGGTCCTCACTTCCTTTGATGCCCTGTGGTTATGCCAAAGCCAGAGTTGGGTACAGACTTTTTACAGAAGCTCATTTCTTGACTGACATCTCTGCATGATTGGATTGGGAGGTCTAGTTTGATCTAGGACTCTGCACTAACTATTCCTGCTCCCTGCCTGTGCCGCCCCCCTCCAAAAGGCTTGCTATAGACAGACCAACCCAAATCACTCTTACTAGGCCAGCTTCAATACGTTCAGGTATCAGAAAAGCTGATGTTATTTAGCTGTGACTCTAGAAGGTTGGGAGTTTTCTCTTTCTGAAGACAGTTTGTGGATTCCCCCCTTTAGAGTTGCGATCAGCCAGGAGAGTGTGGGGGGCACACAGAAGATAATGACTCGAGCCAGAATTCCTTGTACAAATTCTGGGTTTGCCATTTGTAGCTCTGTGACCTTTAGAAATTGTACAGCTCTTTTTGCCTTAGCTTTCTTATGGTAAGAGTACCCATCTCATAAGGTTGTTGTGAGGGTTAAATAAATGCGTTTAGAACAGTGACCGATACTCCATACATATTTGTTGTTATTGTGCTGGTCAGATCTCAGCACTGACTTCATCATTGTAGTAGGTATCTCTCTCTGGTGGCCCTGTACTGGTTTGAGCTTCTGTCTTGATGTTAGAGAGATGCGGCACAGGTTTTGAATAGTGTAGATTTTGCATGTAGTGAAAACATTTTCATTACACTATTTAAAGTGATGTGAAAATGCCATGATTTCCTTTTTGAAGTTGTGAGGTTTTAGAGTTGCAGTTGCAGTTGAGCTATAACGAGAACAGTGCTCAGTGAGTATCTTCTGTGTGTCTGGCACTGTTGTAAGTGCCTTAAATGTATTAACTGATACGATTTTTATAACAACCCTACGAAGCAAATACTTCCATTGTCTCCATTTTACAGATGAGTAGAGGACAGAGTGGTTAATTGCTCAAGGTCACCCAGCTAGTAAGGGGCAGAGCTGAGATTTGAACCCAGACTATCTGGCTTCAGCAATTGAGCATCTTTTTTTTTTTTTTGGATTTGGTATGAAATTAACTCTTTACTAAATATGACTAGTGGCAATTTATATCTCTTATTTGTTTGTCATAATGGTTAGATTGTAGTAAACTTTTTTGATTTATTTAAAATATGTTTTAGGACCTGAGCTCTTCATCACAGCTCTCTCCTTCTCAGATATAAAAACTGGTACAGGGACTGTGGGAGGATGCCCACTGCCCTCTTAGCCAAATCTGGACCCTCCACAATTCAGCCTGGTGATTGCCCTTTAGAAAACCTTGGACCTGGGTTAGGTGAGCAGGCTGACAACGAGAATCCACTCTTAGCATACCTTAAAGGGCGGGGGGAATGTATTAATGAAGACATAAATAAAAGGCTCATTTCTAACTTTGATTACTGACAGGAGCAGCTGAAGTAGCCACAGGGTTAAATTCATAGACAATCTGGATGCCATCTTTGTTTTAAAAAAGAGCAGGTAGCAAACTATACACAAAAAACAAAACAGGTGGCGTTTTAACCAGTGTCAGCCTCCCAGCTTGAGGAGAAACTGGAAAACAGCTCCTGTGGTCAAGGACGTCCTGGCTTGGAGCTCTGCAAGTGCTTGCTGGCTAGTCTCTTCGTCTTTAGCTAGCCAGGAATCCCACGTGCAGCCTTGGGGCAGAGGTGTGCCCAATGTTTGATTGACGGGCTTTCCTTGCCCTGCACTTAAGGATCACTCTTCCCCTGCTTCTGAGTCACGTCCTGTCTATTTAACATGCCCGCAGGGCCCATCTTTTTCTTTAGTAAATGACTCTACCTTGCCATCAGAGTAGGCACGCGCCTGATGTCTGAGCAGATTTTAGGGGAATGGGGGGCTCAGGATTTAGGGCTTTTTCTGGGAATTCCCAGCCAGCCCTCGAATGACCTTTTTCTACTTGTTGTAGCACTTGAAATTCTGAAAGTTAGTATCTATCAGTGTCTTTTCCCCTCCACCGTTAACCCAGGAGCCTCCTGTGTCCGGATAACATCCTTTATCTCGATTTGTGCTACAATCAGCGTGCTGAAACGTGTAATCTCCGTGAAATACACCTTTGTGTTTTGGTAGAAGTCATCAGACTTACTGAATTCAGGTCTCTTTTTAGCAAATGCTTGAGCTGCAGGGTGAAGGCTGATGAATTTGGAGTCAGTTCTCTGCCTTTACTGTTCTTGTTTTGTCGTTCTCAAAGTCCATTTCTTCTCTTAACACCCCTTATTCGAGAGTATTCTTTGCATCTAATTCCTTCACCTTTTCCTCACCACCATATTCTGAGTGTCAAGGACCTCTGGGTAAACCCGGCCTTCGTTTCTCACCGGGATTCAGCCTCTTCTTCTTCTTCTTTTTTTTTATTTTTAGATTTTATTTATTTATTTGAAAGAGAAAGGGTGAGTGAGAGAGCACAAGTGAGGGAAGGGTCTTAGGGAAAGGGAGAAGCAGACTCCCCCACTGAGCAGGGAGCCCGATGTTAGGCTCCATCCCAGGACGGCGGGATCATGACCTGAGCCAAAAGCAGCTGCCCAACCAACTGAGCCACCGAGGCGCCCTGTGGATTAGCAGCTCTGTGAACTTATCCTGTCTAGCTTTGCTTTGAGCTTGCTGGCCCTGCTGTTTGAAATGCGCTGCCCCCTCCACCCTAATCTACCTCTTTGTCCTTTATTTATTTATTTATTTATTTATTTATTTATTGTAAAGACTTTATCTTTAAGTAATCTCTACACCCAACATGGGGCTTGAACTACAACCCCAAGATGAAAAGTTACACACTCTACCGACTGCGCCAGCCAGGAACTGCCCCCCCCCCCCCGCTTTATCCTTTAGGTCTTGGTTTAAATGTCCCTTAATTGGGGTTCCCCACTCCTTTTGTGCTTTCCTTTGTGCCTCTGTGTTAACGCTTAGGCTGCATTGTAGTTGTCTGTTTACTTGTCTGACTGTCCCAAGACTGTTAGTGCCCTGACAATAGGGACCATGTCTTAGTCATTATTGTATTTTACCCTTTGGGATAGTGCAAGGCACTGAATCGGCACTTTGTGATGCGGTGGGGTATATAGAATGCACGAAATGTGGTGGGCAGTGTCTCCCCTCTCCAGTTTGTCTCGCAAGCTGTTGTGAGAAATGTCTTCCAATGAAAAACACTTTCTTCCCATAAAAATGCCGTGGTTTCTCCCTTGTTCAGGACACAGTCCACACTCTAGCTCAGAGTGCAGAAAGGTTGTTTACAGACTGGCCCCAGCTCAACCCTCTAGTCTGAGTTGCTGTCGCCCACTTCATCTGCCCTGTGCTTCATTGCTCCTGAATTTCCCACTGCTCCTGAACGTGCTGTGGCCATCCATTTACTTTCTTCTTCGCTTGTGCATTTTACTCTCCGTGGTTGCCCCCTTCTCGGAAACTCTGCTCGTCCCCTAGGACCCCACTGGTCTGTCACCTCCCATGAGAAGTCTTCCCCACTTTCCTTTCCTCCTCTTGGCACCCATAGCACGTTGTGGTTTTGGCATTTACCATATTATATGGTGATTTCTCTGTTTACTTGTTGGCTTCTTTCATTTAGCTGACCCTCTGTAGAGGAGAGACCCTCCCTGATCATGGGATGAGGGTGAGGGGTTGGGGAGTTGGGAGTGAGGTGAGCCGTGTGATAGAGTCTGATTTTGGAGCGAGGCTGACCTGCTTGAAATCTTGATTCTGCGACTTAAACCAACAGCGTGACTTTGGACAACTGGCTTAAGTAGGACTCTTGGTCTTGTCGCTGTACAGTGAGGGTCACATTATCTTTTTTGTAGGAGTATCGAGCATTAGAGATAATGAGTTCATGGCGTGTAGCATGGTGCCTGTCATACGAAGGATACTCAGTTAATATTTGTTTAGTAAATGAATTCCATTCTGGAAAACACAATGGGTAAGAAAAGGCTTTGTTTTATTCAAGCTAGAATAACACTTTTGATTTCTGCCAGGAGCATTTTTGAGGTGGAAGTAAAATTGGGAGTCTCTCTATAGCAAAGCAATATAAAGGCTGAGGCTAGGGACATCATCAGTGCAAAATAGTTGATGTTTCGTCCCATCTTTTGTGTTGCAATGATTCCTTTGATGGATCCCCTTCATGTGAGGATGGTGGTGACATTGGTAGATAGAGATGAGGGTGGGTAGGTGGTAGATTTGTAATGTAGTTCAGGCTATGACTGGGTGGGGTGTTTGAGGATTCATGTTCCCTGGTGTTTTATGGATTGAAAACTGTTGGATGAAGCTGAAAGAACACATCTAGGCATTCAGGAAGCCAGACTTCTTGGCCCTAGTTTTCTTAGGGCTTTCATGATCTTGTGTTGCAGAACCAGGCCTAACATAGCTACTCCCCAAAAATAGGGCTGGTAGCTGGGAGTTCACTGTCCCTTCTTTGCCTTTTTGTTTTTAGTGTAATTGATGGGGTGGTTCTTAGGGCACCAGTTCCCAACAAACACCCAAGGAATGTGTTTCCAGAAGTCTAGACTTCTTAATTATATAATGCCAGCTGGTGCTCCAGTTTGAGTTTATAGTCCAGGTGAGGAAGATACGTTTGAGTTTTTCAGAGGGCAGCCTTCTTGTCTGGTCCTTGAACCCCTGTCTCAGCCAGCTGCCTGTCCTCTGGGCTCTCAAAGAATGTACCAAACTGTAATGCAAGTGGCTATTAACCTGTCTCCCCCTCTGCCCAACGTGGGGCAAGACCTTTAACTCTGGAAGCTTCTTAGAGGCCCTCCATGGTAGGTGCTGAGCAATTCCCGCTTACTGTGTGACCCAGACCGGTCCTTCTTGAAAGGAAAGCAGATAGGATCTCTCCTTTGAAGTCTTAGGAAACAAGGTCCTGCATAAACAAAAGGTGATAGGATTAGCAGTAGCATTACTAATTATTGTGGAGCTAATGCGGTTCAGAGATCTTCCAGGTACTTGGCTCAGCGGTTTCCCTCTTTAGGCCTCATATGTTCTAGTAACACAACCCTAAGCCAGCAGAAGAGGTTAAAAGCGGAGGTGAAGCGCACACCAGTGGATTTTTTTGCCAGTCCCCATCTTTTACCAAGTCTGGCTGGTGGCACCCTCTTTGTTACTCACGAAGTTCCTCTGATTGCCCATTACCTGCTCGCTTTCCTGGCCGTAGTGCTCATTGTCTGGGTGTGCTTCTGCTCACAGCCAGGGCCTCCTACAACCTTGTTAATGCCTGCATGAGTCAAAAGGACAAGACCAATAGCTGAGAGTGACATGATGGCGTTTTCCCTGGGCTCTGCCCCTTGTCCCTCAGTGTGGGAGTGCACGTTGCAATGTGGCATATCTTTGCCGGTGGTGTCTTGGCAGGGCTGGTAAGCTGCTTCGTATGTTCAGCCAGTTGGAGAGGAGATTGGGTGAGGCAGCAAGACCAGGTTGTGCTGTGTACGTTTAGGCTTCAAAGGGGCTGAGTCTTCCTGGACTGGCCATGAGTGTGAGAGTGGGACCTCTTCTTTGTTAGTTACTGTCTCCTAAGTGCCAGCTGTCTGCGAGGTGACCTTTAGAAGCTGGGAAGGACATGGCCTTCCATTTGTGAAGGGCTCTATGCTTTCCCTGTGAACTGTGTGTGTGTGGTGGGGGGTTCTCTCTGAGGGCAGGGGCCAGGAAGTCAGTCTAGGCTGTGCTGGCTTTACCATGTGCTTCTTGCAGCTAACAGTAGGATAGAATGCTGGGTTTATCATTTGGGGTACTAAATAGGCCTCTTCACCTTCCCAGGTAAGCCCAGGGGTTCTTCAGTCTCAGAAGCCTCAGAGGGCTTTACATCAGGGCAGAATCGTCAGGACTTTCCTGTTGCTCCCTAGAGAAGGCTTCTACCCCAGTTCTGTGTGTGGTCTTGGGCAAATCACTTGTCTTCTCTGTCCCTTCAGAATGGGAGAACGCCACCTGTTCTGTGGGCCTCACTGGGCTACAAGGATCAAAGGACATACAGTGGAAGAGGGAAAGCACTTCCGGGTTGGTAAAGCACAGCACAGATGGAGGGCTTTTGTCCCGTTTGTCCAGGAATTCTGTTTTCATCATAAGCATAGTATGTGTCCTTGCATAAAATACCTGCCATACAGAAACATATGCAAAAGGAAAAGTAAAAAGACCCTCCCTTTCTTCCCCCACTGCCCCTGTGTAAACCCCTTTCCCAAAGACAGGGAAATATCCTATTTCCTTCTAATTTTCATGTTGCTTCTAGACATTCCTCCTCATGTATCTCTTGTAAAATGAACACGACTCAGTAGTAGTACATGCTGTTCTTCAACTTGCTCTGCTCATCTAACACTTTCCCTGGGGTCGATTAGCCCCTGTTGGAGCTTCCTTCCCAGCTAAGGGGCTTCCTCGGGGCCTGGCTTCTTGGGAGGGATGGAGAGTCTTTACTAGAGGTTCTTGCCACAGCAGGCATGCTGGTCGTCTCTGAGGGGTGGTTTTTTATGCTGCAATGAGGTCACCTGGCAGGAGTGCCCTGAGTGGGAATCGGGATGGTTCTAAACATGGTGTGGGCACCATCGCTTCCGCCTCACGTGCATTTCTTCCCTCCGCGCTTCTGTGCTCTGAGGCCAGGAAGAGTAAACTTACCTGATTTCTCAACCTTAGTTTTAACACAGAGACAGTCCCTGCTTTCTGAAACCTTGGATTACCTAGGTTACTTGCTGTTCTGTGTTTTGAAAGCAAACCAGACCCAGCTGTGTTTTTCGGTTTTATTTGTTAGTGAGGATTCTGAAGGGAGCCTGTCAATGGGCATGCATTCTTAGCAGTCTAGGGAAGAGGTCAGAGCCTATAGGAAGAGATGTTCTCTCCTCGGTGGTTATCTCCCCCTCTGGGATCAGGCCTTGGCCTTTTGGGCTCTGCGGCTGTTGTCAGAGTATTACAGGGAGCCCTGGGAGTAGGCAGTTGGGAATGATTAACCTAGGCTTGGGAGAAGGGCCAGGCCCCTAGGTGGTGTCAGGTGGTCGCTGTTTTCCCTCTACCCTGAGTCATGTCATCCACAGGGCTTTCCAGACAGAAGGGGAATCCTTCTGTTTTTTCCTTGCCAACATGCAGCCCTCCTCTGTGAGCACAAGCAGTATTTGCTCAGTATTTGCTGCTGCATTTGCTGTGCTCTCCTCTCCTGCCGCTCCAGGGGACACATTTTGTGGGTTTTCTGGGACCTTGCTGCTACGGCTCCATTTGTCTTGTGATCTCTAAGCCAGAGTGGGTTACTTCACTTGGGTGGTTCTGGAGGCTTCTGGAGAGATTTTCTCCTGTTCCCTGGGCTTGCTGTGATGGGAACACTAGTCTCTGGGCACTGCCCGTTCTGAGTGGGTGGAATGGTCGCTGCTGGGAGTGTGAGGAGCCTGGCTGCAGCATGGCCTTTATCCTTGCTCTCTCGACTCCTCTAGGGCCAGCTCCCTGGGAAGTGCCATCCCCTGGCCTGTCCTGAGGCTGGCCCAGCTTTGGGCCAGGTCACACACTGCCCCATTGTGTGGTGCCTTCCGTGCACTTCTTGTTGCAGCCTCTGATCCCTGTGCCAGTCCTCTCCCAGCCCCTTGCCTCGGAGCCCGCGGGAGGTGGCAAGGTAGGCTCTGCTGGCGCAGACCTGGAATGGGTGGCAGCGGCAGCTGTGGCCAGCTTTGTTCCGACAACCCCACTTTCGGAGCTTGGTGCAGCCTGGCAGCCATGTCCAGGGAGAAGGCAAGACTGGGGAGCTGCCCCTTGGCAGCAGTGCCCCCTTCCACGTCAGCTCTCCTCTCCTCGGCTTGACCGACCAGAGAGCTCTGTCACCTGGGGTCAGCCAGCTGGACTCACTGGCTGGCAAGGGGGCATGCTGCGCTTCTGCCTGGCATGATTTTTGGATGGGAGAAGGCCCCCGAGGGTCTAGTGGTAAGTCTGGAGGAGCTTGCCCTGTCAGAAGAGCGCAGCGTGTACCCTCAGGCATCTTGCAGCTTGGCATTCCTTCTGCTCTCTCTTTGCAGCTCCGGAGTTGGGCTGCTCTCAACCAAGCTGTCTGTTTATATGGAGTGCCTGGAGGGCGTCTGCCATGAGTCTGTCGCTAACCGTGCTAACCAGGAGAGCTGGCTGGTGGGGGAGAAGACACTAACCCTGTGAGTCTAACCTGGGCCAGCTAGCCTGCCCTGGGGGGTACCATCAAGCAGTGCCTCAGTCACCCCTCACACTCCCCCAGCCAGCCTGGCTGCCTCTTCCCCTTACCTCATGCCTCCTCTGCTCTCTTGTCCTTACTGCTGTCCCTCCACCTTCCCAGTCTCCTTGCTGGGGTGGTGAGGGGGGATGTTTCTGTTCAGTCACTTTAAGCATTATGGAGTTTGAGAACATCTCGCAGTTACCATGCTCTGTTTCACAGCTCGGAAACAGATGGAGCCAGAGTGGGAGGAAGTTTTCTTCTCGGCTAGATAGTTGCTTCCCTTTGTCAAGTGGGGAAGATTGAATGGTGTCCCCATTATTCTCACCCAGGATAATCATTTAGGATCAACTGCAAGGTTCTCCTTAAGGTTGGTGGGGGGGTTGATGAAAACTGTGGCCTGGCTGTGGGAAACTCCCTGGGCAGAGAGTGAAGCTGAAAGCTTGAGTCCAGAACTAGGTAGTCACCTGAGATAGAGCTCGAGTAGGTGGAGTGGGTGGACTTTGGCCCCCCCGACTGCCTTCCCTCTGCAGAGCTTCAGGTGGACTTTAACTGGGAAGAGCTGGAAGGGCACCTCCGCCAGAGCAAACGGGACCTGGCTTTGGATTCCACAGTGGGCCTGGGAGAGGCCTTAGCTTCAAACTGGGAAGCTGGTGAAGAGCCTGCCATAGAGAAGCTCCTGCCAGATTCCCTGCTCCTTCCAGGGTTGGAAAGGAGAAGGGGGCTCTGGGGATAGCGGGAAGGTGGATTGTTCGGGCTCCCTGGTGTTCTGCACAGGTAACTCCTTAGACAGCCTGTCTGGCTCCAGCCTCTGGAGTCTGTGTGGTACAGCGCAGCTTGGGACCTGGAGGCCCTCTGGGTGGGCTCTCTTTCCCTTGGGCCAGGAAGGAGAAGCAGGGAGCTTCCTGTTCGGATGGGGTGGGAATGCGTAAATGTGTGAGGGTGTAGGGGCTGCCTGGTGTGTAGGGACCCTGGGTCGGGAGGAGCCAGCTGAGGGGTGAGGGTTGCCTGGTGTCTGGGCTCTGGCCAGGAAAACAAGAGGGGCCTACAGTGGAGAGCTGGCTCAGGGCCACCCCTTACCTTGCCTTAGGCGAGGGCATGGGGACTTTGGGGCCCTGCCTTTATTTAGGGGTGGTTGCTTGGATCATCAGCAATAGTTGTCTTCAGCCCCTTTGTTCCTGTCAGGTGTTGCTTGAGTGAGAGGCCAGCTGGATAGACTTGAGGTATTTGCTCAGGTGGGAGCCAGGTGAGCTCTCCAAGGTCCCCAGCACTGGTTTAGAGTCCTCAGGCTTACTCTGGGGCAGAATAATTCCCACCCACTTTTTATTTATTTTTTTTTTTAAAGATTTTATTTATTTATTTGTCAGACAGAGAGAGAGGGAGAGAGAGCAAGCACAGGCAGACAGAATCGCAGGCAGAGGGAGAAGCAAGCTCCCTGATGAGCAAGGAGCCCGATGTGGGACTTGATCCCAGGACGCTGGGATCATGACCTGAGCCGAAGGCAGCTGCTTAACCAACTGAGCCACCCAGGCGTCCCCCCACCCACTTTTTAAAAACCTGTCAGTCGGTGCCAGTTAGAGCAGGCAGGGGGCCAGGTCAGGGCCGCAGGCAACGTGTCCCAAGAGGGTGAGATGGTACTTGCCTAGAGGGGTGGCAGGCATGGCTGCTGGAGGGACAGCAGGGCTGGTCTGGGCACAGACTGGCATCTCCCAGCCTAGTCATCGGCCCAGAGCAGAGCCTGCCGAGGCCCCACCCCGTGCTCTGCTGGCTGCTTGCCTGCCACGCGCACAGGATTGCTGAGGGCTTTGCTCATGTACCTCAGGAACAGCTGCATGCCGGAAATGGGGGGCTGGCAGCAAGCAGGAGGGGCACCCGGGGGGCAATGAGGGGGAGGGATGAACCCAGCCAGCTTTGGTGGGATGGGCTCACCGTGTGTGGGGGGGGGGCTGACACTCGAGGTAGAGAGGGGCTGTATTAATTGTGTTTGTGGGGGGGCGCTCCTTGCAGGCAATCTCCAGGGCCTCTGCTGGGTGTCCTGGCTACAGGGCTGGCCCTGGCAGGGTGGTGGTTCGTGTTTCTTTGGTCTCAGTCAGATGCAGACCCTGAATTTCAGAGGCTTGAGAGGCAGCCAGACTTGTATGGCAGGAGTGCCCTGCCCCCAAAGGCACAGCTTCCTCCAGGCCTGCGAAGTTCAGAGATGCTATCCAGGGCTTACAGCTGAGGGCAGTTCCCACAGAGGAGGCACTAGGCCCTGTGTGATCAGATATTCATGTTTTAGCCATTGATGAGCAGCTTTAGGAAGGGCCTGTGTTTATTTTTGTTACTTATTTGTATCGTGCCGGGTTCCACAGGGGAATTAAGGCAGCATAAAACACAAATGGAGTGTTCTGGAAAAGGGCTGATTTCCTTTCATTCTCAAAGCAATAGCGATTGCTAAATGAGTGATTCTGTTTGACTTTCTTCAAGTGAATTATGAAGAGCTGTAGTGATTTTTGTGGTGATGTGTGGCCCTTCCCTGATGGTCTCTCACTTGTTTAAGTCGGTGACACCTATGAGTAGAAAGGCATTGTCGTACGTTTGAGAATGGCCTGAGCCCAGATAAACTGTTGGGGCCATAATTTCTTACAGAGTGTGGGTGATGTAGGGAGCAGGGGAGGCCAGGCAGGAGAACCGGGGAGGATGGAGTGAGGTCCTGGTGTGGGACTTGAGCACCTGGAGACCTCCGTGGGGCAGACTAAAGTGTTAAAAGCCACAGAGCCACACCCATTTTGGTTTCACTCCCTTCTCCTTCTGCAGGGGGAGAGCTGGATGCTTAGACCTCCCCTCCTCTCCTGTACTTTTGGCTTTGCCCTGGGCAGACCTACAGAAAAGATGGCAGAAGGAAGTGAGAGGGTGCCCTGGGCTCTTGGGCTTAAACCTTCTTGCTGTCGCCTACTGTGGGTATTTGCAGAGAGTGGGAGTGAGGATATGGTTTGGAGAAAATCTGGATTCTGAAGGTTTCTCCTTATCCTGCTCCATCTCTAGCAGTGGTGACTGCTGACTGTGGTGGCAGCCCCAGGTCACATCCGGGCACTTATCTACAAAAAGGAGCAGGTGTGAGTCCCGTCTCCTGGGTAAAGAGGGATGCTTGGCAAATTTTTTGTCCTTTGATTAAAGGCTACTGCCCCATGTCCGGCACACATTTTTCATTATATCTGCCTCTGACTACACTCTGCTCAGCTGTGCAGTGGGTTCACAGTGCAGGTCTGCTGTGCGTGCTGAGTCCCATTTCTAATGAAAGTAGACTTTGTTCTCTGGAGGCAGCTAATCGTGCCCCTTGGGCTGTAATCAGGGAGAAGGTATTTAATACAGGGCAGGCGGCAACAGGCGGCCTGCACTGACTGGCAGATTGCAACATGGCAATTAGGAAGCTCTCACCCCCCTCTCCGCCCCAGCAGGGCCTGCATCTCCTCTGAGCAGAGTTTTGAGTGAGTGAAGAATGAATGCTATGCCAAGGAGGACCGGGGAGGTGAGGCTTGGGGGCGGGGGCCTCGAGAAGAGCCACTTTCCCTTCTGGAGGCTGCTCTGGGTGTCTACCTCAGCAGTGCCTGCAGGGTTGCAGACCAGACTGGGTCAGCCAGAGTTTTTCACCTAGGCCTCAGCTGTTCTCGTAGTGCAAACCTAGCTTGCGATCTGGTATCCCCACATCCTGAGTCCTCTGCCCCCAGTTCCTTGAAGCTCAGATTGTGTGGGGTGAGGGGTGGGAGTGGGCTTCTTCTTGGTCAATTTCTAGACCTTCCAAAAGACCATTTTCTTGGAGGTGTCCTGGAGCCAGCTCAGCAGACGGAGGCTGGGACCCCAAAGGCCGCTTGCTTGCTTATCCTGGCCTGTATCGCATTCTGAGTTATTCAGCTGCTTTTCCTGGGGACTTCCTCTTCTTGACAGGGGATTGGACCGAAACATGCCAAGGCAACATGGAATCTTTGGGTAAAGGAGACATGGCCAGTGGAGGCCACAGATGGTTGCTGGGTCTTGCCGATGGGACTGCTCTGCTGTCTTGCAGCTCACCTTTTTTTTTTTTTTTTTTTTTAAGATTTTATTTATTTATTTGACAGACAGAGATCACAAGTAGGCAGAGAGGCAGGTAGAGAAAGAGGAGGAAGCAGGCTCCCCACTGAGCAGAGAGCCCAACGTGGGACTCAATTCCAGGACCCTGAGATTACGACCCGAGCTGAAGGCAGAGGCTTAACCCACTGAGCCACCCAGGTGCCCCTGCAGCTCACCTTTTATCTTCTCCTGGCTGTGGGCCTGGTGTCTAGCTGCTTCTCACTTTGTTCTCCAGTAACCCTGGCATGGCTCTCCCTCCAGGGTCTGTCCTGCCCTGCTGTGCTTCCAGTCAAGGACAGTGGCCTGTGAGGCCCATCACATTCCTGTTCAGTGCTGGAATTGGCTCCCCGCTCTAACACCTCCCCCCCTCCCCCGCCATGGGCTGGATCTGGGGGCACTTAGCACATCTCAGGAGTTGGAACTAGGGCCCCAACACATACTGGTATTTATTGACATGAGGCAGGGAGTGAGAGTGAGACAGACTCCCCTCATGGGCTTGTGTCGGGGACACTGCAGGCTCCCTCACAGACTGTCTCCCTAGTGGGCCTTGCCTTCTGCTTCTCCAGTTGGGAGTGGCTCCCCTCCTTGTGGCTCTGGTGTGTATGGAAAGAGTATGCTCTGGCCAGGATAGATAACTGCCTGCCATTGCTGGCTCCATTCATCCCGGAGTGTCCGCGTTTGCAGTACTCCTCCCATCTCCCTGCCAGCCACTTCCACACTGTCCCTCAGCAAGCTAGGTTATCTGGTGCAGAAAGCCCTGGGAGTATATGGTGTGAGGCCAGGGAGTGGAGACTTGACATCAAGATGACCAGGATGTGTGACAGGTAGAGCTAGGGCCCCAGGGCATGGAGTGAAGGCCACTGTCCTTCGGCTAGTATCCCCAGGTACCTGAGCACATCAGTGTGCTCCCGGCCTGCCTGCCTGCCACCCATTTAGTGTCCTGGTGCCTAGAGGCCAGAGTGGGTATTAGCAAGAATAGGGCTAAGGAAGAAAAGAGGCTGAGAATCGAGGGGATCTGCAGCATGACCTGCAGGGAGAAGGGGACTGCTCAGCTGCTTGGGGAGCAGATGGGGAAGGGAGCAGGCCCAACTCGAGCCTCCTCACCCCTGGATGTTGCAGAGGTTCTTGGCTCCCTGTGTCTCTTACTCTGCATCTCTGGCTGTTCCCCTTTCTAATTCAGGTACCCCACACTTATACCCTCTGAGTATTAGCACCCACCTATCCAGGCTGGCTTGGAACTTTCTGGGCCTTCCCCCAGGCTATAGGATCTCCCACCCTAGGGCCCGCAGGAGGGGTAGCCCCGAGGAACCTGCGGGGGTGACTTGTTTGCTCCCCCACACCCTAGGAATGTGCTGTCCTTTTGGGCCCGCCCGGATTCCTGCGCAGGGAGTCAGCTCGACACAGCACGCTGCTTGTGCCCTGTGGGGACATGTCCGCCTCCCCATCAAAGGGGTGGAGGTTGGCGGCTCGTGCCTGCTGCCATACCCCAGCTCCCCCTAGAACCCCAAGCCAGAGACCAGGTTGCCCAGACAGAGGAGGGAGGCCACTCCTGCTTCCCCACCCTCCCTACCCCCTCACTGTTCTTCCTGCCCCAGGCTCTGTTGGAATGTGACAGGAGTCATGGCCAGGGCATGTCCCGACAGCAGGAACACATGCTTTAGCCCGCAAGGCTTCCCTAGGCCCCCAGCTCTATTTAGGAGGATGGCGGCAGGAGGCGGCGGAAGGCGGCAGAAGGTTGTTTATGCCCAGAAGGCCACCTAAGGTTAACTGCCTCCATGGGCCCCTGTGGTGGCTGCTGCCCCCGTGCTGCGGCCCAGCTCATTACAGGTGGGGGCAGAGCTTAGCGCGCCAGAACCTTTGGGGAACCTGTGGGGACCTCACCGGTCACTCAATCTAGCCACCTCTGTGTGGAAGAGGGACCAGTGAGGGACTGAGCTGGGGCCATACAGTGTGTCAGAAGCAGCGTAGCTTCTGACACTGGGCAGTATCTCAAATCCCTGGACTCAAGCTTTCTGCCTGGGAGTTCCTCAGCCTGGGTGTTGTCAACGTTGTGTGCTGATGATTCTTCATTGTGCGGCGCAGTCCGGTGCGTGGCAGGGTGTTCAGCAGCATCCCTGGCTTCTCCCCACTAGGTGCCAATAGCTCTCCCCGCCGTTGTGACAGCCATTCACACATGGCCAGGGATCTGGGAGGGGCCAAGTGATGGAGGTGGGCCATAGTCACCCTTACTGAGATTGCACAGTCATTGCTGCTTTTTCAGATTTTCCTCTCCTGGGTCTACCTTTCCCTGTTGCAAAGTCTGTTTACAACTTTTACACACAGAAGTAGGATTTGGGCTCCTGGAAACATGGCCAGGAACTTTTCCCAGCATCTTGTGGGTCTCTACTAGGCTTTTTCCTTGTATTCTCTTCTGCAAGCCGTGTTCCCCAAATCTCTTAATTTCTAGACTCTGAGAGACCTGGGAGATGAACAGGACAGATGTGAGGTAGGATAGGGACAGGACAGGACCAGACCTATTCCAGAATCAGGCACGTGGTGAGCTGAGACCACGAGCACATACAAGACGCGCATGTGTATCGTCTAGGGCTGTGCCTGTGCTTTCATGGAGAAAGGAGCCCCGTGCCTCTGGTCCTCTCCCGCCTCCATTGCTTTCCCCAGATCCCCTGGGCCATGGCTTTTCTGCCTGGCTCTCCCTAGGGGCCTTCCCGGGCCTGGACTGGGTAGGCCGGCCGGGGGCACCAACAGACCCGTGCCTGACAACCTGGTTTCCACTTTCTTCCCTTCTCTAGTTTCAGGAGCTGTTGGCTAGAGGAAGTGGAGGGGCCGTGGGATGCAGAGAGTCGAGGGCTAACTCCAGGACAGCGGAACAGAGAGAGCTGCCGACAGTCAGACGGTATGTCCCTGGGAGGCCTGCACCCCACCTTGGCCCCCTTCCGGCGAGGCTGGCAGGCCAAGGGGCAGACAGGTGGCCCCTCGTGGTGGGGGGCTGGTGAAAAGAGAGTGGTGGAGGCCAGAGAGTCTTGGCCTCCAGGACTCTCAAGCTTGGAGATGCCCCCCTTCTGAGGAGCCTGGTTTGGGGGAGCATCTTCAAACCCTTACTTTCTGGATACTTGGCGGGATGGGGGAATTTGTTTGTTTGTTTTTTGGGGTTTTTCTGAGCTCACACGTGTGGAACGTTTCCTAAGTGCCAGGTAACTGGTTAGTGGCTTATGTAATCTTCACAACAGGTCTGTGAAGTCGGTGCTCTTCTCATCCCCAGTGTAGGGTAGATGACACTGGTGCAGAGGGAATGGGTTTTCTCTCGAAGGCCTTTTTGTAAGGCCACGGAGGGGAGCAGTGGGTTGCTCTTAGATACCTTGTCTCACTACTAGGCCACAGCCTCTCTTCCTGGTGCCCAGGCCATGGGCCCTGCCTTCTGCCTCCCTAGTCTGGTTGCATTGGGCCCTTGTCCCCTCCAGTACTCCCCTGACCTGTGGGCACTGATCCACCAGAGTCCAGGTTTCTGATGTCCCCAGCAATGGCCCAGGCCTGCCTGGGTGCCGGGTGGTTCCTATGTATGTTCCATTTACTGTCCTTGGCCAGAGGCCTCTTGCCCATGTCTCTGAGCCTCCTCCTTCCTGGCTTCTCCACAGCAGGTTGAGAATCCCTCACATCCAAGAATGACCAGTGCGGCCCCTGCTAAGAAACCGTACCGCAAGGCACCCCCCGAGCACCGGGAGTTGCGGCTGGACGGTCCAGGATCCCAGCTGGAGCAGGAGGTCAGGAGACGCCTACTCCTACCCTGGCTGGTAGATGCGGGCCCCTGAGGCTGGGTGCCTGACTGACTTCTCCCGCCTGAGAGGACTTCTGGGCCCCCGAGCAGGGGCATGGGGGTTGTGCTGCTGTGTCGTGCCAGGGGGCTCCTAGCAGCAGCACTGCTGCTAGGGGCAGTGCAAGCTCGCAGGACAGCTGTGAGCACATGACCCCTTGTCAGGGAACCCCCGAGTCTTCGTGGCTCAACAGAAATGCTCTCAGGCAGTATTGTTCTTCCGACAAGAGGCAGCCCACCAGACGGAGGGGTCCTCACGTGCTGGAGGCTGGGACTCTCTGGAGGAGGTGGAGGTGGTACTCTGGCTTCTTCCCACCAGACCAACTGTTCTTTGCTGTCCCCAGAAGTCCGGCCCTTCCTCCATCTTTGCCTGGTCTAACACTGATGAAAGACATACTCCCTGCCAGGACCAGAACCTGTTAGGTTCTCAGGGGGACTTCTTCAAGCCACTGTGAAACAGTCTCCAAACGGGCTCTTCTCCCTCATTTGGTGGAAAGGAAGTGTGTGTTGCAGTCAGTTTGCCCGGCTGCTTGTCCCCACCCTGTTGCCACACAGTGCACATTTGCAGAGCTCCGAGATCTCCGACCCCGCGGAGCATCAGGCATACCATGGCCTGTTGTAGTCCAGTTCAGGGTGGGAATGCTGGGACTTGCCTAGTCTCAGTTCAGGGAACATTCAGTAAGAAGGCCATATACTGTGATAGGTGCCATCCCTGTGGGCATTCCCTTGGTTTTGTAGATGAGGACACTAAGGCAAGGTTAGTACAAGCAGAGTGTCGTAGAATGGGATCAAATGCAGGTGTCATTGGCTCCAGAGCCCATGATCCAGGCCACCCACCTCTTTTCCGGCCTGTGATCGGCATTCTGAAGCAGTCACCTCCATTTGGAGCGGGCCTCTTGATGTTTCCCTGCTCTGTGGCTGGCTGAGCTCTGGCTCTTGGGCTATGATCAGAATGGGGGCTTGGGGAAGATGGGGCAGGAGGTTCCAAGCAGGACAAGGAGAAGACACATCACTGCTCTCAGTCAGGACTATCCCAGAGGCTCTCCTTCATGCATGTTCTGGTTCGTTCTGAGGACCTGGAAGGGCCTGATTCTGCCCCATCTTCCCTCCAGGGTCCAAGCGGGCTTTATTAGAGCTCAGAACCCTACTGTAGCTTGCTTGACTTCTTCACTTCTTTGGAAGGTCTCTGCCATGCCTGTGGGGCCCACTCCGAGCCCAGGGAACAGCTGGGAGGCTCTGTTTATCCCTGGGAGATGTAGCATGGGTACCAGGACTCATTTGCAACTTGCTCTAGAATTACGAGAGGGTTTGGAAGTGGTGTGGGTAAGGGTGAATGTTGGAAGAGGTTCTCAAACCTTCTGGTTGGCGTGGGAAAGGGTGATCCAGGCGTTGCTGGATTGCCTCCATCTCTCCAGGGCCCACTTCTGTGAGCTTGCTTGGGCTTTAGACATGGCCCTTTCCAGGGCTTTTTGGAGGGTGGGCAAGCAGGGTGGGCCAGTGGTCTAGGGCTGAGCCTCAAGCTTCCATTCTTTTGTGCCCAGGAACCCCTGACTGATGCGGAGAGGATGAAGTGAGTATCCACTGCCCGAGAGCCTGCCCTGCCTCAGCACTTCCTTCTTAGCTCCAGGCACGGCTGTTGGTACCACCGGGCTTTTCACTGGATTAGGGAGAAGTGAAGGTTAGGTGGGGTATTTAGGGATTCTGGGAGGAGGCCTGATGTGGATATTTCCTTCTGAAGAGAGTTTTTGTTCCATGGGCTCCAAGAGAACCTGGAACCAAGGAGGTAGGTGCTCAGATGGGCCTGCTCTTGCCAAAGAGCCCTTCCCTAGCTCCTGGTCCTCCTGTGCCAGCTGCCTCCCTGCAGCCCTTTCTGTCAGCTACATCAGGCCTTTGGAGAGGAGGGCAGTGCTAGGCTGGATTTCCAGGAGATTAATAATAGAGCAGCCTGATTGTGCAGTGGGGAAACCGGAGCTGGAGGGCTTGGTGGCCGGCTGGCTTAGGCTGTAACCAGAGACAGACTGGGAAGTCTTACCCCCGCACCAGTTCTGTCTTCTCATTCTTCTTCACAGGTGGGGGTGGATTCTACCATGCCCTCTGCTCCCCACCGCCCCCCTCCCCACCTCACTGCCCCCAACCAGGCTGTGTTTTCAGGGCTAGCAAGCCTATGGAATATGCTGCCCCAGACTCAAGACTCCTCCTTTTGCCTATGCTCGTGTCATCCCTACTCCTTCAAGCTTCTTGAACCCAAACTGGGGCTCCAGGGCTGGCCTGTCTTAATGCTGATTCCCCTCTGCCTTTGATCCCTCACCCTGCCAGGCTCTTGCAGCAGGAGAATGAGGAGCTCCGTCGGCGCCTGGCCTCGGCCACCAGGCGCACTGAGGCCCTGGAGCGCGAGCTGGAGATTGGGCAGGACTGCTTGGAGCTGGAGCTGGGCCAGAGCCGTGAGGAGCTAGACAAGTTTAAGGACAAGTTCCGCAGGTGTGGAAATGAAGGGCCAGGTGCCCATGCACATATATCCCCCTACCCCACCCCATCCATGGGAGGTTAGCCAGAAGAGGCCTCAGAGATCATCTGATTGTTTTGGGGAAACCGAAGCTCTGGGAGGAGAATGACGTGCCCCACATCCCATATCAGGGAGGGGTTGAGGAGGGCCTGAAGAGCAGATCTTGACCCAGGGATCTGCCTTGTGTTCCTCTACAGGCTTCAGAACAGCTACACGGCTTCTCAGAGGACCAACCAGGAGTTGGAGGACAAGCTGCACACGCTGGTAATCTGTCGGGGGGCGGAGGGGCATGGGGGCACTTCGGCTGGCACTGTGCTCACAGCATAGCAGGGGGCTGGGACTTGCCCATGGAGTGCCACTGTGCCCTGGGGCTTGGGGAGGGGGTGGGACAGGGTGGGCAGGGGACCGCAGTGTGCTGTGCGAGTCAGGACTGTCTTAGTGCTCACACTGTTTCTCTTCTCTCCCGGCTTCCCCTCGCGCCGCCGCCGCCGCCGCCGCCCTCTCCCGTCAGGCCTCTCTTAGCCACAGCTGGATCTTTGCAGTTGCGTCTGAGTTTGTGTGTTTTCTCCCTTGCCCTGGCCTCCTCCTCAGCTCAGACCTGGGGTTGCTGGGGCCCCGGCCGTTTATCTCTGCCCACTGCTTTCCTCCTCCTTACGTGAGGCCTGCTTGGTACAGTGCCTCCCTCCTGGGGAGACAGCTGCGGGCTGGTGCTTGGCGCTGGCAGAGGTCCTGACTGATGTCACCGCTGAACACTCACGGCTTCTTGGCTGTGGTGGCAACAAGCCCAAGCCATTTGTGGTTGTGGGGGGGGGCACTCCAGCCCCTGAACTGAAGATCAGAGGGCTGCTGCTGAGGCCGCTGCTCTCTCCTGGCTCAACTAGATAATCTCACAGGCGCCCCCGGCTGCCACCCCGCCCCACCCCTCCTCCTTCTTCCTAGTCTAGCCTGGAAAGTGCTCCACGTGTAGGCTTCGGCCCCTGGGTTTGTACACTTACTCCTCAGGTCCAGCTGCCTGACCTGCTGTGTAGAGCCCCTCGAGGGGCAACTCTTGTATGGTCTCTGTCCTTGGCCCTGGTGGCAGCAGGTCATGTTCAGAAAGCCCCCACCCCACAGCCAGCCCGGAGAACAGGAGAGGTGGCTGGTCTTCTGTCTGTCCATCGTCTGTCTATTCCGTCCGCCTTGGCTGCCCCAGCACCTGTGGCTTCCTGTGTCTCTGGGCTGGGGGGAGGCGGAGGGGAGGGAGGCCAGCTGGGGTCGGGGGGCGAGGTTCACATGAGTTTTGTGCCTCAGATCAAGAAGGCTGAGATGGATAGGAAGACGCTGGATTGGGAGATCGTGGAGCTGACCAATAAGCTGCTGGATGCCAAGAACACCATCAACAAACTGGAGGAGCTCAATGTATGTGCACTGGAGGGCCCTCCCCGCCTGCGGCTGGGTTGGCCCCAGAGTGGCCACACTGCGCGGCACGGGGCTGGCTGGTGACGCCCGCCTGTATCTGCAGGAGCGGTACCGGCTTGACTGCAACCTGGCTGTGCAGCTCCTCAAGTGCAACAAGTCCCACTTCCGCAACCACAAGTTCGCTGATGTGAGCAGAATGCTGTCCCCGCCGCTGCGAGCCCCGCCCCAGGACTCCTCTCCCGTGGGGTTTGATACCACAGGCCACTGGCCTCCTCTCCCCCTTTCTGTTTTGCCTGCCCCTCGCCTGCATGTTTCCCCTTGAGTCAGTCAGCTCTGCCACTGATCGGTGTTCCATGTGCTGTCAGGGGACCATTGCTAGCGCAGGGGCTGGCCTGGCTGGGATTTCTGGAACAGACACACGGAGAGAGGCGCCCCCTTTTGGGAGCCCATGCCCAAGGTGGGGGTGGCTACTGACCATAAGAATATTGAGGGGATTTGGCTGAACTGACCGTGTTACCGCAGCAGGCGAACTCTAGAGCCTCAGGCCCAAGGCTCACAGGGTCTATAGAAGGAGTGGAGGCGTTCCTGAGGCCACCGGCCAGTGCAGGTGCCTCAGACTTCCATCTGGTTTGGGCAGAAGCCTCTGTTGAGATGGGGGGAGAGGGATGTTGGAGAGCTCATGGGCTTTAGTGCTCTGAGATAAGCTGCTGGGTGTGTTCCTCTGACTCTTCAGGTTGTTCGCCCCTGCGGAGCATCGGTTTGTCTGTGAAGCGAAGCTGTGCGCCGGGCTGGTGTGAGACCAGTGCGGTAGCCATTACTTCTGCTCAGAAGTTGGGAGCATTCATGTGTCTCTTTACTTTTTCTGCTCTTTTACCCCAGCTGCCCTGTGAGCTACAGGACATGGTCCGGAAACATCTGCACAGTGGTCAAGAAGCTGCCAGCCCTGGCCCCGCCCCTAGCCTGGCACCAGGGGCTGTGGTCCCCACGTCAGTCATCGCCCGAGTGTTAGAGAAGCCAGAGTCTCTGCTGCTTAATTCGGCGCAGTCAGGCAGTGCTGGGCGCCCCTTGGCTGAGGATGTCTTTGTGCATGTGGACATGAGTGGGGGTGGCCTGGGTGAACCTGCCAGTCCCCCCGCCCCTGGCAGCCCCACCCCACAACCCAATGGAGAATGCCACTCTCTGGGCACTGCCGGGGCCTCCCCAGAGGAGGAATCGCCCTTGCCAGCCTTTGAGAAGCTGAGTCCCTATCCCACCCCATCTCTACCACACCCGCTCTATCCTGGCCGCAAGGTCATAGAGTTCTCTGAGGATAAGGTGCGAATCCCCCGCAACAGCCCCCTGCCCAACTGTACTTACGCTACGCGCCAGGCCATTTCCTTGAGCCTAGTGGAGGAGGGCGGTGAGCGGGCCCGCCCCAGCCCAGTGCCCAGCAGCCCCGCCTCGGCCCAGGCATCACCCCACCATGAGCCCAGCCCTCTTCCCCCAGTACTCAGTGCCCCAGCCAGCTCTGCCAGCTCCGAGGAGGACCTGCTCGCCAGCTGGCAGCGGGCATTTGTGGACCGCACTCCACCCCCAGCCTCTGTGGCCCAGCGCACAGCCTTCGGACGCGATGCGCTCCTTGACCTGCAGCACCATTTTGCTCTTAGTCCCACCGACGGAGATGAGGAGGTTCTGGCACCTTCTCCACCTAGTGAGAGTGGGCTTTTGCTGCCCCTGGAAGCTGACCCTGGCCTTTCCAGGGGGGAGGAGGAAGAGCTGAACCTGCCCATCAGCCCTGAGGAAGAACGCCAGAGTCTGCTGCCCAGTGATGGTGGCACGGAGGAGGGGCCGGTCACTTCCCACACTGAGGGCCGGGCCTGGGCACTCCCCAACTCCAGCCGCCCCCAGCGCAGCCCCAAGAGGATGGGGGTGCACCACCTGCACCGCAAGGACAGCCTGACTCAGGCCCAGGAGCAGGGCAATCTGCTCAACTAGGGTGCCTGCTTGCTTTCCTGCCATGGCTACACTGGGACCATGGGAGCCCCCCTACCCTGCCCCAGAGCCCTCCTCCCTCAGGCCAGCACCACTCTGCTCCCTGTGCAGGGTTGGGGGAGAGGGGGAGAGCACACCGGGCTTTTTAGGTGCATTGACTATGACTGGCCCCAGCTTGCCTCGTACCTTTCCCTTTTCTTTATAGAGTATGTACTTCCCAAAGGTAACATGCAGCTGGGGCTCTAGACCTTTCTTCCGGTCAGCCCAAACTGGGCTGTTTTGGGGTGCTGACAGGTCTGTTACATCAGTGTTCATCTTCCATCCCCATTTCGTACCCACAAATGGTTTTCTTATTTGTTTTCCGAGGGTGGGAGGGGAATGTCATTTGGATTATTAACTTCTAATTTCTATTTTCTGCCTGCTTTCCTCTCCTCAAGTCCTCTGCACAAGCTGTTGCATTCAAGGGGTCCTTGGGGGATGAGGGAGAGGACTCACTCAGGGCTTGCCTCAGCTGTGTCCATCCTCTCTCTGGAAGGGAGAAGAGGGAGGGATTTGGGGGCCTCAAGCTGGGCTGTGGGTGAGGCCTGGCCCCCTCCCAACCTTGGCTCTAGACTGTTACTCCCAGCTTTGGGATGTTTTCACATCAATGACTATTTTAAAATTAAAACTATTTTACTGATACTGCCTAATTTGTCTATTAATGGTTTTCCTTGTGCAGTTTTTCTCCCCACTCTTGAGCTTTCCAAATCCTAGCCAAGCTCTGGTCTTGGCTAGTGAGTCCCCGGTGCTGCACTCTGCCTGGGGTGTCTGTGGCCACAGAGCATCAGGCAGCAGGAGAAGGTGTACCTCAAGTAACCTCAGCAGGGCCCGAGTCTCCTCGAGGTAGGGTTCAGTGCAACCCAGCCCTGGAGGTGAGCTTTTTACCTTAGTTATGATCTTTGGCGGGGGGGGCCTGGTGTAAGGTGTCACCCCAGAATCCCAGATCCTACAAGTCCAAGACCTGAGCCAGACGTAGTTGACATTTGGGGCCCGTTGATGCTGCCTGGAGCTTGGACTGTGGGGTGGCACTGCCCCCTAGTGTTCAATGGTTCTAATTCCTCCCCTACTGCCCATCCCCAGGGAGCACAGCCACACGACAGGTTGTAGAGTTCATAAAATCTCTTCCGAGCCAGCGGGTTGCAGCCAGAGCTGCCAACAAGTCCAGAGACATCACCTTGGGTTCGCGTGTGCCCAAGGCTTTTGCTTAGCTTCCAGAGCTTCCCATCGCTGCCGGGAGCTACCAGAGCCCCCAGCACCCCCACCTCCCTCCCAGGCCCTAGGCTTGACCCTGACATCCGGGGTAAGGTGCTGGGGACATAGACAACATGTAATGATGCGCAGAAGCCCGAGCAGAGAGTCACATCTCGGTTTCAGCCAACAGACTATCACCTAGTCCTGAAGTCATGAGCACCATCTGAGAGCTGGGATCTGTGGAAAGGCAAAGGGCTGTTCAGACCACCATTTGTCCCTCCACCAGGGACACAGGTGGGAGGCGGCTGAGGTCTCCCACACCCACTCTCCCTGGCCTAGGCCTCTTTGGGATCTGGATCTGCCCGGCCCTGGGGGTTCTTACCACTGGGGCACATCCAGGAGCTGCTGCTCCTCTGCTGGGCAGCAGGCTCTCGCCCTCTCTCCTGTTCCTGCATGTCACCAGCCCCTCCTGCCACCTCTTCCTCCTCCTCTCCCTCTGAGAGGAGGTCACAGATCTGTTGCTGCAGCTCGGGGCTAATGCTGTTCTCAGCCAACACCAGGCTCCGCAAAGCCGTGGGGTAATTTTCTACCATGTCCAGCAGGGTCTGAGGAGGGGAAGAATGCGGATTTTTCAGACCACTTCGGGATATCCACAGACATGTGGCCTCACCTGTACCTCCACCCCAGCCTCCCTCCTCAGCATGAAGACTTCTCACCTGAGCTGACTGGTTGGTAAGCCCTGTGCCCTCCAAGTCCAGGACCTCTAACGTGCGGCTGGAGGCCACAGCTACAGCCAACATCCCTGCCACATGGTCACCTGGGGAGGCAGCACACATGCACACGGTCACCGGCAGTCATGAGTGGGCCTGCCAACCCTTCCTCCCCTGAGGCCTCCCCAGTGCCCTAAGGACCCTAGATCCCACCCCAGGCCAGCAAGCACAGACATTTGGTAGGCGGCCGAAAGGGAGGCTCCATGACTCGGGAGTGAACGGGTGAAGCAAGCCAGGCCCAGGGGTGGTGATGGGTACTTTGATGTACCTGGTGGTCATCTGGTCCTCCACACAAGTGGCTTCTCCACTACCTCACACATCCCCCCTCCCTTCTCCGTCCCCCAGGGGGAGGGGGTGTTACCATGGCCAAACAATGGTCCCAAGTTCTTGAATGGGGGTGGGATGGTGAGACTCACAGGGGGCTTCCTTGAGCCTCACCCAGGGGGTTGTAGTCCAGATTGAGGACGCGGACCTGGGAGCTGTGGGCCACGGCAATCGCAAGGCGGCTCCAGCCCTTAGGGGTGATGCCAGGGTTGGCGCTCAGCGTCAGTTCCTTCAAGCCTGGGCAGCATCAAAGTGAGAAGCCAGGATGGAGGTCAGGCCCTCTTCAAGCCCCTCCCCTGCCCTGGATCTCTGGGGTGTCCCTGGTGGCTGAGAGCCACCCCATCCCACCCCACCACAGAGCTCCTGGGCCTCGATAGACACCTGCCTTCCCTGCGTCCCCTGCCCACCGCAGGCTGGATGCCTGAGTCTCCATTCTGCTCAGCCCCCCATCCTTCTAATAAATATTCTCACACACACACACACACACACCCATCGGAACCCTCAGCTCTGGGTCACAGCCCCTGCTCTCTGCATCTGGCTTTTTCATCAAGGCCACAGCAGCCCGTATCCTCAGCAGGGCCTCTTGCTCACCTGACTTGGCTCCATCTGGGGGGAGGAGGCCACAGATGAGGTTGATGGCTTCATCACCCAGCATGCAGTCCCCCAGGTCCAGAGCCACAAGGGCAGGGTGGAGGGCCAGTGCTGGGTTCAGCAAGGCCAGTCCTGCATCTGTCAGGGGGCTCCCATGCAGGCTGGTGGGTGAGACCAGAGAGCAGAGGTTACTGCAGTCATCAGCCCTATCTGTAGGGGACGGACCCCTTCCCTTATGTGAGCCCTAGAGATGAGGAGGGCACTTGTCACAGCACTTGGGAAAATTCTTCAGAAGAGAGAAAGAAAATTCTAGATTCCAAAAACCCAGGTGGAAGCAGAATTTGGTGTCTTTTCTGGGGCAGGGATTGGGATCCAGGACAAAGCACAGAAGTGTGTGAGTGGTGGATTGGGACTCTTCAGTGGGCAGAGCGCAGGGGCAGGGGTCTAGTCCCCAGGGGAGGTCCTTCTTGAGCCGGGAGGGGCTGCCCCCCAAGAAGTCAACGCTGGTGATTAGATGGGGAGGTACACGTTCCCTGCCAGAAAGGGGAGGGTAGCCCATCTCCTTTGGGGTGGGGCCGTGTGTGCAGAGTCCAGAGGTAAGGGATAAGCTTGGAGGGTGTCGTGGAGGCCTGGGTGGAGGGATGAAATGGTGTACAAGCGTGAGAAGGCAGGCTGGCGCAGAGACAGCTACAGGAAAGTGTGTGGAGGGATAGGCGGTGGCAGGGGGCGTGTGAAGAGGGGTGCAGTGCCCGGGACCCCCTTGCGAGGGAGCGCACTCACAAGAGGGACTGGATAGAGCGGTTGGTCCGCAGCGCCTCTGCCAGCTGCTTGATGCGACTGGGACTGGACACGACGCCTAGGTTAAGGTTGAGCTGCGCCAGGGACGTGGCCCCGGCCAGGGCCCGGCAGATGCGGCCGAAGTCGCGGTCGCAGAGGCGGCAGCCGCGCAGTGAGAGCAGGCGCACGGCGTTGTCGCGCAGGCCGCGGCAGATGTCCCGCACCTCGGCGCCTGACAGCGGCTCCCCTGAAATCTGGATGGAGCTGGGCAACATCGTACCCACGGCTGGGCCTCCGGGGCCGGGGCGCGGGCCGCGGCCGAGGTTGGCGGGGCCGAGGGCGGGGTCGGGGCTGGGGTCGGGGCCTGGGCAGGGGTCGCGGGCGGAGCGGGGGCACAGGCGGTGGCAGAGGCGCGGGAGGCGGCGGCCGCGGCGGCGGCAGCGGCGGCGGCGCGGGTGAAGGCGAAGAGCGTCGGGGCCGTGGCCGAAGCCGGGGGGGGTTGCGGAGGCGCCGAGGTCGCCTGCCGGGCTGAGACCGCGCGGCGCTGGGGCCGGGGCGGACCGTGCCGTCCGTGTCTGGGGAACCGGCCGGGGCGCGCGGGCCGGGGCCGGGTGGGCGCTGCTTCGCGCTTGTCCTCGTTCCTGGCGGTCCGGGCGGCGGCTGCGGGGCCTCGGTTCAGGACGTGCGGGACCGGCCTCGGCTCGGAGGCCGCATCTGCTCCCTCCCCTCCTCCAGCCCGGCTCCCCTACCTACCCGCAGGGAGAGCCCGAGGCGGGCGGGCGGGCAGCCGGCGGCAGGCAGCAGCTCCGGCTCCGGCTTCGGCTCCTGCGCCTGAGCGGGCGGCGGGTTCCCATGGCAACGGTCGCGTCACGGCCGCTCGCCCCGCCCCCTGCCCCGCCTAGGCCACGCGGCCCGGGGTCTGCGCACACCCGGCATTCCGGAGCGGTGGGGCCACTCTCTCCCTGGGCGTGGGCCCAGACGGTACTCGGAAAGTAGGTGGTGGGTCGAGGCCCGGGATGAGCCGGGGGTGTGGCGGGCAGGATGGAGGCACGTCACGTGGAGATGGCATTGCTTCTGCCCATTCTCCCGTCGTTCCCTCCTCCTCAGGGCCAGATCCTTGATGTCTCCGCCTGCGGCCCATGCACGCCCTCCCGTCCTGCTTGGAGGTCCTCCCCAAGGCCCCGTAATTCGGGCCGCGCCGAGCTCGCAAGCGGCGTTGAGGGAGGTCGACCCCAGGAAGACGTCCCCGCCTGCCCCTCGCCAAGATGGCGGCCCCGCCGCAGAGGTCGCAGGGGCCACGGGACTAAGGGGCCGGGGCTGCCAGGCACACCGGGACGGCGAAGAGTTCCTGGGGCAGGAGAGCCCCAAGTAGGCGCAAGGTGTTGGTGCCGCTCCTTCCTCAGCTGCCGGCGTCAGATGCCTCGGGGCTCTCAGTACGTGTGATACTGGGGTAGCGCAATGAAGGGGGGTGTTGGACCAGCGACCTGCTGTGGTAGGCGGCCGAGTTAAGGGGGCTGGAACTTTCAGGAAGGGTACACTGCACGGTGCGGGTAGTGCTGTTCGCACTTTGTTCACTGGTGATGGGGTGGGGTCCTCACATATCGGAGGACACACGGCAAATGAAAGGCATGTCTTTCTTAGGCCCTTTGCTGGGAGGAAAAGATGGTGACCCAGATTTGCTAGGGAAAAAAAATATAAGCGTAGTGAAGGGAGGCCAAACGTCCTATTTCATTAACCACCTGACTTAACTCCTTAAGTGGAGCAGATTAAATGGGTGGTGGGGTGGATGGTGCTAGGCTTGGGTCGGGGGAGGGTGGTTTTTAAGAGTGAACAACACTCTTGGAGAGGAAGGACGAAGTAAACTCCAGATGATAGCTTTGTTCCTTTGGCCCCAGTATAACCAGGACACCGGCAAGTTTGGCTTCAGATGTGAGCTCTGAATTATCCCTACCCAGTGGCCCGGGTGCATGAGGGCCTTGTAAATGTCATGGGGCTGAATCTGGGCATTTTTTTGCCAATTGTCATTGTTCCACTGGTGTCCCCAGAGTGAGGCTGAGCCCACTCAAGCTGGGTGCTCTCCTCCATCAGACTTAGGGTTCCTGTGTTTGAGGCCTCCCTATGGCTCCATGGGGTGGGTGTCCCTCGCCCCCAGGGACAGGTTTCATATTCAGTCTCTGCTTTCAGTGTAGTCTGGGCTCTCCCACCTTCGTCCTGCCTGGATGACGGTAGCAAGAAGAGGACAGGTGCCACTACCACCAGTGACAAGAGAACAGGAAAGTGTACAGGAAGTAAGGTGGCAGGGAGGACCACTGGAATGGTAGCTCCAGTTCCAAACTTCAATCAGTATTTTAATTACCAAGTCTATATTTAGCAAGACAACGTGGGGGAGATAAAGAGAGAGGAAGGAGGAGGCGGAGAGAGGGCCTCAGAGGAGCTGAGCCACTTTCCGCACTGGTTGCAAAGCCCTGCAGTCCTGGCCAGGGGTTCCAGGCCTTGTGCCCTTCAGAAGGCCCACAGGCGTAAGGGGGTTGCAGAAGTGGCTACAGCTCTGAGGCAGCTGCAGACCCCATCAAAGAGACACACGCCATCAGTACTGTTCTTTAATCTTCCTCTGCTCCACAGATGGGGGAACAGGGGCCGTCCAAGGGTCTCAGGTGGGGTCAGTGTGACTGCGGGGTCACCGCGACAGCCTTGGCTGTGGCATTGAGCATGGTGGTGGAAAGCCTAGCAGCAGGGAGTGCAGCAGGGACATCCCTAGGGACCCTCTGCATGGGCGGGATGTTGGGGCCCTCCAGCGTGTCCAGGATCCCTAAAAGAGAAGATGGAAGGTGAGCCAGAGCTGGCCGGGCACCGAGCTCGGAGGATGTCCCCCCTGCCCCCGGCTCTGCTGTCACTCACCCTCTACCACCTTGTGGTAGGCAAAATGCAGATAGAGCAGGAAGAGCATGTGCAGGGCAGCCAGGGTGCCACAGAGGAGCAGCCGCTGCGTGGGGCCCACTGTTCGTGACACCAGCACTGCCACCTAGGGCCACAGAACACAGCTTAGAGGGCCTGGCTCCAAAGCAAGCAGTGTGGAGAGGACATTCCGGCCCAGAGCTTAGAACCATCTTTGGGCTCTTCCCACCCATTCGGAGCCCTCTGTGGGGTTTGGCCCCAGCTCTGAGCTGTTTTCCCGAACTCCCCGGGAGGTCAGCCCACCCCTGGCAACCTCTTGCCCGGCTTACCATGCGGAGGGTAGACAGCCCACCCACCAGCAACCAGAAGAGGTAGAAGAGGGCATGGAGGTGGATGTTATAGGTGACGAATAGGACAATGCAGTGCCCAAAGAGGCCATAGCCCTAGGAAACGGAATGGCGGAGAGGAAAATCACTCAGGCTGGGCTGGCCTTTGAGCTCTCACGAAGGTCCTGAGAAAGAAACAGTCCGCTGGCCGGCTCATCCCCTTCCAGTGCCTGGGGCCTGGGAGAGATGCAGACCAAGGCCTAGCTACTCTTTTGAAGATTACCCTCTCCCGCCACCATGCTGGACTCCTTACCAGCAGTGCCAGCATCTGGAGCATGGTGATCTGGGCATTGCACAGGTACGCGAGGAAGTAAATGAAGGACGAGACGCCCAGCCAATAGCCGAAGCAGGTGCCAATGGCTGTGCCCATCAGGGTGCCCTCCCGCTGTGGGGTGAAGGCTCTGCTTAGTCCTGGGAGGCCTCTAGTCTCAGCCTCACCCAGGGCTTCCCTCAGGGGCTGCTTCTACCTCACTGCACCATCCTCTCCTTGGGCAGCTTTCAACTTAGTTCAGCCACCCCCCAAAGTCCTTTGTCCTGCTTACAATAATCGTGTCAGATGTCTTCATCCCATGGAGGAGGATGGCAACCAGCGTGAAGACCAGCATGAGAGGTCCATAGAGTTCACCTGCGATTTTCTGTCAATATACCAACTCATTCAGGCTGGAGGGTACAATGGCTCTTCTGTTTAGGTCTTCCTAGGCTTTGCCGGGTGGCCCCACCCCCTGCCCTCATGTCTCCCCCGCCTCTCCCAGACATGCTACCTTGGGTATTCACCTGGGGGAAGTTGACCATCTTGATCGGGATCATGGACTCCAGAAGCCTGGGAGAGGAGAGGAGAGATGAGAGCCAAGGCGGCACTAGGCTATGAGGTTCTAGAGGGCCTGAAATCTTATTCATCTCTAACTCCAGAAAATATGCTGGATGATAAAGGGAGAAGAGGGGAGTAAAGACAGACAAGGAATGAGGAAATAAATTCCCTGTTCCTAAATATGCTTCCAGGAAGGAAAACCTTCTGATACCATGCTCACACACATGGAAAACTCAGAAAGCCTGCCCGGGCCTTGGGAGAGAGCTTGACGATTTATCTATTTGACCTACTCCCATTTATTTATTTTTATTTATTTATTTTTTAAAGATTTTATTCATTTATTTGACAGAGAGAGATCACAAGCAGGCAGAGAGACAGGCAGAGAGAGAGGAGGAAGCAGGCTCCCCACTGAGCAGAGAGCCTGACGCGGGGCTCGATCCCAGGACCCCGAGACCACGACCCCAGCCGAAGGCAGAGGCTTAAACCACTGAGCCACCCAGGCACCCCGACCTACTCCCATTTAAAACAGACCAACAGGGGTGCCTGGGTGGCTCAGTGGGTTAAAGCCTCTGCCTTCGGCTCAGGTCATGATCCCAGGGTCCTGGGATCAAGCCCCGCATCAGGCTCTCTGCTCAGCAGGGAACCTGCTTCCCTTCCTCTCTCTGCCTGCCTCTCTACTTGTAATCTCTGTCTGTCAAATAAATAAATAAAATTTTAAAAATAAAAAATAAAACAGACCAACTTCAGAAGAGAATGCCCAGAATTCAGGGCTTGTGATGGTGAAGCCCTGGAAAGGGTTTAGTAGGAAAGGTTTTACTTGAGGGAACCAGTGTGTCTCCTGTCTCTTCCTGCTTACCATTCCTCACAACACCGCTGAGCATTTCCTGCAAAAACAGTCTAGAAATGGTATGAAAATTCCACACAGAAAGAATAAAACTACAAGTCACTTTTCCCCACTCTCAAGTGACCAGCTCCTATAATACCTTGGATTTTGGCTAGATCTTACTGCCTCTGGGAAACCTGCCCCATCCCGCCCTCTAGCCTACTCTGGGTCAGGTGTCCTCCCTGAGCACATGAGTGCTGAACTGTAACGGCACCTGAGGGCAAGGCTTCCATCTATCTTCACCCTGTCTTCCATGAGACAGAACCATTACAGTGCCCAGCACAGAGCAAATGCTCAGTAAATAGCTGCTAAGTGGTACTGGATGTCTGATGAGCACCTCTTAAATGACGAGCAAAGTACCAAGCCAAAATTAGATCCACTTCTCGAAAAGTCATTCAACAACTAAGCAGTGGTATTCTGGTTCAGAGACTGTTCCAGTGCTGGGAATATAAAAATAAAACAGAGACTTGTTTTTGAGGCACTCTCTAGGGAGCCAGCCCCAGAAATAAGTGAGTACAGCACTGTTGCGGGGTCATCTGTTAAAAGAAAGCATAAAGTTCTCTAGGATCACCAGGAAAGGACAAATTGGGGATGCGGCTGAGGAACGGGGAACAGAAGAGGTGACATTTGAGCTGTGTGTTGAGGAAAGGAGAGCGGTCTGCTAGATGGAGAGGAGGAAGGCAGAGCCTCAGGCCTTGGTAGCTGGTTGTAGTTTGGATGAGGAACTAGGTGTGAGGAGGGCAGCTTCTGTCAGGAGAAGGATTCTCACCTGCTTCGCACCTGGGCCGGCTCCACATCAAAGTAGGGTCTCAGGATATCGATGTTGGCGTACAAGCTGAAGGCCCTGGAAGCTTGTCTCTTCCCTGCCTGCCACATCTGAAGTAAGGAAGACAGAAGAAGTGGGGCGAGTAGGTATTGTGAGGGAGATTCTGGGCTGTAGTCCCTGTTGTTCATTTTCTGTTGGTCTTCTACATAGTTCTAGTGGGTTAGACAACATGGGGTGAACTTCGACACCAACTCCAGCCCTTGGGGCCTGCCTAGATATACCTTCCCAGCTACTCGGGATCCAGTCTTGCTTACCTGATCTGCCACCTGCCGGCTCAGCTGTCCCTTAAAGCCCTTCATGCCCAGGAACTCCCCATCCTCTTCTTCTGCAGCAGCTGCATCAGCGTCGACCTCCTCCTCCCGCAGTCGTTGATGCAGCTCGCCCATATCCTCAAAGCTGGAGCCTGAGGTATCATCCATGTTCTCCATGTCAATCACAGCTGAGCCCCCACCCTGTGAAGACAATGGCTTCTAGAGTGCAGGACCTTTCTGCTCCATCCGCATGTCCTCCTCTGTTCCTCCCAGGGTTTGGGACTTTGTTCTTCCACTGCTGGGGGTATGGCTTGGAATCACCACAGATCACGCGGCTCTCTTCCCCTCAATTGCTCTCAGAACCCTTGGTGGTCTGGCTCTCTTTTCTAGCCTGGAAAACCTATTCCTGTGTTGCATACATGTCTTTCTTCTACCTTTCTTACCAGATTCTCAGAGGGCTGCAAAAGTGCCCATTTTCTTTGTCTTTTCCATCCCCCAAACAAGGCTATGCACACAGCATGGTTTTCGCCAGTGCCAGTGAAAACTGCCCACTCCCTCGCCACGCCTGATCCCGATCGACCAACAAACTTGTCTCGAAACCAAGAGCAGGTGTGTCCAGAGACACGAGGCTCTTTGGCTGGAGGACCAGTCTACCCTTCAGGTCAGCACTAGTCCCACTGCCTTTCGTGTACACCAAGATCCAAAGGGGAGAACAAGTGCTGCAAATGGAGCAGACCTCCACGCTCCCAGGGGGAGTCCCCACAACACTTCAAAACGGCTGCCAGCCCTGGGGCTGCTAGCAGCCGGAGCCTTGGGGGCGATTACCTGGATGTTTTCTTCGAACCCTCCCCATTCAGGGCCAGCCCCGCTTCGGGCGCCGCCGGCCGGCGCCGCCGTAGTTGCCATGTCCCTCGAGGGCTCCCGTCGCTGAAGCCCGCGTAAGTCCAGCGCGCGGAGGAGGAGTGGGAGAGACGTGGGCCTGAGGGAGGGCTATGTCTAGGGGCGAGAAAGAGAGGTGGGTTCAGCCGGAACGCAAAAAGAAGAAGCCCGGATGTTTGGCTAAAACTGACTTCCGGAACTGGGGACGTGGACGCAGGCTGAACAGAATCTCGCGATGTTTAAGAATCCGGGAGGCGGTGCGTTACCACGGAGACGGAGAAGGACGGCTGGGACGCACGCGCCAGTTTGCTGCCCTAATCACGTGGAGGGGGTGAAGATGGCGGCCGCCCAGGCGGTGCAAGAAATGCGGACCCGCGTGGTTCTGGGGGAGTTCGGGGTTCGCAATGTAAGCCTGTGGCCTTGAGCTTGGGAAGAGAAAAGAGAGTGGAACAGGGATGAGTTGGGGGTCGGAGTTGGGGCGGGCTTGCCCTACCTGCCCCTTCGCAGACTCGTCTCTTTTTGCGCTAGGTTCATACCACCGACTTTCCTGGTAACTATTCGGGCTATGATGATGCCTGGGACCAAAACCGCTTCGAGAAGGTAGGTAGGTGGGGCTGGAGAGGGTATTTGGAACGGATCTTGTGATTTGGGGAGCCTCTGTCTTGGAAGCAGCCCTTGGGATTCGCTCGGCTCATAAGTCGTTTGCTGAGCAACGTGTTAGGAGCTCCGTGTACACGGTTTGTGCTCTGTTCGACGAACAAGCTGTTTAATCTTGTTGAAGAGCGGGCATAAATGATTTCAGTATAATGTGGTAAACGTGGTTGGTAGCGATAAGGACAATAAGGGATGGGGTGATCCCACAGAGGCATTTAATCTAGAATGGAAAGCGGGTCAGCGGTATGGAAGATGTACTTCCTGAAGGAGAGGACATCTGAACTGAGCCCTGAACGATGAGTAAAATCTGACAACAGGGAAAGGCGAGGGGGATCTAAGACCAAAAGCTAAACTACAAAGGCTTTGTGAGCTGTGTTCTGGGAGTGGCCAAGCAGTTTATTATTGTTCGAATGTAAAGTGCTAGCATGAGTGGTGGGCAAGATCGAAGTGCATATTAGACACTGTAGGTGATAGGGAGCTTTCGAAGAGCTCTGAAGCAGATGTGATCTGATTTGCAGCCTTAAAGGCTGGGAGAGAATGAATCAAAGATCAAATAGGGCAGTCAGATTTGTGACAGGATTGCATAGAGGAGTGGAGGTTGAAGGCATGAACTAAAATTATGATCAGAAAAATAGAGCAAAGGGAAGATAGAAGGTAAATTTGGTGTTTGCTTTGATGTCGGCTGTGAGGAGGGAGTGTAAAATGACCCAGCTTGAGGAACTGCTTTAATGAACGGTGGTACCATTTACTGAGGAAAAGTAAGTCTGGGGAAGGGGAATGATATACTACATTAAGTTTCCTGTATGTGGAGAAATTTAGCAGGTTAGTAGAACATGTGTTTGAAAGGAGATCAGAAGTGAGATAAATCGGGAAGTTTTCAGTACGTGATTGTTAAACCATGAATGTGACTGAGGTCGTTTTGGAGAGAGACAAAAACCTGGAAGATAGTGATGTTTGTGGAGTCGGTAAAAGATCGTGAATTTAGAAGGATTCAGGAGGAGGAAGAGAACCAGAAGACTGGTGCTCAGATGCCAAGGCAGAGTTTGAAAATGGAGGGATTCTGGGATGCCTGGGTGGCTTAGTGGGTTAAACCACTGCCTTCGGCTCGGGTCATGATTCCAGCGTCCTGGGATCGAGTCCCACATCGGGCTCCTTGCTCGGCAGGGAGCCTCCTTCTCCCTCTGCCTCTGCCTGTGCTTGCTCACTCTTTCTCTCTGACAAATAAATAAAATCTTTAAAAAAAATAAAAACAAAATAAAATGGAGGGATTCTATCAATGCTGGATGCAGCAGAGGAGTCTAGTAAGATAAGGATTGAATAGTGTCAACTAGATTAAGGGGTGTGGAAGCCTGTTCTTTCATAGAATAGTTTCTGTAGATGGTCTAGCTGGAGGCCATATTGCAGGTGATTTTAAATGAATAGAGGATTAAAAACAGGGAAACTTTTCGAGAAACTAATAAAGGATTGGGGGAGAAAGGAACATCTATGAGGGTCTGGCCGAAGGGAGGTTCTTGGGTGAGAGAGAACATTAGGGGCAATATCCAGGGGGAGGATATTGACTCCATAGAGAGCAAGCTTCATTTATTGCATTTTCTGTCCCTGCAGAACTTCCATGTGGATGTGGTGCACCTGGATGAAAACTCATTGGAGTTCGACATGGTGGGAATTGATGCAGCCATTGCCAATGCTTTTCGACGCATTTTATTAGCTGAGGTATTTATCGGTGGGTATAGTGGCAAGGGTGGAGTTGGGTAGGAAACTGTGCAATCAGCTTACTTGGAGAATTCTCAGGTTGCCCCTTTCTTTTAGTTTCTTGGCTGTTTTGCTGAGCATTCCTCCTGCTCATTCCTCATAAACTTTTCATCAAGCATTCTTCTAGAAGTGGTCCTCCTATGTCAGGAAGTAGGAGTAAATAGGGAGTCTGTAGGTGAATGATCCTGTTTTCTTGGTCAGGTGCCAACCATGGCTGTGGAAAAGGTCCTCGTATACAACAACACATCCATTGTCCAGGATGAGATCCTTGCTCATCGCTTGGGGCTCATTCCTATTCATGCTGATCCCCGTCTTTTTGAGTATCGGAACCAAGGTCAGTGTTTGAGAAAATGAAATTGTGGCAAAATGGGAACAGTTTTCTTCCGCAGTTGATACTAGAGTCATACTGCCTCTGTTCAGATCCTGGATTGACTACTGTAAGACTCTAAGCAAGTTACTAACGTTTTGGTACATGAGTTGTTGGGATCTATGTGAACACTTGCCCATGGCCTCCTGTAATTTGTCCAGAGGAGTAAATGACAAATGCATATTAATGCATACAGTGTAGTGTCTGGCACCCAAATGTTCAGCTGTTCTTTAAGAGCTGCCACTTCCATCTTTTGTTCAGGAGACGAAGAAGGCACAGAGATAGATACTCTGCAGTTTCGTCTTCAGGTCAGGTGCACACGGAATCCCCATGCCGCTAAAGATTCCTCTGATCCCAACGAACTCTATGTGAACCACAAAGGTGAGTGGTGGTGGGTGAGCAAGAAGGCCCCCCCTTTGCTGGGTGCTAGTTTTAAGGACTGAGGTTTCTCTGATGTGCTGCTTTCTCCAGTGTACACCAGGCACATGACATGGGTGCCCCTGGGGAATCAGGCTGACCTCTTCCCAGAGGGCACTATCAGGCCTGTGCATGATGATATTCTCATTGCCCAACTGCGGCCTGGCCAGGAGATTGACCTCCTCATGCACTGTGTCAAGGGCATTGGTAAGAAGAACCCTGCGGGCTGCCCTGGGCGGTGGGGGGCGGGGGCGTAGTGTGATTATAGTTGGGTGAGGTGTGACTAAGGGGCTCAGGTGAGTGGTCTTGACCAGCAAAAAGCCAGTGGGCCTCTGTTAGGGGCTTATCTAATATGAAGGAGGTTTCCGTACAGGCTCTGATTTCAGTCTACCCTCCAGGCAAAGATCATGCCAAGTTTTCACCTGTGGCAACAGCCAGTTACAGGCTCCTGCCCGATATCACCCTGCTTGAGCCTGTGGAAGGGGAGGCAGCGGAGGAGCTGAGCCGGTGCTTCTCACCTGGGGTCATTGAAGTGCAGGAGGTCCAAGGTAGGCCACTGGGGATGCCACGCATTCAGGTCAGGACCTAAAGTACATCTTCCATAAGGGTAGCGGAAATAAAAGCTTGGGCTCGTGTATTTAGAACAGAGTTTTTCATTAGGTAAGAAGGTGGCCAGAGTTGCCAATCCCCGGCTAGATACCTTCAGCAGGGAAGTGTTCCGGAATGAGAAGCTGAAGAAGCTTGTCCGACTTGCTCGGGTTCGAGACCACTACATCTGTGAGTACCGGGTCGGGGTGGGGGTGCAGGAGACAGGTGTTCGGTGCTGCAGCTTCCTGGCGGAGTCCAGATTAGAAGCTGGCAGTGATGCGGCACAGGAGCTGGTGCCAGCACACCTGGGCTCAGGGCTCTCTCTGCTTCCCAGTCTCTGTCGAGTCAACAGGGGTGTTGCCACCAGAGGTGCTAGTGAGTGAAGCCATCAAGGTACTGATGGGGAAGTGCCGGCGGTTCTTGGATGAACTGGACGCAGTTCAGATGGACTGAGCCTGCACCGGGCTTCTTGGCGTGGCTGGTTTGCTCCCAAGCCAGGCTGAAGATCTGGGGTCCTGACCTGCCCTCACAGGACTGCCACAGAGTCCAGTGTGACTGGAGGTCTTGGGTTTTCTGGGACAAGTCTAGCCTTTTCAGTTGATACATTTTGTTAAATGTGCCACAGAATGTGACGTGCCTTTGTAAGGCCTTCATGTAAATAAAATCATATCCAAATAAAAATCCTTTTGTCAGGACTACCTGAGTTTTAGCCCCAAAATATGGGCCCTCAGCTCCGAAGAGGTTTGGCATTATTTAGCCCTTGGGAACACTGGGTTCAGGTGTTACTGCAGGTCAGGGCCAAATCCCTCTGAAGCCTTAAGAGAAATGCCAAATTGAGGTGGTTTCTGGGGGCTCAGCCACAGAAAGATACTGTGTACCACTTTACCCATCTTCTGGATTATCACAGGAAGCATCAGGTCTACAGCTGTCAAGTCACACTGCTATTAAGTGTCACACAAGGGTGGGCGCCTGGCTGGCTCAGTTGGCAGAACAGGTGACTCTTGACCTCAGGATTTTAAATTTAGCCCCGTGTTGGGTGTAGAGATTACTTAAAAATAAGATCTTAAAAAAAAAAAGTCACTAGGGACAGCAGAAGTTCCCTTTGGGCGGTGCTTCAGAGTCTGGCCCAACAGCCACAGAGAACACTGGGAGAGTGGGAAGACCAGCCTAGTGTAGGTCTGTCAGGAATAGAAATCTTTTCCTGACTGGCATACTGTTTGAGAAAGCTCAACAGAACAGGTGCATCAGTCATCACTCTTCCTGTCCAGTTCCCTTAGCAGGATATTCAGGAGTAGTGACACTAGAAGTCACTGGTTTGAAAAAGGCAGATGGGGCCCTTTCTGTATGAAACGGAGATCTTTACTGACATGCAGATGTGCTTTAGAGTTAATGTTGCTACAAAAAGGTTCTATAAACAATAGAAAACTTCTAACATGAAGTCACAGGATGTTAAAAATATTACAGCACAATAAATACAACTATGCCCTCCATAGCCCCAACCAGAGAGGAGTAGGCAGCGCTGCCATCAAGTTGGGAGGTAAACCTACTAAGACAGACTTCAGAGTTGACAGGAAGCAGCCCAAAGCACCACTCAGGAAGAGGGCATGGGGTGAATCTGCCACGGAAACATCTCCACAGGACCCCCAAGTCCTGTTTGCCTAGGTTCACCTCTCTTCAACCCTGCCTGGGTGCCACCTGCTCACAGCTGTAGCTTGAGCTCAGGCCATTCTGCTCAGTCCTTACTGAAGCCCTTGTGTCAGTGGGCTGCATGGATGACCGGCCTCCTCCAGAATGCAGACATTCTATGTGGTTTCTGTATGGATTATGGCTGGCTAAGGCCAGCCTTGACTCAAGGCTAGGGTCCTGCATTCATGTCCCTGCTGCTTACAGGGCGATCCAGTGACCTTTAGAACAGAGCGGAGCCTCACAATACAGGTTGTGATAGGAAGGCATATGTTCTTTTCTTTTGGAAATGGTCCACGAGAGAAGTGACCAGGGACCTGAAAGACCATGAGATTTTTGAAGGCACCTGGACCCAACTAGTCCGCGAAGAGACCAGTGGCTTTGCTAGCTGCTGGTCACAGACAGAGTCTAGCTGGTCTGCATTATCCTCCGATGCCACTGGCATCACATGACACTAGACAGGGTACTGTGGCTCTTATGCCTGAGTGGACCCTGGGGCTGGGGAAACCACGCTGAGGGACTGTGCATGGAGTATGTGTGAGCTCTAAGGGGAGGTCAGAAAGCACTCTGGATCCTGGCCCAGCCCTGGTCCCTGATGGTACTGCTCTCGACACTGTGTCCAGAGCTTGGTGACAGCCTGTACTGGGGATCCCATCAGGTGACCAGATTTTTGCTCGAAACAAAGAGCAGGAACTGGTCACATTCAGTTCGGCACTCAGCACCTGACCCAGACATGCCCCTGGGAGACAGGGAAGGTCCTCTGCCAGCCCAGTGGTAAAGGGGCTCAGCGGGACTTGCAACAGCCCAGGAGGAACTCTCTGGCGCAAGCAGTAGACCAAGCCCCTTTGCAAGCCTGGCTAGTTGCAGTGTTGGGGGTTAGCACCCCGAGTTACTGCTCTACGCAGGTATTATATGGCTACATGGGGGTGGGAGGGCTTGGGGAGTAGGGCCAGTCTGCTCTAGCTTTTCTTTCTTGGAAAAGTTGAAACTCCAAGTAGAATGGGAGATAGCTGGGAAATCTAGACGGAATGGCATGAGCACGAACTCCCTTTCTTGATACCTTAGGTATCGTTACTTCTGCCCTGCACTGGGCCCCCCTCTCTCCTGCTCCAGACCTGGATCTCTCTCCAGGCTGACAGTGGTGTAAGGTGAGGTGGCAGTGGAGAGGGGCCTAGAGATTAGCTACGAAGGGGAAGAAGAGATGACAATAAAGGCCGAGGAAGAATGCCCAAAAGTTTGATTCAGGGTTCAAAGATGGTGGCCAGGCCACCCTCCTCGTTGTCCAGCACCTCTGTCTCCAGCATTGGCTTTGTTTTTTTGAAAAGTGAGGGGAGATTCTTAATGTGAACTTCTTTTCGGAACTGCTCTCCCAAAGGTTTCTGTGGAAAACAAATGAAAAGAATTGATGCTGGGCCCTGAGGAGTGGGTTGTTTTAAAGTTCATGACAGGGATGCCTGGGTGGCTTAGTCGGTTAAGCATCTGCCTTTGGCTCAGGTCCTGATCCCAGGGTCCTGGGATCCAGTCCCACACACTGGGCTCCCTACTCAGCACGGAGCCTGCTTCTCCCTCTCCCTGCCACTTCCCTCTGCTTGTGCTCTCTCTGACAAATAAAATCTATTTAAAAAAATTAAAAGAAAAATCGTGACTCCAGCTGGTCTCTGGTCTGCACAGACCCATCATCTAAGAAGACCACAAGTGTGGGTCGAGCCAGCAGGGAGCACTAGGGGAGGCATGTGACCTACCCCAATGCAGCCAGCAATGAGGCGTTTGAATTGGTCCTTCCGGCGCTTGTCAGCCACTTTCTGCAGAGAGGGGTTCAACAGCTTGCAGTCAAACTGGTCCAGAGAGTCCTTCTGTATGTCAGGGATCTGCTCCATCACAGCCCTTATTTCCAGGTACCGGGGGCGCTGCAGGGTGCGGATATAGAAAACCATGCAATGGCAATGGCTGGGCCCTGGCACCTTTCCCATCCCCCACCATGCCCAGGGGCAGGACCAGCAAGCTGGCAGCTGCCTGCTTTTATGACGGCCGAACCGCCTGGGAGCAGGCCCCAAGGGCTGAAGCTGCAGTGCACCTCCGTGCTGTTTGACTCACCAGCGCCTCATAGATCTGGAAGGCCAGGTGCACCAGGGAAGCCATGCAGCCATCGTGCTGCCCGTGCGTCTGTAAGCCCTTCAGCACGCTGGTGAAAAGCCATGTGACGGCATCTGCGAGCAGTGTCCCTGACAGCACCTGGGGACACAGCTGTGCTCAGAGCCAAAGGGGTACCCTTGGAGAGCCCCAGCAACCCGCTTCTTCTAACCGATTCAATCCTCATGATCCCAGCCTCTCATAAGGGGTAAGGAGAAGGGGTAAATAATCGTACTTGTTTGAGCAGAGGCCAGCAGAGCTGGGTGGTGGTCCTCTGGCAGGACAGAGTATCCTTCCAGGCAAGGGAATTGAAGGCTGTAATTAAGAGCGCCGTACAAACATCCTAGTGGGAAAGGATGAAGGATTCCAATGAGAAAATGAACACAATTTTCTGAGTAGGCCTCTGCACGAGGAGCTGGAGTTTTCATAGGTAAACAGGAACATGACAAAAGCAGCTACTGGAGACGAGCTTATTTCCTCTGTGTATCACGCAGTCAAAAAAAAAAAAAAAAAAGCCCATACAGAAGAGAAAACCCATGTGTAAGGAGACCTAGCTCAGGCCTGGGCTCCAACACCACAACACGCCCGTATGCTTCTGAAAGCCTTTTTCCATGCCGGCACAGGAGACACCTTGACCTCTCCCACTGTTTTCTGGAGCTTTAGGAACGAGGAACTTAACTCATATAAAGCGGCATAACCCAAAAGAATTCTTTGATGGCATCATAGGCTGAGAAAAGTGGAAGCTGGCGCCATACCTGGAAAGCAGAAAACCCTCCCCTGTCCCCTCCACCCACCTCATGCTTCATTAGACATTTGCCCAGGTCTGTAAGCTCTGTCATGGTGGAGGGGGCAACCTCTGTGGCCATCATCTCTTCATCTGTAAGCAGAAAGCAGAATGTTAAGCTCCATCCTTTCAGAACAGAGAAAAGCAGGCCGCCAAGTAAGGGAGAGCTGAGTACCCCGGCCTGCCTGGTCAATGAGCAGTCCTGGGACAGCCCCCCAGCTGCCTGAGAGGGTGTAGAAGCCCCTACCCATGGCAGGTCTGGAGGTGCATCTGGCTGCAGTGTGAAAAATAGTGGGAAACAGGAGATTCTCTCAACAGTTACTTAAAAAGCTGCAAACACTGAGGATCTTTTGTGGTTGAAATATTTGAAGATCCCACTGTAGCAGGCACAGACTTAGTTCCTGGGGATGTTAACAGGAATAGGACAAAGTCCCTTCCCTGATGGGAGTTTACATCCTAACAAGGGAAACAGGGAATACATGAAGTAAAACAATATTAATACTTAACACAGTGTTAAGTGCTATGAAGAAAAACAGAGCAAAGGAAGGACACAGAGTGGCTGGCTGGGGCGGCTAGTTTTTCTAAGCTGGTCATGGAAGACCTTTCAGAGGTGACATGTGAATGAGGGACAGGCCACAATACAGCTGGGAGAAAAGCTATTCTAGTAGAGCAAACAGCAAGTGCAAAGGCTCTCCAGTGGGAGTATGCTGAAGGAATACAGCAAGAGGGCCAGCGGAGAGAAAACCCAGACGGACATCCCCCGACCAGTGCAGACTGCTGGAGAAACCATTTCTACGCGAACTGACCTGGCTACAGAAGGGACAATATTCTGGAGTCTAAGGGCAGACCTCTGGAGGACCATACAGCAGGCTTACTTACCATCTCCATCTGTAGGGGGAGCAGTACCATGGTCAGCAGTTTTCTTTGAAACGCAGCACACCGCTAAAGCAAGAAAGTGGGGTTACTGGGCTTTCTGCCACGAGACAAGAGCCACCTCTGGACAATAAATCCCAAATGGTCTTCCGGGCAGATGAAATTGGGGGAAAAGTGGGGCACTGTCCAGGCACAAAACCACCTTCACCAGCAGAAACAGAGGTGGTGTTTGACCGGACTGCTCTGGTGCCCCTTTAACTTCAATCAACTAGAGGAAAATGACAGAATTTTCTGAGAGCAGGTGACCAGGAGAGAATGTCTACTGATACATCCTTGGTCTACTGTGAATCTCAAACAAATGAAATAACCAAAAAAGAAAAAAGAAAATTAGCCACCTCATGTCCAAGTTATAAAAATTTTCCCATTTTGACAAAACCAGGAAGTTACTCCTGCCATTAGTCCAAATTTCTATTATTTTAAACCATTCCCACATATTCTAGTCTTAGAAATACAATAGAGTCTATAATTCATAGGATGTCCTTCAGTTGATTTAAGGACTACCTGGTTTCTATCTAGTTCATTATTTCTTAACCATCTGTCAGTAATGCTGTAAACATGCCTTAATGAGACTGGATGAGCAACCAGTTCTTTTCCCAGAAAAAATCTTCTCTACTACCCCTACGTCCCACATGCCACTTACTGATTAGGTCCATGACTTCTCGGGTTAACATCCTCACCAGTTGTTCCTCTAACATCTCTTGAGACTCTGGGTTGTCATCCGCGGTGTCATCTTCCCCACTGCAGAAAAGCAGGGGGCCAAGTTCCACAGGAGTACAAAAGAGGGAAGGACAAGAAAAACAGTGCCCCTAACCAGACCATCTGTGCTCACTTCCTTCTCCTGGCTTCCTTCGGTCTACGTTCCACGCCAATGCTGGGAACGGGACAGCAATGATCCACTGAGGCAGACATTATTACTTGACTCTATCCAGTGGGCTAAAGGTACTAGATCAAAATCCAAAGTGGGTAAGGATGTCTCAGCACCCTCCTAAGACAGAGTATGCCTAACGGTCACAGACAAGCCATCTACCATGTAGGCTGAGGACGACCATAATCTGCAGCTTTCTAGCCCTGAAGAACAGTGCTCCCACCAAGAGAAGAGATGCTTCTTACCACAGCAGGCTCCTCTGGTTGATGACTTGCCATTTCTGGGAAAGCCTCTGGGAAAACAAAAGGGAAATAATGCTGACAATGGGGAAGAAGTTGTAACAGATAATATCTGTGGTCCACTTCATGAGTAGAATGAACCGAAGATGATTCTAAGATCTCAATGACAGCCTTGGGAACCCCAGAAGGTTAAACTACCAGATGTGGTCTCTAGAACCTCTCTTGTGCCCGTGAAAGAACAGGGTATCCCATGCTTGGAAAGAATCAGCGATACTGTAGAATTCCCAGGTCTTTCTGGACATTGTTCTCTACCCAGCTGGTCCTCCTGCTTAATCCCACAGGTGGGGAAACAGACCCAGAGGAGGGACTCCCCTGATCGCCTCTCCTCAGTTAACAGGAGGTCAGGAGCAGAACTAGTGTGCAGGTCTTCGTAGGCAACTGAATCAGTCTAGTTCGGGGGGAAGGGAAGGGGGGCTCAATCCACCGCAGCAAGCAAAGCCAAGAGCAGGGGACACTTTCAGGAACTCCTGACTTGCAAAACTCATATGACAGGCCAACCCGCCTAAGGGTCCTCTTTGCTCCCCCTTCTGACAATCTCTTACCATGTGGAGGTAGGTGAAAAGAGGTCCAAGAATTGGAGACACCAGGGCTTCATAGTGCTCCGGGGGACAGAAGAGCACCAGAGGCTTCACAAAGACCCATGGCGCGGCGGGTTAAGAAGTTTTAGCACATGAACACAGACCCCTCTCTTTCTAAGGCACCCCTCTCCTGCCAGGCAGCAGGATACCCCTATGGGCAGAGTTAACCCTAAAAAGACCTACAAGATGCCTAGGACATTCTGTGTTAATAGGCAAAAATCTGGGGCACCTGGGTGGCTCAGCTGGTTAAGCGTCTGCCTTCAGGTCAGGTCATGATCCCAGGACCCCTGCATCTCAGCAGGGAGTCTGCTTCTCCCTCTCACTCTGCCCCTCCCCTGCAGTTTATCTCCTCTCTCATGCTCTCTAATAAATAAAATCTTTTAAAAAGGGGGGGGCAAAAATCTTCAAACTCTTTTCCAAAAAGCCCTGGCTTCTGAGGAATGGATACTAGGCTGCACATTACAGGCATTTATTTGCCCAAAGAGGAGGAACACTCTCTTTTACCTAAAGTTCTCCTTTAACTCCAGGGAAGAAACATACTCTCAAAAACATTAAAAAAAAAAAAAAAAAAAAAAAAAAAAAAAGAGCGAGTCAGTCCAAATGGGAATGAAGTATGAGAGGAAGCACCTGACAGGATATAGAAGAGATTAAAAAAAAAAACAAACAAAAACCCTTTGTCTTTCCTATTTCCAAGAAGTGGGTTGTCAAGATTTACCCCGAGGGAGAACACTTTGAAGACCTGCCCCCAGTCTGCCTTCCTGTTTTCCTGCCATTTACGCCAATCTTCTCCTCCACTGAATGTGATTATCACACACTCGGATAAATGATTCCATCTATTCCACACTGCTCAGCTCTGCCTCCTCCAGTGCCTGAAAGCAGCTCCTGTCTTCAATCTCCCAGCTCTTTGGGTTTATACAGGGACTTTGGAAAGGATATGAAGCATGGGTCTGAGACGGTAGTCAGGAATATTGTTCAAGTTGACAAAGGCCGAGCTGAGGAGCTGAGTAGCCAAGTGCTCCACGGTGTAGAAGTCCTGCTGCATGGAAGGACCCGCCTTCCCGAGGATGTGGAAACTGCAAGGGAACATCACAGGCAGTGACAAAGCCCACCTTGGTCGCTGCCAGCCCCGAACACCCCAGGAATTTCTAGCTTATCTGATTTGTAAGGTAACTTCAGCTCAATCAGTAATGCACCCCTCACCTGCCTTTAAGGGAACTTGATAGCCAATTTAGCCATCTTTTTAAAGACAGATGTTGGCACCCGAGATCAACAGTAGCCTTCATTACTTCGTAAGGAACACGATGTTACAATGAAGAGTCTCTTTTGGTTAGCCTGGCTGAGCGGAGCACTGGGTGAGTGAGGACAACGTCTGGGGTGTGGTGTGCTATGGGATGGCCAGTTACCTCCCCATCCTACAACCAGGACACAAAGAAAAAGTCTGCCTAGAGGCCTCCAGAGTCCCATTCAAAGTAGGTTGAATGGTGAGGGCTCTGAGAAAATGCAGCCCTGCTCAAAGTATCTGACACTGTGGTCTCAGCATTTTATGCCCCGGAAACAGACCAGTTAGGCATAAAATGTCAAGTTATGGCTAGGGCCGAGACATACATGACAATTATAAAAAAGCAAATGCAAGGGGCGCCTGGGTGGCTCAGTGGGTTGAAGCCTCTGCCTTCGGCTCAGGTCATGATCCCAGAGTCTTGGGATCGAGCCCCGCATCGGGCTCTCTGCTCAGCAGGGAGCCTGCTTCCTCCTCTCTCTCTGCCTGCCTCTCTGCCTACTTGTGATCTCTGTCTGTAAAAAAAAAAAAAAAAATCTTTAAAAAAAAAAAAAAAAAAAAAAGCAAATGCAAGAAAGTCAGCCAATTCATTTCGGTGTGACATTAGAATCATTGGTTTCCTATCAAATTTTTACTTCATCTTACCTGAACACTAGAATCTACATCAGAAGTCCTATCCATGGCATTCCTATACTATACATGTCTAAAAAGAGAATAGGGGTGCCTGGGTGGCTCAGTTGGTTAAGCAGCTGCCTTTAGCTCTGGTCATGATCCCAGGGTCCTGGGATCGAGTCCCGTAACAGGCTCCCTGCTCAACAGGGAGTCTGCTTCTCCCTCTCCCCCGGCCCCTGTTTGTGTTCCCTCTCTCACTGTGTCTCTGTCAAATGAATAAATAAAATCTTTTTTTTTTTTTAATAAATAAATAAATAAATAAAAAGGAGAGAGAGAAGTAGCACTGGTTCCTTACCAGTTTTCATACAGGGTGGAGAAGAAACGCTGCATCCTTTCTAAGACCGTTTTGTAGACAGGAGAGTCATTCAGTTCCAAGAGAGGCTGAGGTAAGCCTACAGGGAAAGATGGGTCATGAACATGCTTTTCTGCTGCCAAGGATCTTAACCTGCCGACACCCTACCACAGGCAGATGTGGTGTGGGGTGACAAGTGCCGTAAACACAAAGCAGCTCGCCATGTCTTCTACCAAATGGAGGTGTTATGAGCTCCCTTCAAGGTGACTGCAGTGTTGTTTTGGCAAGGAAAGGGGGAAACTTTTTCAGTGATCCTGACTTCAGACTAGACCTGGGCACTCCAACTTTAGCCTGGGGTTCTCCAGATGGGACTTGTACCAAAACACAGGATGACAGCTCAAAATGATCCTTCATAAAGCACTGGGGATGCCCCCCTGCCCTGCTTTTTAAGTCATGGAGCCTTTCAAGCAACACTTCAGGCAAAAGCCCAACATGTAAGGCAAATCATAATGAAACTCATTATCGTATGACCAAGATCTCGAAGATCCAAAAGAGCTAAATTTCTCATCAGAGGCAGTTTTTAATTTCAAGTCTTGCTCACGGCTGGAAGCTGACAGAGGGAACGGTTTGTCCATTCTAGTATGTTTTGGGTGACCATCTATTTCTATAGGAGGAATTCCTGGCTTTATTTGAATAACTGAATGGCAGGTTGGGGGAGTGGGAATGGGTGGTGAAGCAATACCTATTTTTTATAGAAATTACATTTCTTGATATTCTATTTTTATTTTCTGTAATGAGGACCTTTAGTGCAGTGATGCCAAAGGAAAAGGCCCACGACCATGTAAGCCGAGACACACAGAAACAAGCTCCAGAAAGGCCAATTAACACCCTTCTTTTCACGAATGTCACAGCCGAGGAATGCTCACTGGCCCGCTTACTGACAGCCAGGCCCAGGCCCAGGTCACTGCTGGCACGGAGAGACCCTGTGGGGGCTGTGATGGTGAGCCGGCACAAAGCTTCAGAGACGGGCACAAGGGTTAGGCAACTCTGAACGTCCCTGGCTCAAACTTCTAACCACTCCTCGCTCTGTGTGTTCCAGCTGCACTGGGTCACCACTCTACTTCCTGGATACACCAGGCTCTTCCCTGCGCGCTGCAGCATCTTGTACCTGCCTTGTACCTTGTACGTTCTGTTTGCCCAGAAGGCTCAACATCTCTTGTCCAACCTGAGAAGCTCCTTCCTACTTATCCTTCAAGTCTCTACTAGGAGGCAGTCCTCCAACTCCTCTCCAACACGGGTGAGGTTTCCCAATAAACACATGGCCACTTCCCTTCCCAGCACTCATCACACGATTGCACAGTTACTAAGGTGAAAAATGAGTTATAGCAACACTTCAATCAAGGTAACAACTGGGAGACATGGTTTAGAATCTATTCCTTTAAAATTTTTAATAATACATATACAGCTAATTAAAGCTATTTTAGTTTAACTGCTTTTAAGATTCATTTATCTAAAAGCTTAACTGATTTATCACTTTTTTTCATATGTGAAAGCAGGTAAAGTCTGCCAACATCCTTCAGGTCAAAGAACCATGGTTTATTTATAAGCTAAAGGCTCTGACACCTCTACCTGGAAGGGTTAACAGTGCAGAGGGGGTGGCAGAGGGGAGAAACTGCCTCTACAGACCAAAGATAATGACGTCAACGCACTTGTTCCTGGAGACCCTGTAGGAACTCCACAGAGAAAGAGGCGGTTGAGGTAGTGCCAGGCAAAGAGGAGGGGATGGTGACACAGGCACGCTGAAGCTGCTGGAGGGTCCATCAGAGGTAAGGTAAACTTCAAGAAAAGAAAAAATGGACCGATTTCTTACCTAAAATCGCAGATTTCTCCGCTTCAAGCATATCCAGAGCCTTTGTGAAAGGCTCTGCCATCTTGGCCAGCATTTCTGGTGCATATAAAGTATTGTGAGTTCTGCAAGAAACAAGGACACTATGTGAACTTTTCCTAGTCGGCCTGCAGAAGGAAAGAATGGGTTTCATCCTGTAACTCAGTGATACTACACATCCACATAGAATTAAATGTTTCCCTGGCACCAGGAATAGACTATTTGGCTGTATAGTATTCAATACCTAAACGCAATCAAGACAAGAAGCAAATCCTGAGATAGCTGGATGCTATCACGATCTAAAGCCAGAAAGGAAAATTCTTTTTTAAAAAGACTTGTTTTAAAAAGAAGGAGAAGTGCCTTCTTAGCGCAGGGGGCAGTGCATCAGTCTCATAAAGAGAGGCAGAGAGAGCCTGTGCACGCCACGCATGTGAGTGGGGCGAGGGACAGAGGGAGAGGGAGAGAGAGAATCCCAAGCAAACTCCACACCCAACACAGAGCCCAATGCAGGGCTCGATCCCACAACCCTGAGGATCATGACCTGAGAGAAAGCCAAGAATCAGATGTTCAACCGCTCGACTGACTGAGCCCCCAGGCACCCCGGGACAGAAATTCTTTCAAACCTGAGGTAATGCCTGGGCACTCTCAGTTTGCAGACTGACGGGGAGACAGGAGATGTTAGAGGCCCTGTGCTTTCACAGGCTAGAACACAGAGCAGGTAATGAAACGCCCCCATGTTCAGATGTCTGGTTTTCATTCTAAGAGCCTGGACCATACAATGCTCTGACAGTTGCTTCTGCCTGCTGGAAGGACTGTCACAGCTCCCAACAGAAGACCAAAATGCCTCATCTGAGCAGTCACTGGCTGTGGAGGATTAAGGAGCAATGACTACAGACCTGAGCTAGTGCCATCCACAGCTGTCAGCCCTTTTCACCCATACCAATGGCACCACCAACAATCCACAGGCACAGAGTGTAACCACCTATCTTTCTTTTAAAAGGTAATTATAATAAGATTTCAAACGTAGAGAAAGTTACAAAATATAAGAGAAAAAACCAGAAGGGTTAAATATTTAAGATGCACACTGAACAGGGCACCTGGGTATCTCCATCGTGAAGCATCTGCCTTCAGCTAAGGTCATGATCCCAGGGTCCTAGGATCAACCCCTGCATTGGGCTCTCTGCTCAGTGGGGAGCCCGCTTCTCCCTCCCCCACTCCCCCTGCTTATGCTCCCTCTCTTGCTGTCTCTGTCAAATAAACAAATAAAATCTTTAAAAAAAATGCACACCAAACAGATCATTTTAGACCATGCTTTTAAATTAAAAAAAAAAAAATACTCAACACTGTTTATTAAATCTAAACATGTACAGTCAGTACAAACATTTTAACTTTTAGGAGGCCACTTAATTCGTTCTAGTTTATCTCCCCACCTCCCTGAGTGCTAATAAGTTTGTCTCGTCTTCTAGCAATAAGCTTTTCTGCAGCGTTCTTGTGTACACATGTTGAGTTTCTCTATGATGGACAAGCACATTGAATTGCTGGATACTGGTGCTTTGCAAGTCACGTGCTGCAAACGTCTTCTGGTCCGTGGCCTGGCTTGCTTATACTGATATTTCCAATAGGCTTTATGACCTCCCGTTTTTTCCATTGTGGTAAAATACATATAACATAAAATTTATCACTTTTAAGTGTACAGTTCAGTGGCACTAAATACACTCAGACTGTTGTGCAACCATCACCACTATCCATCCCCTATTTTTTGTCTTATAAAACTGAAACTCTGACCTAATAAACAGTATCTCCCCATTCTTCCCTCTCCTGGCTCCTAGCAACCACCATTATACTTTCTGACTTTAGGATTTTGACCATATTCAGCATCTTATGTAAGTAGAATCCTACAGGATTTGTCCTTCTGTGACCAGCTTCTGTCATTTAGCACAATGTCCTCAAAGTTCATCCATGTTGTACCATTGAAGAACTGCCTCCCTTTTAAAGGCTGAAAGATATTCTATTGGATGTACATATCACATTCATCCACTGATGGACACTTCGGTTGCTTCCACTTTTTTTTGTTAATGATTTTATTTTTAAGTAATCTCTATACCCAATGTGCGGCTCCAACTTACAACCCTGAAATCAAGAGTCTCATGATCTTCCGACGGAGCCGGCCAAGCAGCTTCCACGTTTTAGCTAGTATAAATAATGCTGCTATGAATTTGAGTGTATAAATAAGTCTCCGAGACCCTGTTTTCATTCCTTTTGAGAACCCAGAACTAGAATTGCTGGATCATATGATATTACTTTTATTTTTTTGAGGAACAGTCCAACTGTTTTTTTGCAGCAGTCCATTTTATATTCCCCCAACAGTGCACTCCCATGATTATTAGTAACTGCTTAGAGTGACCCACATATTCTTTAGGCTGCTACCTTCTCTTCAATCTTTTTTACTGTTCCTCAGCTTCATTAATTTCATTATCTTTTTCTTTTTTTTTTTTTGAAGATTTTATTATTTGACAGAGACAGACACAGCGAGAGAGGGAACACAAACAGGGGAAGCGGGAGAGGGACAAGCAGCCTTCCCATTGAGCAGGGAGCCTCATGCGGGGCTCGATCCCAGGACCCAGGAATCATGACCTGAGCCAAAGGCAGATGCTTAACTGATTGAGCCACCGAGGCGCCCCTCAACTTTTAACATGTAATACTTAAGGGAAACTTCCAAGCAGGGAATGACTGGGGCCAAGGGCAGGTCGCACCCTCTGTCCCCTCCCCACCGCCCCCACCTCCCCACTGCCAAGAAGTAGGAACAGTTAGGTAACTAGCAGTTAATCTCCATTTCTCCCTTCCTCCAGCTTCTGGAAGCACCAATTTACTGTCTCTATAGATTTATCCATTAATAAGTAGATAAATTTATCTATTGATATTTCACACAAATCGAATTATAAATCGGAATTATAAATGGAATTATACAATACATGGCCTTCTGTGTCTGGCGTCTTTCACTCAGTGTAATACTTTTAAGGTTCTTTTACATTACAGCACGTTAATAATCCTTCCTTCCTTCCTGTGGCTGGATATCTGCATCTCCACTGATTGGCTACTGTGATATAGTGCTGGGAGAACATTACTCAGCAAGTATTTGTTTGCGTACCTGTTGGCAACTCTTTAGGGTATATATGCATGAGTGGAAATGACAGGTCATGTGATAATTCTATATTTAAATTTCTGAAAAATAAACCATTTTCTTTTTTCCATAGTAGCTAAACCATTTTATGTTGCTCACCAGCAACACACAAGGGTATTAGTTTCTCCTCATCATTGCCAAAATGTATAATTCTGGGGTGGGGGTGTATGATGAGGCACAGAGGGAGAGGGACTCTTAAGCAGGCTGCATGGAGCCTGACACAGGGCTCAATCTCACAACCCTGAGATCATGACCAGAGCTGAAATCAAGAGTCAGGTGCTTAACTGAATGAGCCACCCAGGTGCCCCATAATTCTGTTTCTTAAATAATTATTATTACTATTTATTTCAACCATTCTGTTGGGTGTGAAGTGGTATCTCATGGTTTTGATTTGCACTTCCCTCATTAGACCTTTAATGATGATGAGCATCTTTTTTGGTGAGTCTGGGGGGATTTTCATTTATGAATGGAGATAGTTTACTTCTTTTCCAATTTGGATACCTTTATTTCTTTTTCTTGCCTTAATTCTCCATCTACGACTGCCAGTACATAATGTCAAATGGCAGTGGAACTGGGCATCCATGTCATGTTCCTGATGGTAGGAGGAAACCACTCCATCTTTAATCACTGAGTAAGATATAAGCTATGGATTTTTCCTAAGAATAATGTTTCATGTCAAACAAGTTCCCTTCTACTCACAGTCTGCTGAGTGTTTTTATCATCAAAAGGTGTTAAATTTAGATTTTGTCAAATGCTTTTTTGTGTCAATTAAGATGATCACGTGGGTTTTTTCCTTTGTTCTATTAACATGGTGTATTACACTAGTTTATTTTTGTATGTTGGAGTACTCTTACACCCCTGGGCTAAACTGCACTTGTCTCGGTGTATAATCTCTCAATCATGCCGCTGGGAGTCACTTTGCTCCTATTTTGTGAGGCCAGCCAAAACTCTGCCATAGCCTTTATCTACTGCTGTGCAGAGCCCAAGAATTGATAAAAGGTGCCACTTACTTTGAAAAGCTGCAATTTGGTTTCTACTATAAGTCTTTCTCAGTGGTTTGGGAAGATGGCTAATACTATGAAATGATCTCTGAAAAAATCAGTTCTTACTGAGAAGAAATTCAGTTTTGAGTCTGACTGGGAGCAGACAAGCTATCTGTTTTTTTTAATCCTTTAATTAAGTGTGGCTGTGGCCTCAAGATGTAATTTTAAAAAGATATTATTAACGCATTCTTGGTCAAACATCCCTGACACTACAACAGAATCTTGTATTCCTTATGGTCTCCCCTCCTCCTGCTTAAGAAGATGATGGTCCCATGGGGCTATACTTCTAACTCATAAGAAGTGGTATGAGGACTCAAGAGTATATATTGCTTCGATATCGCTGATTTCCTGTCAGTGCTCACAGCAGGGACATCTACAATTCCTCATAATGTTTAGGCTCCTGAAACATCACCTTTCCTGACTCTCTTGCAAGGCAGGGTTCTGTGCTTCCACGTTAAGAGAAAACTAGTTACTGCTCAGCAAAGAAAAACAACCGGGTAACAAAAGTTTTAAGTTTTGTATGATCTGTACCTATGTGAAATCTTCTCAGTACTACCTGAGGAGTATAGTCGCTATGCTAAACAAGAGATCACACAGATAAAGATTTTGAGAAAATATATAGAAGACATACAGATATAACGTAACAAACTTCAAGTTAACAGAAAAGGTGTTATTTTAACAGATGAAGACGACAATGCACCTTTTGAGAACCCGAGTTCTGCTCCCCACATCTGTCCTCCATCTGACCTACTAGGAACAACATTATTTAACAGAAATATAATGTAAGCCACATGAGCCAATTAAAATTTTCTAGCCAGGAGCACCTGGATGGCTCAGTAAGTTAAGCGACTGCCTTCGGCTCTGGTCAGGATCCCAGGGTCCTGGGAACGAGCCCTTACATTGCGCTCCCTGCTCATCAGAAGTCCACTTCTCCCTCTGCTCCTCCCCCTGCTCCTGCGCACGCGCACGTGCATGCATTTGCACGCTCTCTCGAATAAGTAAAATCTTTCAAGAAATACATAAAACAAAATTTTCTAGCCAGCCAAGCTTAGAAAGCAAAAAGAAACAGGTCATATTAATTCTACTTAACCCAATGCACACAAAACAAACATACATCATTTCAACATCAATATAAAAAATTAACAAGATATTTTATATTCCTTTCTTGTACCAAGTTTTTGAAATCTGGTGTGTATTTTACACTTACAGCCTATCTCATTTCAGACCAGTCACATTTCAAGTGCTCGATAGCCAGCCCCACATGGCACTGTTACGAGACTATGTGACAAGGAATTAAAACTCACAGCTCCAATACCCAACTGGTGGGAATAGCAATTTTAGTACATCACTTTAGAAAACTATTTGGTTCTATCTACAAAATAGAAAATATGCGTACCTTATGAACCAGGAATTCTACTCTTACATGTAGGATTCTATTCCAACCCAACAGAAATTACATATGCCCCCCAAAACATTTACAAGAATGCTAACAGCAGCACGACTGCACTATTTTTAACAATAAAATGCTGGAAACTACCAAAAAGCCCACCAATTCTAAATGAATAAGTAAGTGGCAGAATAATTACAAAACAGACTACCATGCCGGCAATGTGAAAGAGTGAACCACAAGGACACGCAGTAACTCGGACGACTCACAAATTACTGAGCAAGAGAAGCCAGACACCAAGGCATGTATGCTTCTAACTCCATTGATGAAAACTCAGAAAACCAGGCAAAATGTGGGAAGGTCAGAATACCGGTTTCCCCTGAAGGACAGGTACTGACTTGAGGTGTTTGCTAGGTTGCTTGTTGGTCTGGGTGCTGATCGCAGGAGCGAGCTTCCCTTGTGAAAGTGCAGCTATATACAATCATAATTCCTGTCCTTTCCTTACATCTGTTTGTGCCCTTACATCACACTTCAAGATAAAACTCACTCAAGACAAAACTCTAATAGCTCCAGATGCACACTATTCAAAGAATCAAACTCCATAACTGTGGTGAACATTTTTTCAAAATATCTTCTGCCTCCGGGATTTTCCAAAAACACTCAATTCTTAAAAAAGTATCAAGATGACAACCATTCTATTCTTATGGTCTCGCCCAATCAGGAATGAACTTTCTTTCCAGGTCTGGGCTCCCACTACAGGGACTCTGGCCATAAGCCTAAAAAGAATGTTGCTAACTGACTCCATCACTTTTACTTTTCTCTAAGCTACAGAAGAACTTTCTGGTTTTTTTTTTTTTTTTTTAAAAACCCTACCCCTAAATGTGATGGTATTAGGAGGTGGGATTTTTTTTTTTTTAATTTCTTTATTTATTTGACAGAGAGAGAAATCACAAGTAGGCAGAGAGGCAGGCAGAGAGAGAAGGGGAAGCAGGCTCGCCACTGAGCAGAGAGCCTGATGTGGGGCTCGATCCCAGGATCATGACCCGAGCCGAAGGCAGAGGCTTTAACCCACTGAGCCACCAGGCGCCCCAGAACTTTCTGGTTTTAAAAACACCAATATGGAAGCAAACCTTTCCTTGACTAGATATTTTACTACGCTCTCAATATGTAAGCCATACTTCTTTACTGAAATGTCTTTCCTCCTTTTGAAATGAGAACAAAAGAAAGCCTTTTTCTATAGACAGATCCCCAGTGACCACTCTTTCAGACACTCCAGCTCTCCAATTTGGTCAACTTTAACTTAAACCCTTGGATTCTTAAGCTGATGATCTAGAGTCTGCTTCTAGCACTGTGTCCCAGAGACATGAGTCATTTGGTTTGCCCAGTTGAGATACTGCTCTTCCACCCTGGGTAAGAGGCCAAAAACCACTGGAACAGAATTCTAGCCTGTAGCTCAGAAATACTATGAGAGAGAGAAAAGAATCACGGGGCGCCTGGGTGGTGCAGTCGGTTAAGTGTCTGCCGTTGGCTCAGGTCACGATCCCAAGGTCCTGGGATGAGGTCTCGAGTTTGGCTCCTTACTCGGCACAGAGGCTGCTTCTCCCTCTCCGTCTGCCCCTCCCCGTGCTCATGCACTCTCTCTCAAAATAAATGAATAAAATCTTAAAAAAAAAAAGTAGGTACAAAGTATAAGGAAGTAGGAGAGGAGCATAGAGAAGAGGCTCCAAATGAGAAAAGCCATTTTGGGATCAGCCGTCATGTGTTCACTTGGAACGCAAGACTCAGGCAAGTGAGGGCTAGTGATATTTAAAAAAAAAGAGAGATCCCAGTCGAGAAAAAAACAAGAACTATTCCGTTTACCAACCACTGTGATCTGAAGAAACAGAAACAGATTACACTTTAGAGATTCTTAAAGTAAAAAAATTAAACAACAGAAAAACCATTATTGCAACTCACCTTATAAGTGCAAGCAAATTGTCAAGAAGTTTCAGAATCTGTTCTGTGCAGGGGTTACGGAAGACTGGATTTCCACTGGGCGTATAACCCACGATGAATCCCCCAGCTTTGGCCTCTTCTAGGTCAGTGGGCCAGCAAGTTCGTTTCACAACACCCAGAATGCTATATACACAAAAACTCATCTACAGAAAAACATAAAACAAAGGCAGCCATAAAGAGAACGAAAATCAAAAGTGTTATTACACACATGCAAGGTTACGGCAAATGTGATACCAGAGGCCAGGGAGAAGGAAAGGACCCTGCCCCCATCCCATCCCTTCTGTTAGGGTCAGTCTAAGAGGGGTCCTTTCATCGCCATCTTCAGGATGAGTGGTGGGCTCCTGAAATTTCCTTTACATGAGGCTGTTCTACTAAGGGCTGCAATGACCCTCTTGCAGGATCCCAATTAAAAGATGCCTGGGGGCGCCTGGGTGGCTCAGTTGGTTGAGCGACTGCCTTCAGCTCAGGTCATGATCCTGGAGACCCGGGATCGAGTCCCGCATCAGGCTCCCAGCTCCACGGGGAGTCTGCTTCTCCCTCTGACCTTCTCCTCGCTCATGCTCTCTCTCACTGTCTCTCTCTTCTCTCAAATAAATAAATAAAATGTTTAAAAGATGCCTGGACACTGCTTCACAACCAAGTCCTTAGACTGCCAACATTTTGTCTTGTTTTGGGTGACCTCAGACCCTCCAGCTTGTACCTTGACAGCTTTTGCCCTAATCCTCACTTGTGGTCCCCTCAACCAACCTACTACCTGCTAGTTTTATTAGTAAGATTCGCCATACTGGAGCCAGGAACAAGGCTTACTTCAATAGCCCAGAACTGAAGAATCTCAGGTTTGCAAGTTAGACCATCTTTAGGATGCTACATGCCAGGGAGCACTGGCAGGGAGGGCGCACACTGCTGACCCAATTCCCCATCACACCTTCAGTCTTTGGAGCTATTTAGGGATCCTTAAAGCCAAAATAATGACTTCGAAGAAAAGACTATCTGCTCTGCTGTGGGAACTAACTCAAGAACTCAAGACTAGAGATGCCTGGGTGGCTCAAGTAAGCGTCTGCTTTCGGCTCAGGTCAGGGGCTCTGGGATCGAGCCCCGCATTGGTCTCCCTGCTTAGGGGGGAGTCCACGTCTCCCTCTGCCCCTCCCACTCTCTCTCTCCCTCTTCTGTCAAATAAAAAAAATAAAATCTTAAAAAAAAAAAAAAAGAATTCAAGACTAAAGAAAAGAAAGGAGAAACTTAGGGAAGTGAAGACTTCCAGATTTCTCACGCATGTAGAAGAAACAGAGATCTGTAAAAGACTCTAGAAATGGTGGAGTCTCTAGTCCGACCTGTGGCCTCTGCAGCTTCCCATTCCCAGGAGAGGCTTACTCACTCGTGCGCGGTTTAGACCACAGGGATCCTCTGGGCCTGGGTCACAGCTCTTCCGATCGGCGCCCACGTAGGCAATAAAAGCATCAACATCTGACAGCACTCTGAAAGTTGGAGTGGGAAAGACAAGTCATAATAAGACTTTAAGCACAGATGGTTTCTTCCACAAAAGCTAATAAACTATGATTATTTGGCCCCAAAGAGCACTTGCTACAGTGAGAGGAATTTAATCATTGTCAGCTGATATTTGAAGGTTGAAATGCCTCTTCCCACTTCTGAATGTCATTAGCAAAAAGGACGCAGGCTCGAGAATGCTACATGGGCACAATGAGTGTCTGTGCATGTGGCCCCTCCTGGCTGTTCTCGAGTGTCTACATGGGCTGGCACCGTACCCTGCAGACACCGCAGGTACTCTGTGGCCTCCCAACCGTACTACTCATCTCTTCTCATTTCTTCCCTCTCCCTACACCTCCGAACTCAAGGTGGTATTTTCAGCAACCCGCATAAAAGACTTCTTCTGGAGAACTCAGATGTCACTGATGAGCCATCACCCCGTGAGATCCTTACACAGGCACCCTAGGCATAGCTCTTTAAATGCAGGATGGGTGCTCCAGTGCGGTGAGGGTCTGGGGCAAAGGCTCTCCTCTACCTGTGCATGTCTTCAGAAAGCCAGATGCTGGCCACTGGTGCCATCAGCTCCTCTAGGAACACCTTCTGACGCTCGTAGTTCTTGAATTGGTTGCTAATGAGAACCAGGGCTTCCATGAGGGCACACTTCTCCATTTGTGTCAAGAGTAACTCATTGGAGAGGAGTTGCTTCACATGGTTATAAAGCATGTCAAAATTGGGCTGCAGATTACAAAGAAAAAAACCCAAAGGTGGTGAAAGTCTGATTTTTAAGGAGAGGTGGGTCACTCAAGGAAGGCGGAGAGAGAATCAAGGCATTCCTAGGAAGGTCAGGCCTATAAGGCTGTCACTTCAGTAATTTAGTTATAATGTCCTGCTTTTGCCTGAACAAGCCAGGCAATGTAAGCAGAAAGTGGTTCTTGTCTTGGGTATTTGTACTTTCCCAAAAAGTACTGTGAAACTATAGGTCTTTTTTTCTATTTCAATTTTATAGTCTATTCATAGACAAAGATTAGCTTGTTTATATATGTTAGGGAGACACATAACTGATGTGTATTCAGATAAGAAATTTTTGATTAATTTCTAATCTGGAATAGTGCTAAATTTCCTATAGAAACCCTCTGAAAAAGGTTGGAATTTGCATCTGGCTTCTCTCAAGATTAGGCACACCATTTGGCAGTAAACAACATCACACAGGAAAAATGTGTACGTTGACAGGAAAAACTTGGTCATCTACATGGGCAAGAATACTCATCCTGAGGGAATATATTTGCATTTTTAATTACACCACTAAGCAGGAGAGGAAGAAGACACCAACTCAAGAATGCTTATTTGAAGCAAAACTACAATTCCTTGTTTTCTCCTTATGTGAGGTATAATTAGGGCTGGATTTACAGAGGACTGTAACTAAACTCGACAGGTTTCAGTGGCTACTTGGTCGGAGTCCAGCAGCTTACCAATACGAGCTGGGGGTAGTCACGACATGTCTTGATGATGGAGGAACAAGCGTGTCTCCTCACATTCCTCACTGCCCGGGTTCTGGGGGCCTGGGAAGACATATTCAACAAACCTGGAGGCACTTTTAATAAAATTTACAGATGCTGCTTAGAATCACATGAAATATTTCCTTCAAAGGCAAATTCACAATCAATTTTCACAATGTGGGAGTTTAATGGACTGACATTTACAGTCACCATGAATCCACGTGTTCACTGTTTTTGCCTTAGAGTATCTCTGACCGTCTCCTGCCTTTACTAACTCCTTCTACCTATAAAAAAATCTAGACTTAGGTGTTAGGCATTCACAGTTTTGCTCTCCAGAAGTTAGGATTAGTTGGGTGAATTAATGGTCTTACCTTACTTTCTTCAACAGTTTCAAAAGTGACAGATGAAAATAGCTAAGGGTAAGAAAGAAAAGGTTACTCATCAGTACCAAATGCATGAAGTGTTTTTAACAGCAGTTGGCATAAAGTTTCCAACAAAATCTCAGAAGTATAAATATGCTAACAGCAGGGTTTTCAGTCGGTATTATGAAGTTTCAGATGTTTATCTTCTCAGATAACTCTACAAGAGGCTAGAGATTCACAATCCTACCATCAAACATCTTTTAAAGGTGGAGGCTACAGAACCCCTGAACAATCCAAGCCCTCAGCCAAACACTCAGCTATGGTGATACCCTCTGATTCCACTGCGTAACTTCGTAACTTCTCATAGACTTTCACCTAATACAGCGTGACTACTGCAAAAGTCATCAGGATGGAATTATACTCTAACAAAGGTCTAATCAAGAAACCCCATGGAGGGATGCCTAGGTGGCTCAGTCGGTTAAGCACCTGCCTTCAGCTCAGGCCATGATCTCAGGGTCCTGAGATCAAGCCCCTCATCGGGCTCCCTGCTCAGTCTGCTTCTCCCTTCCTCTCTGCCCCTCTGCCCTGAGCGCATTCTCTTTTTCTCATAAATAAATAAAATCTTAAAAAAAAAAAAAAGAAAAGGAAAGGAAAAAGAAACCCAATAGATATTCCCTAGTTCTTAGAGACTTTCTGTTGCAACGAATGCAACGAATTAAAGTTCTACTGACCTGGGACACCTGGGTGGCTCAGTTGATTAAGTGGCTGCCTTCGGCTCAGGTCATGATCCCAGCATTGTGGGATCGAGTCCCACATCGGGCTCCCTGCTCGGCAGGGAGCTGCTTCTCCCTCCGCCTCTGCCTACCACTCTGTCTGCCTGTGCTCACTCTCTCTGGCAAATAAATAAATAAAATCTTAAAAAAAAAACAAACAAACTTCTACTGATCTTTGTAACACAACATTTTTTCATTTCTCTGGCTGTATCTTTATTCTTTCTTTGGGGAATTCTCCTTCTTTGCCCTCCTCCCCCAAAGATGATAATCCTCAGAATTCCCTGCTTGAGCCACATGTCCAACTCTACATACATATCACCCTCTTTCCTAGGGCTTCACCTCTGCTCTAGGCACTTCTATGATGATGCCACCTTAATACTGTAATCTTCCAGACTCTAGACCTTTAACGATAGCCAACTGATTGTGAAGTATCCTCTCCTAGATGTTGTACATACACTCCAAATGTAGTATTCCCAAACCCAGCCCTCAAATGTAGTATTCCCAAACTCAGCCCTCTTCCTCATTCTTACTGGTTCCATTATTCTCACTCAGGTAGTGCTCTACTACTCACCTAAACAGGAAACCCAAAAACCATTCACACTAATTTCTCTCACATATCCCCTCCGAATAAACGGAGAGCACACTGACACCTTCTTTAGGTGTTCTTTTCCACTTCTCGGTATACTCATCTATTAATTATAACACCACATGGGTAAAACAACTGTTTATGTGATTTTATTTCCAAATGGTAAGCAAGGCTTTTCTACCAGCATGGTGCCCAATCCACAGTAAGTACTGAATACCTGATGAATGAATACATGACTGTTCATCAGCTTGTCTCAAAGACTCTCAAAAACAATCACAAAAAAATAATTAGTTCAAAAATACTCAAAGTTTACAAAGGAGATGGAATTTACCTTAGAGAAGACCTGGGGCAGGAACTCTGGTCTGTAGGTGACAAATGGAAAGAGTGCTGAGACATTAGTGAGGACACAGGACAGGATGAGAGGATCCTTGGTGTTAAAGTTCAGGACCATTTGCAACAGCTCTATTCCATCATTAACAGGAACCGCCTGTAATACAGACAATGAAAAAGATGTTGACATGACTGATGAGCACTTTTGGTAAAATTTCCTTTAGGACTTGGTTTATAAATGTGTGATGTGGTTGCTACATATGGTTTTATTTATTTATTTTTTTTAAAGATTTTACTTATTTATTTGACAGACAGAGATCACAAGTAGGCAGAGAAGCAGGCAGAGAGAGGAGGAAGCAGGTTCCCTGCCAAGCAGAGAGCCCGATGCGGGTCTCGATCCCAGGACCCTAGGATCATGACCCGAGCCGAAGGCAGAGGCTTTAACCCACTGAGCCACCCAGGTGCCCCTACATATGGTTTTATATACTGCTTTTTGACCTGAAAATTCTAAGCATTACCCTGTGTTATTAAAACTTTTCCTAAATGATGCTACCATGTGCCATCTTAAGGATGTAGCTTTTCCTATTACTAGAAATTGAGAATGTTGCTAGTTCTTTACCTATTATCAATGGTGCTAATACATCTTTGCAAAAATGTTTTGGCTACATTTTCGCTTATTTCATTTGAGGCAAAGACTTCTGGGGATAGTGGGAATTACTGAATCAAAAGGTATGAATACTTCTAAGTCAAATTGTTTTTCTTCTTTACAGGCTGTATCAATTGATTCTCTGTCCACCAATATGCCCTTCTTACCATGTTCTTAGCAGCAGGTTGTGTTTATTCCCTAAAACCTTTGCAGTTAAGTTAAACAATGAGTTTATTTAAATTTGCATGTCTTCAATTACTAATGAGGACTGAATTTTTTTCATGTATTTATTAACTACTTTTATTTCTCTTCTTTACAAAAATCTCATCTTTTGTCTCTTCTCCACTGGGTTCTAGTGCTTTTTTAAATTTATACGTAAAAAAATCTTATTGTGAAATATTCTAGACCTTTAGAAAGGGGTAAGCAGTACTTGAATAACTCTCCACGTGACCACTTTGAGATGTACAATGTTACTGATATTGGTTGCTCTGTGTATACATCCTCTTCTTCAGCCCTAGAGGTGGCCACTGTCCTGAATTTGGTGCTCACATTTTCAAGGATTCCATCATTTCCGTACACTTCTGCCACAAATGTACATACTCCTAATTACACAGAGTTGCATGTTTACTTTTGTAGATTGTTGTTTGGGGTCACCATCATGTTTATGAGAATCATACTTATTCATAGTACATCCCAGTTCCTTTTCACTGGTCTATAAACATATTATCATCTGTTCTGTACAATCTATTGAGGGTTATTAAGTTTCTTCCTTGGCTCAACATTTAAGGATTCTATAGTATATTGGATGCTCAGCGCACATGCAGGGGTTTCTTCAGAGCAGACTTAGGAGTGAAGTTGCTGGGTCATAAGGCTAGGCATCTTCAACCAGACATTGTCAAATTATTCTCCAAAGCTGTGATATCAATTGTACTCAAAAAGCAATGTATAAGAAATATGTTTTTATAGTAAGAATATTAATCCCATCATATTTATTGCAAATATTGTTCCAAGTTTGCCTTTCAAAGTTTATTTTATAGTATGTTTAAAAAAAAGTAGTTAAAACCATTCACATTTCTAGGATTACTTCCTTTGTTTTTCAACTTAGGGACTTTTCCTCAAAGAGTTTATTTTCCCTAATGCTATTTATTAAATGAGCCAATCCTTCTTGATTTCTTTGGAATGCTTATATATGCTCCAGGTTGTTTCTGGGCTATTTTGTCCCAAGGAGCTCTATCTAATGTCAGTACCACACTGCCTATGAAATATCGTAGTTTCATATTTTACTATCTGAGGCAAATCAATCCTTGTCTTCTTCAAAATGTGACTCCCCCCCCCACAAAGCTATTCCCTGTATTAATCCATTGTTAAAGTAAGTCTTCTGGGAATATAAGTTCAGCTAATGCCACTACAAATGAGAGGAACAGCTTTTCAAAAAACTCTTTTAGTGGGTGCCTGGGTGGCTCAGTTGGTTAAGTGTTTGCCTTCAGCTCAGGTCATGATCTCAGGGTCATGGGATCAAGCCCTGCTCAGTGGGGGGGTCTGCGCCTCCCTCTCCTTCTGTGCATTTTCTCTCTAATAAATAAATAGCATCTTAAAAAAAAAAAAAAACTCTTTTAGTCAAAGAACCTCTTGGTCCAACTCTTTCATAGGCTACCAGCTGAGTAGCTGACAGACCCTGGGTGAGGGGCGGGGACTGAGAGTGCAGAGTGAGCACTGTGCAAGACGGATGGACTGGACAACATCATGCAGAATCAGGAACTGAGAGCAGCAAATGGGAATGTGACAGGCTGAGATCTGTCACTTGCACCCTATGTGTAAGAGTGTTACACATAAAGTGTTACATAAACTGTTCCACCTTCCTTAACAAGTAGTGAGTAATTTCATCAAATATATACACACTAAAAACTCACTTCTCAGGGCGCCTGAGTGGCTCAGTGGGTTAAGCCTCTGCCTTCAGCTTGGGTCATGACCTCAGGGTCCTGGGATCGAGTACCCACATCGGGCTCTCTGCTCAGGAGGGAGCGTGCTTCCCCTACTCTCTCTGCCTGCCTCTCTGCCTACTTATGATATTTCTCTTTTTGTCAAATAAATAAATAAATCTTTAAAAACAAACAAACAAACTCACTTCTCTTGATTAGGAATGCTTCATTCTGACCCATTTCATTTTGGTGAAGAAAAAATGGTTTGAGAGTCAGAGATTTATTTTAAGTCACCAACAGAAGCCTAAATACTACCAATCTCATGAGGAAAAAAGAATTTTGTTCTACTGTTTTTCTCCCCATCAATTGTTCTGACTCCTACTGTTTCTAATTGTTACCTCTGCTTTGTCTCCAGCCCACATCTTTTTCTACACTATCCAACTTTTTGTACCCTTTGACCAAATAATATTTGGCATTTTGACCAAATACCATCATATTCAAGGATGTATCATACAATCCAGCCTACAACCAAGCACCCTGCCCCCCAACCCTGCAATACTGCCAGTCCTTTCATACATTTTAAAGTCAAATGCCTGACAAATCCTGACCATTTCATTCTCTTGCTTTCTAGCAGAATCGTATGCAAATATTTAGATCCATCAAGCTGTCTAACTTAAAAAATGCTAGGAAAGGAAACCTCAGGGCCATTACCCTTGATTCAATAAAGGGCTTTCTTAATCAGATAGTACCACTTAAACCTAAGAAAGGGTTCATTTAGTAAAAAATGCAGGATCGTAGCAGGATTTCCTACCTAAATTTTGGAACAAACTCTGAATGCCATCATTTCAAACTCAAACAAAGCAATATACAAGCAGGTGAAGTTAATCACTCTAAGATCTAATTTATTAATATGCCTTTTGTGAGGAAAAGCACTATATCTCACTTATCTATATCTTATATATACTCACTATATCTCACTTCAAGGGGTTTCGATTTTTCCTACAACTAACCTAGAATATACTACGATGTAATCATCCTGAAACAAATAGTCCAATGATTTTAAACCAATTAATTACAGCTGCATCCAAGGTAGATAAGAGAAGGTGATGGGTCACATGAAGCATATAAAAACAAGACCACTTTATTCAGATTATTCACGGAAGAGGACACTGATCAGCTAACATGAATATTGTGTCTATCTGCCATCAACTGAAAAGGATGCTTAATGGCAAACATTTCCAAAGGTTTTCCAGCTCAAGATTACCATTGCTGTCCTCCCTGCAAAAGTTATCCTACCTGCACTTCACTATACAAACAGGCTTGTCTTATTATCCCCTTAAAATGAATATTGACCATTGTAGGCTTAGAGTCAGGCCTGCAATTTGAACTCAAGTATGTTATTTAACCTCTCTGATTCTCCATTTCCTCTTCTGTGAGATGCATATCCATAGATTCGCCCTCTGTCAGTTTTAAAAAGGTCAAAATCATTATGCAATCAACACAGGAAACAGTTACTTACCTCTTTATCTAGTGTCCGAAACATCTGGTTGACCACACTTTCCAAAAAAAAAGTCATGGCTTCCCACTGCACGAATGAAGAGGAGAAAATGGAGCAGAGGCTACCTTCTCCAGTTCCAGCTGTTGGAGAAGAGGGTTTTAAAACACAAATATAAACACACACACACACACACACACACAACTACAGGATCACAGAAGACACAAAGACAATGGGGACTTAGAGACCACTTAATTTCACAGGTGAAGGAACAGGATAATCTAACCCTCTCAGCCTGGGTAAAGAAAAGAACTAAAAGTAGAGAAGGGGCCTATCCTGCCTCCACCCCTAATAATGAGCTGTCCGAATTCACTTCTGTGAGTCCTGTCTATAAAACCACTTTGAATGTTGAATGAGAATATATGCATAAGCATCAAAAAACACAAGCAACTGATAAATATCAATTAAACTCTCTCTTCCTGTCCTTTATAACCTGTCCATGAAAATCTAAATAAAGATATTTGAGACCATAAAGAATCTTTAAAAAAAACAAAAACAAAAACAAAAACCTGATATAAGATAACAGAATGCTAATTCATCTCCAGTAGCCTCATAACAATTCCAAGTTCTGGACAACTGTGCCACCCTTCAAATTTGTTAAGTATCAGCAAAGCACATCCCTCAAACAGCAAGGCACAGGCAAAAAGATTTATGAATTACTTTCCTTGCTTTCATATAGTGCTCCCATCTACTAGCTTTACCTTGGTGCAACATATCTGGGCCTCCACAAACATTCAAATTACCTGATACCATGGACCTTCAGAGTCAGTTATGAGTACCCAAAACAAAATGTTAAATCCTATGAATGACAAGTAACTAGAGTAGCTGGTAACTGACCGTAAATACAGAGCCCCCTAAAGGAGTGACTTATACTTTCTCCTGTTTTACTAAATTCTGTCACCCACAGCATGCATTAGTCAGTAAGACAATAGACAGGTGATAATGGAGTACAGAGAAGTTACCGGGCTTATGCATTTGGGTACAGAAGTGTTATGTTGATTTTGTATAATGCAGCATTTCCAAAGGCTTTGAGGTGGCTGAGTGACACAGAAAGTCCCTGCACTGCTCCCGTTATGCCTGACTAACAAGGCATTCTTTCTAAATTTAGAAGTGGTTCTATGCAAGAATTTTGTAGAAGAGCTTTAAAAAGTCTAGACATGCAATTTGGTAGGATGGTGCCTACAGTGAAGTAACAGAATCAACAACGAGTGGTTCATTCTGTTAGAAAAGAAAAATGAAGGCAAGACTGACAGGGACATGATCTTACCCTAAATGAAAGATTATTTTTGAATGCCATTACTAGCATGCTGTTCTGAAGTGTGGCTTACAGGGCTTATTTCCAATGTATATTTGATACAATACTTCACTAATGTTTAGAAATAAAAAAACCTTACAGTTCATGGATCCAGTATCAACAGAAGTTGAGAGCTGATACTTTAGCCACTCCCCAGCCATCTGGAAGCTAGTCTTGGGATCCAAACGACATGCTAACCTCATTACCTCTCCTTGTTGGGCCCGGGAGGCTGCCAAGAGAAAGACATAAATCAGTAACTGACAGATAATAAGTGCTTAGCTAATGTTCATTCATTTATCCATCCCAGGAAAAAAGCGTTCAAAGAAACTTCTGCAGATTTATGCTCTGAATTTAACAAATGTTCAATCAAGATTAACAAATTCAGAAATTTTCAAAAGTAAATTTCCTCTGGAAGCCACCCTACCAGCTTGATCCTCTAAGAGGCAAACTAAAAGTGGTCTCCCATTTCTTTGGAATCAATAAAAGATTAGGTTGGTACAGATGTACAACACAGTACAGTGTGGGGGCTATGGAAAACAGCCTGACAGTTCCTCAAACATTAAATGTGAAATTACTATATGATGGAATATAGACACACACTCAAGAGAAAAAAAAAAACAATGTCTGTTCACTCAACTTGTATACAAATGATACAGCAGCATTATTCTTTTTTTTTTTTTTTTAAAGTAAGCTCTAGGCCCAATGAGGGGCTTGAACTCACGACTCCAAGATCAAGAGTTGTATGCACTACTGAGCCAGCCAGGCACCCCAATAGTAGCATTATTCTTAACAGGTAAGAATTAGAAACAACTTAAATATCCATCAACTTATGAAATGAATGACTACAATGTACGCTCATACAATGAAATATGGCAGTAAAAAGAAATAAAGTATCGATACATGCCACAGCATGGGTTAATTTTAAAGATATAACCCTAAATGAAAGAATGCAGTTACAAAAGACCATATATGTATAATCTGTTTGTAAGAAATGTTCAGAATAGGTGACATGTAGAAAAAGATAGTGGATTACTGGTTGCCTGGAGCTGGGAAGAATGAGGGGACTGGGAATGGCTGACCGCTAGCAGGCAGGGATTCTTGCAGTCATTAAAATGTCCACAAATTGTGGCAAAAGTTGCACAACTCTGAATATACCCAAAAAACCCACTGCATTGTATGCTATAAATGGGTGAATCGTATGGTAAACGAACTATATCTCAAAAAGCTATTATTTTAAAAAAGAGGGAGCGGGGAGGAACTAGCCAGACTACAAAAAACCAAGAACAGAATTAGATGATCAGAATGTGGGTTTTTTCCTCTTTTTTCGAAGACCAGTGAGGTTAGGTAGTATTTAATCCTAGGTGTTACATATAGTTACTATGCCTAAACATCCAAGTCCAAAGGCTATGTATGCGTGCATGCATGTGTATGCATGTAACGCACAGGCAAGAGAGAATACTACGCCTAGAATGAGCGCAATCCCAGTACCGGCTGCAAGGTGCAACTAGAGACTGAACAGGCTGCTTGTCCAGATCTTAGGCCCTTTAATACAGAACCCAAGGGTCAGGTACCATGATTCGTAACACTAGACGCTATTCTCAGATGACTGGGAGAAGTTCCACGCTACTATCACTTACAGTTGAAGAAAGCATTGAAGTCCTCATCACTATCAAAATCAAACCGAGAGTATTCACAGCTAGGGCTGTCTGTTTTAGAAGGAAAGCCCATCTGCAAAGAGAAAGATAATTGGGGTAGGGGATAAAAATAGGCCTACCCAAAGAGGCTTAAACCCTAAGAGCTCAAGCACTTTTTCATTTAAGAAGAGTGAAAGGTTTGCATAAGATCTTTTATAATTACTACTTCTGGTCTATCCCAAGTCCACAGTTTTCTCCCAGTTCCAATAATCCTGAGAGTGGTTGAAAAGAGAACACTCATCTCATGCTCCCTCCAGATTCCTCAGGGAGAATTAAATTCTGAAATTTGTTTACGGTATCTGAGTATAAAGCTGTCCCAAAACAAAGTGCTAATACAGCACGCAGTAAGAAAGAAAAAAATTGAGAACTGTCTCCTTCAATGCTGAAACTGGGAATAAGCACAGCACTTTGCATATTTCACTCAAAAAGTACTGAAGAGCATGAGAATGAGAACAGGGTATCATGTGCTAGATGTATTCTTAGAGGAAATAAGAGGACCTTCACATAGGTCCCACTCTCTGATTTTTACAAATCAAGATTAAGCATCTGTCAGCTGCAAGAGCCCTTAGCAGATCTCAGGGAATTCATAAGGAATTCTATTCAAGTGGTAAGCAATTTGCTTCTACCTTCCATCTTCCCTTCTCATTCACCTTCAGACCCTCACTAGACCTTCAGAAACAATCACATAGGATTTCATCTTGGAATCTTGGCTCCACTCTGCCAGCTTTTAAACTGGAAATAGCATTATCCCACTGCATGATCATGGGTTACTGCTCTTGTCCTTCTTCTTCCTAGCACCTAGCCCAATACTTTGTATAGAAGTGCTCCAAAATATGAAAAAGTAGATATAATAACCAGTTTGCACTGCCTTCTTCTTGGTGAATAAGAGAATAATATACCCAACTATAGGACCCTGGTGACCAAAATGGGCTGTCAATGATGCCAATCTGCCCTATTATGTGTACTCACCTACAATCCTTTTTCTTTTTTTTTTAAGATTTATTTGAGAAAGAATGAACGAGTGAGCAGGGAAAGGGGCAGAAGGAGAGCAGAATCCCAAGCAGAGTCCCTGTTGAGTGCAGAGCCCAATGCAGGGCTTAATTCCACAATCCTATGATCATGAACAAGATGCTTAACCAACTAAGCCACCCAGGAGCCCCCATTCCATGTTTTGATTCCCACTGTTTACCTTGACCAAGTTAGTCATAGAAGCACGAAGATATTTTGGTATTATTGCTAATAGCAAAGGGTCACGGGACAGGATCTCATGCCGGAAAAGGGCCCCCCAAGTCATCTGAGTTGAAGAACGCAGAAACTAATGGGGGTGGGGAAAAAGAAAAAAAAAGAAAAACCTCCGTTTAAGGATTTGGACTTTACATAAGCAGGATTATTACTGAGCCCCACAATTATCAAAAATATTTTTTCATGGAAATAAATCCCTGTAATACTCCTACACTGTCCGTATTTACTCTATCCATAATGACTGCCTGTTACAGACCACATATTAGTAAGACAAACTGTGGGGTCAGGTGTAATTCCTGGAATCTCAGCTGAGCTCTACCACTTTTTCTTTTTTTCTTTTTTATTCTACGCAAGCTCTACACCCCATGTGGGGCTCGAACCACCTGGAGATCAAGAGTAACATGCGGGAGCCTGGGTGGCTCAGTGGGTAAAAGCCTCTGCCTTCGGCTCAGGTCATGATCCCAGGGTCCTGGGATAGAGTCCCGCATCGGCTCTCTGCTCAGCAGGGAGCCTACTGCTCTGTCTCTCTCTGCCTACTTGTGATCTCCATCTGTCAAATAAATAAATAGAATCTTTAAAAAAAAAAAAAAGTCACATGCTCCACCAACTGAGCCAGCCAGGCATCCCTCTAGCACTTTCTTTACGGGCAAAAAAGGATATGGGAATCTCGGGGTGGTATTACAAGGAAAGCCTTAAATGTGTGAAATTAATTTTACAGCACAATCAATTAGACTTTTGCATTTAAAATGCCTTGGGTGGCAAATAACCTGGGACACACCTGACATCTGATTGAGCATCAGCAGAATATTACGTGAGGGGAAAACCTGCCGGCCTAGACAGTGCAACACTCAGTTCAGGAAGAAGATTCAACAATTCTCTTAATGAAATCACACCACAGTTATTTCATAAAGCCTTAAGAGTCACATTTTATACATGAGCCGTTAATTACTTCAAGCCATAGTGATTAATTTTGGCTTACCTAACTAAAATTTTCACAGACTGCCTACATACAGTTTACCTGACTTGGATGGGTTGTGAAAGCAAGAAAAGATTCCAGGTATTTTCCAAAGTTTGCTGGTGTTTCTACATCAGAATCCACACCCTGAGGGACAAAAAGACCACTACATCAGTGACGCTGATGGGGGGTGGAAGAGGACAATGGGAGGAGTAGGGTAACAAACACAGCTGACTCTTGAACACAGGGGCTAAGGGTCAAAAATCCACATATAACTTTTCATTCCCCCAAAACTTAACTACTAACAGCCTCCTATAGACCAGAGGCCTTACTGATAACATAAACTGATTAACACATATTTCGTATATGTATTATATACTGTGTCCTTACAATAAAGGAAGCTAAAAAAAAAAATGTTATTAAGAAAATTCTAAGAAAGAGAAAATACATTTATAGAACTGCATGTATTTATATCAAAAAATAGATTCTGTGTCTAAGTGGACCCATGCAGTTCAAACCTGTGTTGTTCAAGGGTCAACTATAGAGAACTTAAACCCTCACCAATTTCAGTTTTGAAAGGACTTTATACTTCCTTGTGACCTAAGGAAGGCATCAATTCAAGGGCTAAAAAGAGGAAAGGTGCTTTACCTCCTTAATCATCATCATTAAAACTCATTCTGTAGTCAAATACTAAAATGAAAAAGAGCATTCATTTCAGAAATCACAGAAAGAGAAAATCTGTATTATTTCTTCACACCTAGTCTATTCACATCTCTGTGACCAAATTTATTAAATAACCACTTGACGGTATACATCGTATGTCTGAAGCTCTATCCTCTCTAACCATCCAAACCACCATAAAAAGGCATAATATCAGATGCAAATGTCTGTACCAATGTCCTATCTCTCAATTTGTAAGACAAGTTATTAAATATTTCCCTAAAGACAGGTATTTCTAGGTCAATCACATTCAAGTTTTCGTTTATGCTCAATAACACAAATCCTTTAAATTTGGGAAGAGGGCTCTTTATTCAAATGTGTAATATTTCATGATCTAATAGGACTCTAGCAAACTGACGTTCTACAAGTACCAAAATTCACAAGAATAGCAATGCTGACTTCATGGAATAACAGATGTGGATGCTTCCTGTTAACATCAATAACTCACTTGTTAAAAGAAATTCACTCACTAGAACCCTGTTACAGTAACTTAATCTATAAAATCACATGAAATAACCTATAGGGCAATGCTCCACAAGGCTAAAATTAATGGCATGTTTCACTCATTATACAAACGTAACTTTCTAAATGCTCTGCTCAAATGGCCCTGAAACTCTCCAGAAAGTAAGTGCTCACCAGTAATGCACACAGCTGATTCCCCAGAGCACACAACACCTGACACAGTCTCTTCAGGAAGACATAGTGTTTTTCTACCAAGCCTCCTCCATCAGCAGTCCTGTGAGATGAGAAAATAAATGCTATTAATTGCACATCAAGAGAACCAAAAAGATTCCCATCAAATGGAGCTGTATGTGGTCTGTGCTTCAACATTCAAATTTCTGTTGATTATTAAAGTTAAAAAGCAAAAAAAAACCTCAAACCTTGAAGGATCAATGAGGAACAGGGTTCAATGCAATCTTATCCCTCAAAGAAGCACTTTAGTTCTGCACATTATATGGTCCTTGAGTACTGTGGGTTAATAACGTAAACTCTAAGTAGGACTGCATACAACAACGCACACACTTACAGGCATTCACTGATACCCGGGGAAGACTTAAACAGAGATGCATAGGAAAGCATGTAATAATTCCTTACACCACTGACAAAACTGAAAGGGTTATAACAAGAAAAGAAGACAAGCCACAGACTGGGAAAAAATATCTGTAAAAGTCACATCTAAAAAAGAACTGCTGGGCGCCTGGGTGGCTCAGTGGGTTAAAGCCTCTGCCTTCGGCTCAGGTCACGATCCCAGGGTCCTGGGATCGAGTCCTGCATCTGCCTCTCTGCTCAGGGAGCCTGCTTCTCCGTCTCTCTCTGCCTGCCTCTCTGCCTACTTGTGATCTCTGTCTGTCAATTAAATAAATAAAGTCTTTAAAAAAAAAATAAAAAAGAACTGTTATCCAAAATATATAAGGAACTTTTAAAACTCAATAAGAAAACAACCTGATAAAACACAAACCAAAGAGCTAAACAGACATCTCACCAAAGATATAGAGATGACAAATAAACATATGAAAAGATGCTCCACAACATATGTCATTAGGAAATTGCAAATTCAAATAAGATACCACTCACACCTACTAGAATGGCCAAAATCCAGACCACTGACAACACCAAATGCTGCGAAGGGTGTGGAACAACAGGAACTCTCATCCACTGCTGGTGAGAATGCAAAATGGTACAGCCACTTTGAAGACAATTTGAGTTTCTTACAAAACTAAGCACACTCTTAACAAATAATCCAGCAACCATACTTCTTAGTATTTACCCAAAGAAGTTGAAAACACGTTCACACAAAGACCTTCATATTTATACCATGTTAAACCTAGATGTTTATTGCTGCTTTATTCATAACTGGCAAAATTTCAAAGCAACCAAGATGCCTTTTGGTAGGTGAATGAATAAACTGGTATAATATCCATACAATGGGATATTATTCATTGTTAACAAGAAACGAGCTATCAAGGCCATGAAACACATGGAAAAACTCTAAATGTATACCACCAACTGAAAGAAGTCAATCTGAAAAACTTATACATTATGTGATTCCAACTATATGATGCTCTAGAAAAGGCAAAAGTATGGATAAAGTAAAAAGATCCGATCAGTTGTTGCCAGAGGTTGGGGTGGGTGAGAAGAGATTGAACAGGCAGAGCTCAGAGGCTGTGAAAATACTCTGTAAAATACTGTAATGATACAAGTTATTAGATATTTGTCGAAACCCAGAAACTGTATCCATAGAATGTACAACACCAAGAGTGAACCCTGAAGTAAACTATGGACTTTGGATGATTATAATGTGTCAGTGTAAGTTCATCAATTTTAATAAATGTACCCCTCTGGTTGGGGATGTTGCTAATGGGGAAGGCTACACATGTTGGGGGGGTGGGGGCATGGGAAAACTCTGTACATTTTTGGAATTTTGTTGTAAACCTGAAATTGCTTTTAAAATGTAAGTTTGGGGCACCTGGGTGGCTCAGTGGGTTAAAGCCTCTGCCTTCGGCTCAGGTCATGGTCCTAGTGTCCTGGGATCGAGCTCCACATCGGGCCCTGTGCTCTGCAGGGAGCCTGCTTCCACCTCTCTCTATCTGTCTGCTTCTCTGCCTACTTGTGATCTCTGTATGTCAAATAAATAAATAAAATCTTTAAAAAAAAAAATGTAAGTCTTAAAAATAAAAAGCAATAAAAATGTAACTCTATGTGTCACTTCTCCAAGTCATTTAGTTCAGATCTGTAATCCCTTAGCTACTATTTTAGAATCCAACAACTCTTTAAAAAGGCAGTCGTCCAACCAACTGCCTTCGGCTCAGGTCATGATCCCGGAGTCCCAGGATCGAGTCCCGCATCGGGCTCCCAGCTCCACGGGGAGTATGCTTCTCCCTCTGACTTTCTCCTCGCTCATGCTCTCTCTCACTGCCTTTCTCTCAATAAATAAATTAAAAAAAAAAAAAAATCCCTTAAAAACAGAGCTAGTCTCCAGAGAAAAGAAGGCCATCATAAAAGCTGTGTTGGAATGGACAATAAGAGATTTTAAGTAATCCATGTGTATCTCTTTTCATTTGTCCCTAGGACTAAGAGAATGGTATCCCAAAAAAAAAAAAAAAAAAAAATGCTTTAGTGGTCTTTGCAGTACAGTTCTACCTGTCTTCCTGGTAAGAAACATGTACCAGGAAATGCTCAAATATCTTCCAAAGCAATTAAAAATGAAAAAAAGTGGAAGCCAGTATTTTAGCACACAGAATGTGTTTGCAGGCCCCATGCATTCACTTTTCATTGAACACACTATTCCTGCTGCCTCCCAAGAGCCTCAGCACTTCAGGCACTGATTACTTTGAGCAGGAGAGGAAGGAACAGCGTCTGGAGTTCTGCAGTCAAGGCAGGCTCTGGGGCAGACTCTGGTCCAGAAGATCAGAGCATTCTCAGGCCTAGGCACCAGCACTACTAGGAGGCTTGGGGATCACCAGAAGCAAACAGAATCATGGAGATGAGCTGTCTGGGAAGAATGGGGAAAACTGTGAAAGTGATTGCGTATAGAGTCAACCGCCACAACTTCTTTCCAGCATAAGGTCTTTAAAAAGGTTAAAAATTAAGATTGCTTGATTTTCAAATTAAAAACGCTCTCAATTGACTGCCAGCATTCAGATAGGAACTTCAGATATATCGGTATAAACTACAGAAATGACAAAGAAATTAGAAAACACATAGAAAAGTAGATACTCACTGTGCAGCGGAGAGTATATAATGCATGGCAACATCCCCAAATAAGACCATCAAGGGCTTCCGGTCTTCCAACTTGCCCTAGAACCAATTTTAGGGAAATAGGAAATACAAACTGTTATTAAAAGCCTCCAAGTTACTAGCATTTCCTATACCTATATAATCAAATATATTGACTTCATAATTTCTCATAGTCCCAGGGCTAACTAAACACTGGAGAAAACGCCAATTCTATAAAATCAAAACGGGATTTCTATTTCTTCCATTTTTAAATGTGTTGGGCAGTAATGCTGATATGGTAACAAAGTAAATTATATCTAAAGATAATATTCCTATGGAAGAAAGAGTCACAGTCATTTGTTAGCCCAGGCCAATATAAAGCCAGTGAAGCCACAACTTAAGATTCTTTGACGTGACACTGTTTTACATTTTAGTATTACTTTCATCTTGTTTCCTCAGTGTGAAATGCCAAGACTCATAGCAGTTTCAAGAACAAGGTAGCCCGACAAATCTCCGTATATGCTGCCAGTGGATCCCTAGAATCCTGGAAAACTACTATCCGAAGAGGTCGGAGGCAGATAATGAAATTGGTGTCAAGTAGAAAGAAATCCCAAACTTTCTGATGTCTTCCTGCCACAACATACACTTCAGACACACTTACACACCACCCCGCAGAGACTCTGAGGATGAAAGTCAGTTTGAAGTGGTAACTTACTTTTCTGCTGACTGCAATGAGAAGACACTCAGCTGCTCCTAACTGAAGCTCCTGTTCATTCAGAAGCAGGCAGAGCATCTCTAAGAGCTTACAGTTTTCGGCAGTAATATGACTCATGGACACCCAGTCAATGTAGCCTGCCAGAGTATTCAGCGCTGCAACTCCTACTCGACAGTTTGCTTGGGCCTGTGTGAAAAGAAACAACTTTTAATCGTTAAGTCTTCACTGATGGACAAAGAGGCTGTGGTTATACCTGAGCTCCTTCTATTCTCTAATTCTAAAAAGAAAACGATTGGAAAAAAAAAAGGTACTCATGTAACAGCCAGACAGGGAACTCAAAGGTCTTCTTTTGATGCACAACCACTTCTCAAACAGCATTCTCAATGTCTGTCAATAAGATCATACTGGCATGGATAACCATTTCATCTCCTCTGATAAACTGGAAATACTGTAATTCTAACTCCCTTCTACCATTGCTCAGTGGTCACCTAAACCAAGGCTGAGGTTACCCTCCACTAGGTATATGCATCGCTGTACCTGAAAGCCTCAAAGAAGTCTCCTTCCAACTCCACAAGAGCTCTTACCTTTGACTCCTGAGAATTATCTGTCTTCTGAAAGAAAAGAAGTATAAGGATCCAATGTTTTTAATGAGCAAAGGCTATGTAATAACTTTCCACCCACTTAATAAAGTCCCTTGAATAATGATTTTAAATAGACTCAACTTTTAACCTTGGAAAAGAATACAACTGGACTAACATTTAGCTGCTATTTCCCCTAAGGAGGACAGGTTATTTTAATTTTAGCAATAGGACAAAAAGTTAGTATCTAAAGAGCTTACACAAATTTATTACAACATTAAGTCCACAAAGACAGCTTCAAAGAATACTGTTTAGAAAGAAATACAACAGATGAATAAGGCTCCACACGGCTAAGAATCAAAGAAATATAATTCAAAACAAAGTATGAGCATTTTTCATATTCAAATAAAGATAAGTTATGACTGTCAAAAGAATATTAAAATGATGTAATATAAATGGTAAAAGCGAGACAAAATTAAATGAATATATCTATGGCCATGTTTGTATGGACAAAACTACAGGAAAATCACACGCACAAGTATCACATGCTAAATAGATAAAAATAATGTCCATTCAGTAAATGTACAATTATTACAATTATAACTGATATCAATCTTTATACTTCAAATTTCATAAATATTATATGATGCTTATAATTTATATGTACAAAATTAATATTTTCCCAAAAAAACTTCTAAAAATAAAATTAAGATTAACTCCTGAAGACAGGTAAAGGGGAACAGAAGCAGGAACAACTTTGGAAGTCCCTGAAAAGTCACTGCAATTAGGAGTATAAAGGATTTGTTCTACAATTGCAATTTTGTTCTACAATTACAAAAGAATACATCTGGGGTGCCTGGGTGGCTCAGATGGTTAAGCGTCTGCCTTTGGCTCAGGTCATGATCCCAGGGTCCTGGGATCGAGTCCCACATTGGGTTTCCTGCTCTGCGGGGAGCCTGCTTCTCCCTCTACCGCTCCCCCTGCTTGTGCTCTTTCACTCTCTCTCTCAAATAAATACATAAAATCTTTAAAAACAAACAAACAAAAACAAAAACAAAAGAATATATTTGTTAAAGAACAAGTGTTAAGCCTTCATCATCAGTGATGGAATAGAGGTGTCAATGGGCAGAGAGGAAGAGAACCCTCTCACACCAGCATTTACTACTGATGCTGCCCAAGAAGGAAAATGAATCCAAGTGACAACAGCCAAGTCCAGTCTTTCCTCTCCAACAATTTTTCAGTCCCTGTTCAAGCATCTATGCCCCCTTGGACCAGTGCAGGGCCCAGGTCACTGGACAGGAAGAATGTGCCTACCCATCCTATCACTGTTTACCATTCAACCTACTCCCCACCTGGGAGGGTGAAGGGAAGGAAGCAGGAAGTTGAGATGGAGAAAGAGAAGGGATGGCAGAAGGGATGCAACTTCTCAAGCAAAAAAGTTGTTCCCAGTCCACAAGATAGCTCTTGGTGTGCTCTGGTCTTGGACACAAGAAGTACTGGTTTAACAGATGAAGGGAACTGAAACTGAGACTAAAGAAAAACCCCACAGTGAATGTGGGGTTTTCTAATGTCTCAGGCCATCATCACTCACTGCCCTGCTGGGGCACGTTGGCTAGACTGTCAGGGCATCTGAGGAGTCATAGTTTCTTCCCCTTCTCCTACAGATGAAATCTCCTAGATGAGAAGGAAAAGAATCCCTCCTTCACCCTCAATACACGTTAAGTTTTTGAGTGCAAGTATTTTCCCGATATTTTCTTTTGAAAGATTTTGGGGAGGTATTTTGGGGTAAAATAGACCATTTTAGTATAAAGAATGAGATTTAAATTCCACTATAACCACTTATCAGGGGATCTTCAATAATTATTCTCTGGACCTTGGTTTCTTCATCCATACAATGGAGACTGTATTTCTCTTTGGGGTTGTTTTGAAGATTAAGTAACATGTAAAGTACAAGTATATGGAATATATTAGGCACTTACTGTGAGTTCCTCCTGACCCCAACAGCTCACAGTACCTTCCCATCATTTGTGTTAGTACCTAGCACTTCTCTAAAAACTGCCAGGGGCGTAAGAAAAAACTAATTTTAATTAATTCTATTCTGTGAAATAAGCACATGTAAGAATTCTAGATCAGGGTTTTTCTTTTCCTATTTTTTTTTTTTTTTTTAGGTGAGGGTAAGAGGGGCAGAGGGATAGAGAGAGACAGATTCTTAAGCAGGCTCCAAGCTCGGTGCAGACCCCAACGTGGGGCTCAATCATGACCCTGAGACCATGACCTGAGCTGAAATCAAGAGCTGGATGGCTTAACCGACTGAGCCACCTAGGCATCCTTAGATCAGGGTTTTTCAACTTTAATACTATTGGCATTTTGGGTTGGATAATTCTTTATTGTGGAGGAACAATTCTGTGTGTTACACAATGTTTAGCAGTATGCCTGGCCTCTACCCACTAGATGCCAGCAGCAAGCCCCTGGTTGTGATACATGTGGGACAAAACTGTCCCTTGCTGAGAATCACTGTACTAGATGAACTGTCACATGACTTTCTTCTGAAGGCTCTCTTAAAACTGACAGTGGTTGGAAACACAGTATCTAGCTGCCCTTTTCTGTAGAATACTTTGTCGGGAAGAATAAAATACAGGTATTTCCCACTTTTTGTAAGCTCGTGTTATGAAACGGATTTTCTCAAGACCCACATTAGTACCTGTTTTCTCTAACTGAAAATCTGAAGAGGATTTTCTGCTTTTACTTTAAAGAAAGGCGAAAAGCGAAAATAGCTTTCAGTGCTTGTTTCACAGCAAGACCTTAGGCCTTATGGAGGCACCACTAAGTTCCTTTCCCACGAACCACACTCAGCATCTCAGCACCAAGCAGCCATAGCTGTGAACTGTGTCTGTGAGCATCTGTGCTTTCTCTTAATTTATTTTGTTTATCTGTTAGCAAGATGTGTCCTAAGGTGTCAGAAAAGCTAAGGAGAGGTTATTTCTTGGGTGTGGGAATGCTCAAAAATTACTCCATATAAATTAACGTTAGTTTCTTCTTCATTCTATGCCATTTGGGCTTACAAAAGATTTCAAAGGAACGCTCTTCTTTCAGGTAGCAGGGGAAACCTGTACCAAGAACCATATAATCAAGATGAATAAAACCTGGCAATTTCTTGCAAAAGGGACCAGATTAAATATGGGATCAAAATTTAAAAGGGATGCTGTCCTGACCTACCAGGAATATGGGCTTTAAATACTTTAAATGTTAAGAATTAACCATTTTAATACCATTTTAAAGAACTTTCTTACTATAAAGGATTGTTTTCTTAACATGGGAACTCACTGATCTGAGTTTCTTAGAAAATTAGTTCCAGTTCTTTCTGTCATCGGTTTCTCTTTTGCTTATAAAATGGTTTTTTGTTGATCTAGAGACCCCTAATTCCTTGCTGAGAGATTATTTTAACTTTACAAAACAACAGAACCACTCATAATAGAAAACACAACTTTTGGGAGATGGGTTAGCCCTTACCACTTGTCGGTACTTGTTTACATTTTCTTGAAGCGTGTTAAGTAGAAAACTGAAGATCTTTTCCATGTTCTGGGTTAATGTTTGCTGGATATCCCTTCTTCTCTGAGGGGGTAGTGTCTGAAAGGTCACTACATCCTCTGCCAGTCGTAGAAGGATAAACATCACTAATTCGGTCTGTGTTTCCTATACAATAGAAATAAACTAATTAAACTGAAACCTCTTTTTCACCACAGGTATGCCCAAAAGCTCTTTTCTGTTGACAAAACAAACTCTAGAACAGGCCTCCAAAATAAAATGAACTGATATAATTATATTCCATACCCCCTGTTTGGAAAGGGTATCCAATTCTATTAGCATATCAGGCCAGTGCTGTGGCCACTCCCGCTTGATCATTTCTACTACAATTCGAGACAAAACATCTTTAATATGGTTCTCCTCTTCCAAAATATCCAGTGTTCCCTGAAAAAGAATAAGATAGTAAGAGGTTTGTAAGACTGAATTTAAAAAACCTAAAAAACACCCCAAAACCCCACACTGAGAAAGTGTATGGAACTCCATAGCAGGCTTGCTTTTAAACTAAACAGAGTAAATAAACCTGCTCTCCACGGCTGAGTCACTTGTCCTGCATTCTCACTAACCATTTTCCTCACTTAAAACTTAAATAAGGGCTGAATCAGCTAATAAAGTGACTGTTGCACAGAGCAAGGAAGACATCATTGTTTTCCTTTACAAACTGAAGAGACTCTCATACTGACTGTTTCATTCTGTAAGAACGCCAAAGTTGAAGAGTATAGAAATGAAGACAATAAGAAGCTGATAAAATGAGACAGGAGTAGCAACTAAGTATTTTACCGATAGTTCTAGCATTATAAGACACAAATTATTCCTGGGACTTTGTCCTTCTGGAGTTTGGTATCAAAATTAGTGAATTAGGATTTCTATCAAGTTTCTCAAGAACTAGCAAAAAACAAATCCTAAGTTGATTAGTAATTCTGAAGGGGATTTTTTTCTGTTGAAGGCACTCAACTTTGGAGAGGAAAAGGTAGGAATTCAACTTTTCATGCCATTTGTAAAAAAGAAGAAAAAAGGCTGTGGATTTTAAGCATGTTCAAAGTGCTATTCTAATTCCCGATACTAATTCATCCTGCGTATTTTGTATTTTGTTAAAATCATACAGTAATTTGGTTTGGAATAAAAGGAAACAAACAGCAAAATGCAATCTAATTTAGATCTAAGAATCTTGTTCATTTGCTGAAAATCTCTCATCTCTGCTGAGCATGCTGTCCAACCTACGTAGAACTAGTGAACATAAATGCTAAAGAAGTCACCTTTAGTCTAAACTACCTCTGAAACACAAGTCTTCCAACCAATCATTCCTTACATTTGCAATCAGCTCCATGACACTGTTCTTCAGATAGACCTTCTCCAATCGAGACATGCTGTTCCACCGAAACCTGGCCACCAAAATGTGTAAGGTCAAAAGAACCACATTAGAAGTCTTCGTAAGTGACTGGCTTTGATTCTGTGTTGTATTATGCTAGCGATTTCACCAAGAAATTATACTTTCGATTTTGTACCCTTCAAAGAATGAACAAGAACACTCTATATTCAACAAAAATGCTGACGACAGAAAAATTCTTAGGAAAAAAGTTCTATATACAGGAAGTCATCCACTAATTGAAATTCACACAGGATTTGTGAGCAGATTAGCTTTCCCCCTTGATTTCACTGATAGCCCAAAAGCAAATATATACCTGAGACACCTAAAACAAATGTAGTTGCTTTTCAGAAAATAATAATGGTGATACTATTAACTCCTCTTTTGTGCTGGCTTATGGATAACACAATCCCACAAAAACTATGGCTAAGTCTTAAAAGCTGATTCCTCTGATCGACACTGGGGGTAGAAGACTCAAGTTAGGAAGGGTTTTCAATTCTTCTCATATAACCCTGTTTCGGATTTGCCATTCAGAGAAGGAACACACTCAAACTAAAAAAAAATTAAAAGCACAATCCCTAATCATAGATTTAATTACCTAAACACTGTATTATTCTAAAAAGACTTTGAGATCTCATGGCATATAGTAGGAGCTCAATAAATACTCATTAAACTACTATCAGCTAATATTTGTAGAATGCTTAGTATATACCATGTATTTTACATAGCTGAAGAAACTGAAGAGGAAGGTTAAGTCTTGAATTAAGAGAGCTCTTGAGGCTGTGATAATCTCTTGGGGATCATTCCTTTCTTCTTGGCAATTGTTCTTCTCTACCCACCTAAAGATTATCTCTATGAGTTATATAACAAATAAAGATTTGCTCTCTCACAGACTTCGGTGGTACTGTCCAAAAGCTCCTTACTTGACAACGTGTTCCAGGATTTGGAGGCCAAAATGTCTGACGATGGGTATCTGGGTTTTCTCAGCCAACCTCAAGCCACAGGGGACACAGATAGGGCACTTTTCTTTAAACTCCTCACAAAACTGAAACAAAAAAAAAGTTAGTATTTCCCTTAGGAAGCAAGAGAGAGTGGAGATTAAAAAAAATTTTTTTAGGGGCGCCTGGGTGGCTCAGTGGGTTAAGGCCTCTGCCTTCGGCTCAGGTCATGATCCCAGGGTTCTGGGATCAAGCCCCGCATCTGGCTCTCTGCTCAGCAAGGAGCCTGCTTCCTCCTCTCTCACTCTCTCTGCCTGCCTCTCCCATGACTTGAGAGCTCTATCAAATAAGTAAAATCTTAAAAAAAAAAAATTTTTTTAACTTCATCTTAAGAAACTCCAACCTGTGATATATTTTTAAACTGCAAAATTTAGATCAATAGTATATGAGTAAAGAACTGATAAACATTCTTTTCACTTGGATAGTTATATTTTCTATGCTATGGCCAAATAATGTTGAAAAAAACAAGTCTGACATAAACAAGTAAAAAATTATTTGCTAGAAATATACCCCTGAAGTATATAGGGATGAAATGACAATTTCTAGGATTTACTTTAAAAAAAAGTTAGGTAGGGGGAAGGAATAAAGCAAATGTGGCAAAATCTTTATAACTCCTGTAGTAGTATTCTCTTTACTTTATGTAATTTTTAGTATTTCACAGTAAAAAAAACTAATGGAACCCAACTGTTTCTCATTCCAAATCCTGTGGCAGACATCTATGTTTTTAAAAGTAAAGTTTTTCCCAAATGATGTTCACTCCATAAAGTTACATGATTTAAAACATACACAGCACTTAACTGGAATTAATAAAAACTTTAAAAAAAATGTATGCATAGGTGTTTTTCCTAATGACCATCTCTCACACCCCACTCAAATAGTTTGATGTGGGAATAAGTTCACATTTTATTAGCATCCCAATTTGTATTAGCATTCCCAAACTGTAACACAAAAGTCAGTCCCAGGAGCTGAGCATCCGGACTCAAGAAAACTACTTTCAGGAAACCAAAGTACCCTTATTAAAATGCAAAGTAAGTGGTAGAAGTTCATCTTTGCGCAAAATAGCCTGAGAACAGAACACAGTAAAAGAACATGGGGGAAGGGTGTGTGAGAATTAGCCCAGAGATAACCCAAGACACAGAATAGGATTAGTGAAGAGTCTAAGAATGTAAATAAAGTGGCGCTGGGGGGCTGGAGCTCCAGTAGGACGGGTCAGGAGGGTGCAAGGAAACGTAATGCACGGGAGACCGTCAAGAACGTAGCTAGCTGGTGTTGGGGACGTGATAGGCACGTGCACCACGGGAATGCTAAGGGATGTGGGGCTTGGGTAATAAAATAGAAGCATCCGGCTGTGATGCGGACTGAAGAGAAGTGGAGAAAGGAGAGGAGAGGGCAGCGGGAAGTGGCAGTGAGATGAGAAGCAGCAAGGAATCGGAGGGTCCCGAGAGAAGGGTAGGCGCGGCTAGAAGAGAAAGCCTGGAGTGAGAAGAGCCGCGGAGGGCGGGGAGGGGAAAGGCTAAGGCCCCCCGGGGTTGGGAAAGGAGATCCAAGGGCCGCGTGGGCGGGAAACCAGCACGGCTTCGGGCGGCGGGGGCACCGCTGAGGTTGGGGGAGGGTCTTGGGGCAGGCCCGGGGCGCCAGACTCCGTCTACCTTGAGGGCTTCCAGCCGGTAGCGCTGGGTGGAGCTGGGGTCCATCATGACCGTCACCGCTTTCACCAGCTGCTCACACAACGCGTTCACTTGATCCATCGCCATGGCTAGTGCCACGCGCCGCAAGCGCGGTCCACGGCCGGCCCGGGAGCACAAGGTACCGACAGCTCCCTTCGCTGGACCACAAGCTGGTACCGGGCCGCGGCGGGCTGGGGGGTGGGGAGAGAGAGGAGGAGCGTGAGCTGCAGAAGCTCCAGCTTGGAAGGAACCGGGGTTGCGCACGCGCCCAACTCGCCACTGCGCACGCGCCCGCGGAAGTGGCGGCTCTGGTGTGACGGTTGCCTCTCGGTGGGCGGAGCGGAGGACGGAAGGGCAGCAGTGCGCAGGCGCCTCAACGGCCTTTTTGCTGCGCGCGCGCTGTCTGATCTCTGTTCGGAGTGCTGGCTGTTGAGCGCGCAAACCCTGTGTAGGCCCGCTGGGCAGTGCGGTCGGTGCCCGCGTCAGTGGTCGACTGTGACCTGTGCTTCATTTCTCCGTCGTCACGGGAAATAAATCTCTCGAAGCCGACTGGTCCTCTCCTGGAAAGGGGGCAGATATTCAGGACCCCTTCACCTTCCTTCCAGTGGACAGCGAGCCTGGCATCGTTGGCGTCCGTGGTTGCCAGTTCTTCCAGGTGCTTTGCCACACTGGTAAGAGAATTTAGAACCGTTCAGTATCGCTGTTTTCAGACTTTTCATGTTGTCTTGGCTGTTGGTTTTACGCTATAGCAGTGGCTGGTGGTGTCGTTGGGCCGAAATTCGGTGAAACAGAAGAGCATGCTCAGACATAAGGCCTCGGTATGGTCCCCTAAGAGGAATTTTCTTGTGGAAAAACGGCATTTTCGCTAGCTCACAAACCCCCCTCTTCAGTTATGCTTATTTTCCTTAGATGTGTTGTCGCCTGAACGGCACCAAACTTACTTTGCACAGATGGTGATGAGTCGAGGTATTTGAAGATGAATAATTGCAATTATTGAAGGCTTGTGCAGTTTGGATCATTTGAAGTGCTACGTATAAGACTTCAAAACTGTCATCCTTATTCGGGAAGGGAGGTTTTTGGCAGCGAGTGTGTTTCATTTTTCCATCTTTAAAAAGCTCTTGCTTTCTTCAGCACAGTACATAACTTGCACACCTGAGCAGCTTCATTATCTGTTGAAGTTTGCATATTGGTTTTTGTGTTTGTTTACCCAGTAAAGTATTCGCTGGACTTAAATCACGGCTTCCTATTCTAACTCCATTTCTCCTATTTGCATCTAGCATGGTACTTCCCTGGTGTGTGTGTGTGTGTGTGTGTGTGTGTGTGTGTGTGTGACAGTGTGTTTACTGTTTTTATTCTGGCATTATCTGTTGCAGTGCAACACAAAAACCACTTCCTTTCATGGAAGGTGACTTCTGACATGTTACGGTTTTAACTTAACAAATATTTAAAGTTACACATTCTTCCAGTTTTCAGTGAGTGGAATTTACAAGGAATTAATGCCTTGATTACTCAGGTTTTTTAATTCATTGTTTTTTTACACTAATCTTCTGTCATTGTTAGTTGCATGCCATTTTTTTCAAGGTGAATGTTAATTGTTGACGCTTTTTTTTAATCCAGTCCCGTGCTTACTCAACTGTATAACCTATGTTTCTCATATTTAAATCATGAATTACTGGTGTTTTCATAAGTATCTTATTTACTTTAAGTCAGTTGTTAGCAATCTCTGCTACATATTAGAACTGCCTGGAGAGTTTTTAAAAATCACAATGTCCAGGTCACACCCTGTTTTGTTCTGTCTTGGTCTGTTAATAATAATGCCTTAAAATAATAAATAACATTTGAGTAACATTGATATTTGGCTTCTAACATCAGACATCCTAATTTAATTGGTATGGGTGTGTTTTGTGCTATCACAGCCTAGCAGTGATAATGCTGTGGTTAGAAATGTTTGGGGGGGTTGCTCCTGGTTGGCCTTCAGTGGGTTAAGCCTCTGCCTTTGGTTCAGGTCATAATCTCAGGGTCCTGGGATCTAGCCCCACATCGGGCTCTCTGCTCAATGGAGAGCCTGCTCTCTCTCTCTCTCTCACTCTCTGCCTACCTCTCTGCCTACTTGTGATCTCTGTCAAATAAATAAGTAAAATCTTAAAAAAAGAAAAGAAAAGAAATGTTTGGGGGCACTCACCTAGGCTCCAGTGAGTTCCCACAGACATTTCTTTCCAAACCAGTGTTCTTATGGTTCTTAGCATGATTGCAGGATACCCTTTAGCAGGTGACCCTCAGGAAGCTTTGAAAGAGTAAAAGTTTATTCCTTACAAGCCCTAGAGCTAACAAGACACACCCATTGGGCACAGCACAAGGTTACCAGTACAGAGTGAGCAAGCTAGCATAGGCCCGGGGTTCTACTTTTACTGGGATTGATGGTGGCAATCAAGAATTTCATGGGTGAACTTAAAAAATAAGAGCAGGAGGGGTGCCTGGGTGTCTGCCTTTGACTCAGATCATGATCTCTGGATCCTGGGATTGAGCCCCACAGGGGGCTCCCTGATCAGTGGGGAGTCTGCTTCTCCCTCCCCAAACCCCCCCCCCCCCCCGCATTTGTCCTCTCTCTCAATCAAATAAAATCTTTAAAAAGAAAAAAGCAGGAATTTAAAGTACAGGAAGACAGAAAAAAGGAAAACAAAAAAGTAAGCACCCAAAAACGTCCAATTATTGAAATCAACCAAGAATTCTAAAACAAAGGAGTGCTCAGTTGGGCCGGCACTTTAGTCATTTGTCTGGCTGTGTGTTTATTCAAGATAGTCATCTTGGGGGCGCCTGGGTGGCTCAGTGGGTTGGGCCTTTGCCTTGGGCTTGGGTCGTGGTCTGAGAGTCCTGGGATTGAGCCCTGCATTGGACACACTGCTCGGTGGAGGGCCTGCTTCCCCCTCTCTCTCTGCCTGCTTGTGATCTCTCTCTGTCTGTCGAATAAATAGATAAAATCTTTAAAGAAAAAAAAAAAAAGAGTCATCTTTGAAGTGGATGCCTCTGCAATCCAAACTTAAATCCGCCGTCTTCCTTATGAAAAAGGGGTGGGGGAGAACAACTTTCAGGGTTTACACAACAATCTACCCTGTGATGCCAGAGTCCATGATGAGGACATTAACTGCCTGGATAAAGCTGGTATGTTAAAAGTCAGGGTTAAATAATTATACAGGCCATAGTTTGAAATGCAGTCTCTAGCCATTGTCCCAAACTTGAAGTTGTCCAGCCATGAAAATAGGCCGATGATCCTGACTATTTGGCTAGTCCTGGAAATCTGCTCAAGGATTTGGGTAATACTGTGAAATATTTTAACATCTTCAGCCATCTGGTATAAGTAGGTTTGAGCCTGTCCTGATTGCTAGATTGTTTCATATTCAAAGGAACCAGTTTCTTAGTCCTGAGAATAATTAAGGGGTTGGGTCTCATTTCAGAAGGTGGTCATGCAGTTGGGTTCCCCAAGGTAAGCCTGTTTTAAAAAAAAAAAGTAAATTTCAAGATCTTACTGGCTTTATTCAAAGGTTATGAATTGGGCAGCATCCCATCTAACAAAAGAAACTACTAGGAGTTGTACAAAATGAAAGACTTCTATAGGGGCAGAAGGGGTCATGACAAGAAAGTTACTGTCAGAGTGGATTGTTTCAAGCAAGGCCACCTTCTTTTGGGGGAAGGCAGGGCACTAGTGCTGACCAGGAAATTCCAGACTGACAGGTTAAGATTACATGCTGGGAGAGGCTAAAACTGAAATTAGGTACACTCTTGGTTTGGTGACATGCGCTTGGTATAAGTGACTCCAGTTTGGGCCTGCTCTCTCTCTTTTAACAGGCCTACATGGTAGAAGTATGTGCTTCAGGCATTTAATAAGAGGTATTTCTATGGAAACAAAAGGAATAAAAACAAAGGTTAATATTTGGAGGAGATTATAATAGCAGTTTCTGAGTTCTGAAGGCAGCCAGTTGGGGAGATTTCTAGATGGCAGGCTCAAAGCTCTTCAGATGGAGTGAAGGCAGACAGTGGCAATCTTAGATTTTCCTGGTTTGCAGTTTGAATAGCTCTGGTGATCTTTTCTGAGTGGCCCACACAGTAACAGGAACAAAAATTGTCTATACATGAACTATTGTGGTGATATCTCTTAAGTTTATATCAAGTCCCACTTCAGCTTGCATGACTTTGGGAAAGGGCAATTTTAGTTCTCAGTGTTTCCAAGTCAGAAGGGTAGGATAACACTTAAATGTTAGTTTGGAGAGTTGTAGCCAAATATTGGCGGAAACTAGAAGAATTGAGGATCCAGTCCAGTTTAGAGGTAGAAAACAAAACCTCAGAGACAAATAACAACAAAAGAATCTGAATTCCACAAAGCTGTGTTACTGAAACATTCTTTGTCTCACAGTCACCCCCATTTCTATCAGAGATAGTTGAAGTAAGCCTAATTTGTTTGTAAAATAAGTCTAATCTCATTAAACTTGGCTGATTGTTTATATGATTGCAGCAAGAATTTACATAATTGCAGCAAGAATTGACCATAGAGACTTTTAAGTCTGCTTTGCTGGAACTTTTCATAAGGAATCTCAGATTGAGCTTTTAAAAGCCTCTCAAGGCTAGGAAGCCAATCCAGAAACCTGCCAGTAGGCCTTGCCTGTAATACTTATAAATTTGAGTGAATTCCTCTCTTCTTGAAGTTCCTAAAATACCCTGAGGTTCCTGGGCTTGCCAGGAAGTGACCTTCCTTAGGAGGGCTATTGGGAACTCTGTAAGTAAGGTCCCAGGCTGATTTTTCAAGGAGCTTTATGGGCTCCATGAAGTCAACCTTAGTTCCTTAACTACTATATCTATGTATGTCTTTCTCAAATATGACATCCAGTGAAAGTCTGGGTTGTATAACCAATGTTTCCATTTGGGTCCTGTTATAAGAAGAACAGATCCTTATTGAATTTATGCAGATAATTATATTGTCATAAAAGTAAGAATATTAGCTGACAGTTTTCTACTTTTGGAGGGATCAGATAGGGAGAAAAAGTAATGGTATCATCTGTGTTCTCAAAAGTATACTTTACCAAATTGTTTTAAGTCAAAGATAGCTTAAGAAAAGAGGTTTCTTAAAACTGGAAAAAATAGAACATTGAAGAACCAATGATGTTTCATATAAAAAAAAAGTCATAAAAAGTTATAATCATCCT